GATTTGATTCTTTGCCCAAGTTCAGCGATATATAATATGACAGTTGAGTTTCCAGCCAGCCCAACGATTCCAAGAGAACGCGAGATCTCGGTCACTTTTGGTGGCTTACAAGTATGAATCATGGATATAGAACAAGCTGCAGTCCACTTAATTGCACATCTGTTGCTCAGAAGGGTCCAAATGCACCATATTGAAAGGTGTTGAACTTGACCATTTAAAAATATGCAACTCGATCCTTGTTGCACAATTTTTCAAATTTCACCAAATGCTTAACCCAACCTAGAGTCCTAGACCATCCTCATCCTTCTTTGAGATGGGCATCGTTGTATGAGGGAAAAGTCTGGTTCCTCATCGAAAACCATCAGCTCATGCCTGCCGCTTATAGAAAACCGTGCTGGACAGAACGGAAAATGTTTTTGTAGGACATTACTCTGCTGTAAATTATGAATGCATAAAATGGAAAGAATAGTGACATTAAAAACGCAACCACTGATTTGATGTAATATGTGCGGGGAAATCGGTCGATTTCATGTTGTTTGAGGTGGAAAAGTTTGGACTGCATTTTCAAGAGTCCCCAAAGATTTCACGCCTTGAATCATAACCTGAACAGAGAGAGGCTCTACCCCTGGCAGGAGGAACTGATATCCAGGCACTGTGGCCAAAAAACAGGATGCAACCAACCACGTTCCATGCCTCCTTTATTCCAGCATCGATGTCAACAGTTGTCCCTAGGAGGCTTACTGACTTCCTGCATTCTGACTGAAATCAGCCATAGGCCTATCGAGTTGAAGTGGCGCGTTCTGCTGCACGCGCACGGCAGTGAATTTGCATTGTTCCGACGAGGAATTGCCTCTGTGTTGTAAATATACTAGACACCGTAATCAAAACCAAACCTTAATCCGCAATTAAGACCAGTTTGTGCCAGGCCTATTTTTGATTATGATACAATACGAGGTTGAGAGAGCAACTACAGTGCTGGCGTTCTGAGTATGGGGACAAGGTTGGGACGCCATACTTTGGATCCTCGAGTGTAAAACGGGGAACACTCCCATCATCTATGCGAGATCGGACAGTCCCATCTTTCGTTGCACGTCACTGCTACGCAAAATGCGGTGATTTACTTAAGGGGGACTTTTACAAATCCATCACTGACAGATGAGTTTCGCTGCTTCAAGAATGTTATACTTGTAGTACTTATTAGACTGACCCCCATAAAGTAACTGCATTCATGTTAAATACATGCATGTACTCAGATTTATCACCCTGCATTATAGATGTACGGAATTGAAGCTAAATATGTGCGACATTATGTTGAGAACTGAAGTGAAAGTAACGAAATCCTAAAGTCAACCGTAGCCCGAGTATGGTTAGGATATAAAATCTCATATCATAATTTAGTTGTGAGAGTAATATATATCGGAGGATTTAAGTGCTGTCTGATGATGAATTACTTAAACGAAACGGTCTGTAGGACTTTTGTACTTAACTCAGAGTGACAACGTATTTTTTTTCATATTTTTCCACCAAACTTTTGTTCACATCCAATATAGGACAAAAAGTCATTCAATTCGTATCTCCCAACGTGACAAAAATCTAAAGGATTGGGTTATTCAACCGTGAACGTGAAATCAAGTGGGGAAAGTGTTTTATTGTATTTTTCCAAACATTTTGAGCCGTACTTTTGTGACGGAAAATACGAGATGTCCAACAAAACTCAAGAAACTCGTGGGTGCTCCGAATGCAGACATAATAAACAATACCCTGGTTCACATCTGGGTTTGAAGGTGATGCGGCAATCACAACAGCTCCGGGTGGGATGTGCACTTAGGTTCTCAGACTTGTTTCTAATGGTTATTCGTCTTGGGAAAAACCATACCCAGTCTACTTGATCCAAAGGGCAAGGACGCCAGATTATACCCCAACCCCCGCCTCCTCTTTTTATTATTATTATTACAACTACAAAATAATAGGACCTTTGGGGGCACTTTAGCTTCACAAGTTATACCTTTGGGAGACGTGGAATTAGGGAGACATTTGCAGACCTAAGTGTTGTCGTGACGTTGCAATGACTTTGTAATGGGAGGGGTATATTTAGTTCAACTTGAGTTCATCATGAAAACCTATCATTTTTCTAAGGAAATGGTAGTAGTTGAATGGGGGCGAAGTGAGCATCGGATGAAGTACTCTGAGCTGAGCAGGAAACTAAAAATGGGGTGAACTTTAGGCCGATTCGGAACTTGTTCAATATATGTCGTCCAGGGCGGATCCAGGATTGTTTGTTGGGGAGGGGTTTATCAGCAAATCAATGCTGAAATGTGGACATTTTTTTTTTCTCTGGGCATTTGGGCTCCGTAAAATCTTTTTTTTTTTGGGGGGGGGGGGGAGGGTGCTCGTACCGTACTTTCATTATTACAGAATAGAGTACAAATACCTTAATGTGGGTGTCAGAGCGGGGGGGGGGGGGTATTTCACATTATTTTTAATATATTTCTATAAAAAAAAAAAAAATGTTGAGTCACAGCTGGGGGTTGACCCCCATACCCCCCCCCCCCCCCCCCCGCTCTGCGACCTTTTCTTTTTAAAAATATATACATCCTTATAAATACGACACTATTTGATACAATTGATACTTGATGAGATTTCATAAATTGTCGTATCAGCTGCCATATCAGAGTCGAACTAGTCTCGGTCCAAGGCGTTAGGCCTATGATCGATAATGGACTGCTGCTGCAAGACCGATTTTTATGCGCCTGCTAGTTGATAAGGCATTCACTGCCTCAAACAACTGCTGTTGGTCGAGAGTGCGTGATACAATGTACATGTACATGCATCATGTGCCCGTATAATGTACGTTTGTACCACTATGACCCGAGTTATGGGATGAAGCTAATAATAAGGCTGACCTTGAATTTGACTAGGGTGTAAGAGGCCGAGGGCCGAGGAGAGCGCAAATCAAAGGCTTTATTTCCTGCATTTTGGCGTAAAGGGGGTTCAACCAAAATGGTCCTTGGTTCAACGATGTGGTCAGCGGCGTAGCCAGTGTTCTCATCCTATAGGGCGGGGAGGGGGGGGGGTCACCGGACACGCTGCCCGTCCGTAAAATAAAAAGGGGGGGGGGGGGCCTGGACACCATCTTCCCACGGGGGCGCTGTTCAAAACTGACATCAATGTCAGACAATAGGTGGCGCTATTCGCTTTCCACGAATCGCGAAAAACAGGGTTTTCGTTAAGAATAAACAGAAAAAGAAAACGTGAAAAAGGCACCTAACCCGCTCATCAGGGTAACTCACAGGACTGTTATTTTCTCACGGTTGCCAAATTTCCAGTGGAGGGCGCCTGGGGGGGACGATTTTTTTTATGGGGTCCCTCAAGGGCTCCCCACCCCCTAGCCCCGCTGCATATGTGGTGGTATTCAAGATCCGTGCGTAGTTGAGTCAATTGGGTATGAAAATGTGGTACACATTTGGATAGAAACATTGTGACTAGATCTCGATGTAGGCCAGACTGTCTACTTTCGGGCCAGGTGACACTATTTTATGAGTTACAGGGTATCATCGATGCGGATGGATAGACCCCCCCCCCCCCCCCCACAGGTGTAAATTTTGGACGCAAAAAGGTAGCGGGTCAGCAAATGGAGCTATTTATTCTATAGCCTTAAACATATACTTTTTTACTGTAGCTATATAGGCTTTCTGGTTTGGGCACTAGTTTGAGAAGTTGTCTTCTGTAGTCGAATGTCACTCGACCCCAGTATGTACTTTAAAACGTTCAAGTACACTCCTTGAATATATACAAACTTCAATACAATTGGGGCCGGGGGGGGGGGGTTGTTTTGGTTATTATTATTTTCTGGGGTTGCTTTATTGGTTCCTTTTAAGTTTATGTATATACTAATTTGCAACACTAAAACTTATACATTGTAGTGTACAACGCAGGCCAACATGCCTATATGCGCATGCTGGAGAAAAATTCGTAAATATGCTATTTTGCTTCACCGAGAGACATAAACGGAGACCGTATTATCGGTTGGGTATTACGTGTTAGAGGCCGGAGCTAGACCCCCAAAATATAATGCATACGTATCCAAAGCAAACTGGACAACCCTGAATCCAAGCCACTTCATACTGTAAATATTGATGAATGTTTCTTTCTATGTGCTATGCATTCATGTACAGGCGGGTGTTGACATATTACCTCCTGAACCAGGGTTAGTTGCAGTTTATTTCAGATAGTTCGCAGCCTATACTGTCCCTGTCAACAAGGGCGTCTGTAAATCAAATTTTAAATCATTTACGGATGAGACCACCCAAATAATCTGCGTCTTATAGTGTTTCAAAACCACCTTCATTCCCATGCATCCCCTTTTCTCAATATTCGATGAGAATGAAATTGCTGTAACGAGGGTGCAGTAGGGTAGGGTACTTTCGGATTGAATGTCTTCATTTATTTCTCGGCTCTTTTATCTCTTGACATTCCGAGAGACGCGCGACGGGGGCACAGGCCTCCAGAGGTGATTGGGGAGTGCCCGGCAGGCCCCGGCCCCGCCCTTAGTTTTCCGCCACCGATAACAATATTTCACTATTTAAGCGAGTCTTCTTTGTTGCAGCTTGTTAGAAGTCTAACGTTCTTAATTGAAATCTGTAGCTGTGGTAAAAACTTGAAATAAGATAGAGTCTAGGTGCTTCTTTGATTCAACATACATTAGTAATGTGTGGTTGACGTTGACAATCCCTTGTGAACTTTTAAGGTTTGAAAGGACATGCATGGGTCTGCAGGTACCCCCTTGAAGTGAAAATCCTGTAATATATATTAGCACAAAAATGAAAGAAAGTTATGCATGCCATTTTGGCTGAGTCGCACAATCCATAACATGTCTGACCCTTACTTGAATAGTGCGGCGTCTACCTCTTATATTTAGTAATTGACACAGATGCAGAAAATAAGCTCTTGCTAAGATTTGAAATGCATGTTTTTCATGACCATTTTCGTTCTCTCCACAGAATGCACCCCAAGCGGGCATCGAGTCCTAGGTAATCCGTACCGCAGTGTTTCTTACTCAGCCGCGGCGATGTCTGGTAAACTTTGCGACAGAACGTTGGACAGGGGATGGTATCGCTTTCAGATTTTCGGCAAGTATGCGGAGATGCCCACAGAATGTGTCCAAGTAAGTAACACAAAGCTTTAATGATGATCGTTATTTCTGCACCCACAATGGCAACATAATTTTTCTTGACATCAATATTTTGGGTGACATATATACAGTGATTTTTCAGCGTTGGGGTTTGCTGGAAGTTGTCGCTTCATTGTCATTAAGTGGTGGATTGCTAGCCTATAGATTCATCTGGAGGGACAAGCCTATAGATTAATCTGGAGGGACATCAGAGTCAGAGACGCATTTTTTCCCATAACATTGTGAAAACATTTACTTCATTGTAAAATTCTTTCACGTGGTGATTTTTCTGTTTATAGCTGCTCTGTCTTCAGCTGTCATAGGTCATGAGTAAGAGAGGGACAACAAAGAAAGGCATGTCCTCAACAACTGGGAGAGCTAATTGTGATGCTTGTATGCCACTGACATTGTTTATAACTCAACTGAAGCAATGCTTCCACTCACTAAGCAAATCTTGGGCTCTTTGGCCATCCGTGACATTTTTCTTTGAGTTCTTCCCAGAAAGCGTGCTTACGATTCTTCTAGTGGCAGTGTAATTATCTTTTTTTATCACCTTGCTTTACTAGCTCTTCCAATTGCTTAATTGTTGAACGCAGCGGCTTGAATTTTAGTTAGAACTATGATCTTGTGTTCCGATTCCACCATTCTCTCTAGATTTGCGAGACTTAGAAATTGAGTAAAGCTGCTTGGCCTTGCCCCTTTTAACTTTCAATCTGATGGTCTTGTCTGATATACCCAACTTGGCACTTGCCACTTCCTCAAACCTGAATCTATAGCTGCCACTTCCTTAAAACTGAAACTAGTGTCTCGTTGTGGGATCCCAAAGTTTCCAGCATGCAAATAAACTTACGGGTCTCTTGCAAGGTTTCTCGTGATACCAGTATTTCTCAAACTTGTGACACTCGAATGCTGACTATTCGATGATCAGAATCCAGTTTAATCAAGTTATAAGCACGTTAACTGTGAATTACTGTTTATTATTATGTTGTCCAAACAATGTACCGATTCGGATGGGTGAAACAAGGTCCATTGCAGACGCCTTCTAGGTTGTGGAACTCTCAATAGACGTCCAAGATTATCGTTTTGTGATGTCACAGTGGCAGTGGTGGCCGAGAACACTGTAGGGTGGGAGAGGTAACTGGTAATTACAAATCTAGCATTCAATCACCAAGGACAAGTTGGACATTGTGCCTTACTTTGTCTATAGATGATGAGCTCATTCTGAGAGAGACGGTCGGACTCTTCTTTATCTAGAGTTGTTGGCGGTGATGCAAAGCTGATAGGCCTACCCCATGTAAAAAAAAAATGTAGCAGTCAATAATCTCTCTGCTACGGCTTCCACAGTTTGCAAACATTGGACATACCCAACCCCCTGCCTCTGGACCGTGGCTGACTTGTAGACCAAAACTCGGGTTCTATCGTCTGAACAAAATTCCTCCACAGGGTTAAGTGTACTGAACCTTGTCTTTTTGGATCCCATCACCGCAGTCCCTGAACAGTTGATGAATTTCCCTTGTTTTGGTATACAAGATGCGAACAAGAGGTTCGAAGACAGATAGACAAGCGGTATTTACCAAGACCATGCAATTTGATCGGGCTCCCACTAGCGCTATAGCCCGTCATAGTTACAGAGTGCCGCCCAGCTGTCTTCTTTTCTGCAGATGATTCTTCGTGATTTTCGTTATCAGAAGATTTGTACGAAATATATATCAATCCGGATTCTGCCGCTGACCCTGATCTATGGTGCTCCGAAAAGGACATGTTCTGCAGTGGTTCTGTTTTTAAACGTAGTGGTTCTGTTTTCAAACGGCATGGTTCTGTTTTCAAACGTCGTGGTTTAGGCCTATAGGTACAAACACCGTGTTTACTTGTTCAAACGTCGCAGTTAACTTGTTCAAACGTTGTGGTTCACTATTTCAAACGTCGTGATTCACTTTTTGTCCGTCATGGTTACCTCTTTTTTTTTAAATGTCGTGGTTTATTATTTTCAAACGTGGTGGGTCTGGATCCACCAGTGTCGCCTTTGAATGGCCAGGAACATGTTAGCCGATGATTGAGATTTGACCAATAGTGACAAGTGAAATACCAAGTAAGTTCTACCTGTATAGGTTTACGTTCAGAGTGACCCATCTCCTAGGCGGATTGGAAACATTAAAGCCTAAACTTTGTTATAGCGCTATAGGGCCAGGACTAGCTGACACGCTCTTTCAGTAAACACAAGGTCGTCGCACGAAGAGCCAAACAGTTAGAATTTGGTTAAGAGAGGCTAATGTTGAAACTTCATTTGGAATGGAGCTGCTCAACTCTCCATTCCAACCCAACACATCATAACCTTATCTTACCCAAAGCATTAGTTAAAACTGTAAATGTATTGAACGTTTAAGGCGTATTTAAGTCCTCATTAAAAGAAAGTGCTCTTAATTATTTTGAGAACATATTGTCGACACATGGAATTTAAATTGATGTATAGAAGAATGAAATTGTGTGTTATGTGCTTTCCGGTTGAAATGCACACAGATCGTGTGTTATAGGTAGGCCTGTACGACTGAACAAATTGATTCAGTCCCGTTTATGGCTTTCCCGTTTATGGCTTGTTTATACCTAGAAACTTTGCAGCTTATTTTGTCCATGTCGGAGTGTACATAATCCCTTTCGTTATGACGGAAATATGACTGGATTTTCATTAGCTGTGTGCAGTCTTGTATATATCCAAATATATCGTGCTTGAAACACGCAATCAATTGCTCGTTTAGTTGCTAACGAAAAATCGTGTGCTCGTAGCAGTTCGAGAAAAGAAAAAGAGTTCTCGAGTAATTTTGTTCTTTCCTCATAATGAACTTATCTAAGTCTGAATGCTGAGCAGTATCATCTTGGCAGGGCATGCGATGCGGAAAACAGGAAGAGTTTATATCCTTTGGTTAAAGAAACCATGCATTTCGTCTTCGGCTAAAAAAACCCCGCGTTTCTGTTGGTCCTCGAAAATCGAGCTGTTTTATTACTAATCTTGATTCAGGTCGTACTTTTTTTCCCGAAAACTTCGCTTCTAAACGTGCTATCATGTTTGCTGTCATTATTGTGGTACCTGATTTCATACGCGCAGTTACTTGCTTGGTATGCATATAATGGCATTTTATATTGACTGGTAACGCGTTGGCATATACACCGCGCGCCAAAAAAGCGACCGGATCAGAATCATCAGCCTAGGCGAGTTAGGGGTATTTTGGTCAATTTTTTTTGGGGACCGACAGATCCACCGACCGACGGACCGACACCAAAGTGATAAAGTCCATCACCGATCGCGAAAGTCCTTCACCGATCGCGAAAGTCCATCACCGATTGCAAAGTTGATCACCGGTCGTGCAAGCGTTGGCATATACACGCGCGCCAAAAAAGCGACACTATAGTGGATGTGATATAAATATATTGGGGTGTTTGTATCATCTGTCACTAATAAGTGAATTGGCAAATTAAAGGGTCTGTGGTTTATGGCCGGGCGGGAGACTTCTTTATGAAAATATGAAATTATACCGATTTAATGATGGGGAGCACTAGGACTAAAGAAGATAAAAACTATCATTTTGACTATTTGAACTAATTTTGAACTAATCGAAGCCTGCCTGAAATGCGGTTGAAAAGGTGTTATCCACATCTTAAAATGTCATGATTCTAATGCGGTGTCATGGTTCTGTGATTTGATCAATTTGTTGTATGTGATCGAAGGGGGTAATATTCACAGATTGTGTGTTTTCCTTTATTCAGGTGAGCCAGTGTGGTACCGACGCACCCATGTGGTTAGACATGGGAGGCAGAAACTATCCATCACCAGGAGAGAGCGCCAAACACGTAGCATGTGCTGCATGGAGTCTGGGAACCCAACTGTCCTTGCAGGACTGCTGTCTGTACTCGTTCCCGATCACCGTTACTAACTGCGTGGACTTCTTCGTGTATAACTTATTGCCGGCACGAGGATGCAATATGGCATACTGTGCCACGGGTACGTGATTTTACAGTCATCTATGCATGGAGGAATGAGCATGCCTTCAACCAAAGTGTTGTGAAAAAAACATCCAGTTTGATTATCATAATGGTAAATCTTCAACCAAACGGTGATAACTTTGTAGTCATTTCTGAACCTGGCATGGTATCTTGCTGACTACAGATAGGTTGCGTCCCACACTCAGTTCCTTTCAAATTCAAGCTTAAAAGAATGAAAAACTGGATTTGAAAATGCTCCCTAAATGTCAACTTATTCCCCCGCACGTCCAGTAAGAATATTTTATACGTCTTTCTCTTTGGCTACGTAACTTCGCTGAAATTTTATCTTGTCTTTAATGTAAGCGAGTTACGATACAAGTTTGAAATATGGCATTCCACCCATCCAGTATTCAAATTCTTCCCGAAGATATGACATACTTGGCATTAACTTCATTGCCACTCCTCAAATGGGATGGTTCAGGGATTGATGTTACATTGTAAGTACATGATAATGTCGAAGATAGTTAATTCCAGGGTGTTTGCGGTTCAGAATTTGTTTTATCTCCCAGACGTAAAATTATTATACACAAGAAACAAAGATGCGTGCCCTGCACGGGGCACGCGTCCTTTTATGGTTGATGTTCCACTTCGAGTTAAATCCAGTTCGGGCTTTTAAATGCCCATCTCGCTTCATGCGAGGCCCTACACATGCATAAATGCTCCTGGATTGTGATGTATTGACGACCGGGAGATGGAGAAGCTTATGAAACCTCCCAGATAGTGATTTTGTTTATCCACCCTTCAACTTGCAGAAAAGCCAATCGAGGATAGAAACTGGACTTTACCTTGGCTCTCTGCATTTGTGGAATTCTAAATAAGACTCACGTCGAGAAGCGAGCACACAGTGATCTTTCAAGATTGACATTGATCTTTCAAGATTAATATTCGTGACAAGTTTAATACCTCGAATACGTCATCTGTGACTGCCTTGTCAGGCCCATTATCCTCAGTGCACAGACCGAACCACATTCGTAACATAGTGATCATTCCGCGATTTTGACCAAAGGATCCATCAAAGTCATGATCACTCCTGTATCTGTTGCCATCTTAAATCCTCGTCACTTCAATTACGAAGAGAGGTTTAAATCGATGAGTCATATTTTTCTCTAATCATGGTGTAGCTGCCATGCTCATCATTCGTATCGGAAGCATTTTAATACATATACCATTAATTCGGTGGCCAACAACTGAGAGCGTACGTACATTCTTTCCCAGATGGGGACTATTAACGTGAGGGCACATTATACTGATAACTTAGTGGTGTTTCGTTTTTAATGAACAAATTAATTATCAGCAGATTCTAACGTGCGAATCACCAATGGGTGTACATTACATCACTGACGAAAGCTAACCATTGGTTTCGGGGTGGAGGTGGGAGGGGGTGGGCAGCGCCCCACTTTTGTCTATAGGCCTGCATGGCACTAGGCCTGCAGCAGGCCTATTAATGTTTTCCCTTGCTGGAGTCTTACCTCGCACTCGCTGGAATGTGCACCGCTCGCGCTATACAGTAACGTTGGCCAAGGGCGGATCAAGTACACAATATTTTTTTGGGGGGGGGGGGCCAAAAACAAATTTTGGTCCCCAAAAAGTGTGTCCAAAAAAATTACGGCATGGGGTACGGGGCCCGCTTAAGGGGCCCGAAAAATACCCCCCCCCCCCCCCTGGATCCGCGCTTGACGTTGGCTCCGAGAATATAGTTAGGCTACTTCATAAATGAGACTGTAAAAAGGAAATTGATGATCTCAAACCTTTGAGTCCAGACAAAACACCCGAGTGACTGATCCGGCGAACTGGCCTTTGACGGTCAAGACGAGAGGGACTTGATGCAGGCCACATAAAAAGCCATTGCATCACAGAGCTTTCCATGACGAGGCTAGGATTTTGGAAGTTTGGGAAATTAAATCAGTTTCAACCTGCAGTTCCCATTGTGAATGGTTCATCTGGATATTGTCTTCAATACGTGTACATGTACTAATAAGCTAATACAAAGGCGGTGGTGTAAATCTGTGCCGCCGGAGGAGGGGGGGGGGATGGGGGATAACCAAAAATCCACAAATTGCCCGGCCTAGGAAATTCGAAAAGCGGGGGGGGGGGGGGGGGGGGGGGGGCTGTTGGACACAACATTACACGGGGGGGGGGGCTGTTTATGATACAGATGTACATTTTATGTATACTTTCGCGCCTTAACCTTACATCAAAACGGCGCATTTAAAGCTTTTTGTCTTTCCCCCTGTTTTTGCATTTCACTAATTAAAGGACAAATTCTCTCCAAATATTTGTGCCACTTCTCCTAATTTCAAACGTCTTCTCAATGATCATCACCTCCTTACTTAATATCTAAGGTCATAATCGTGTCCCGTTTCAATTATGTTCCTGTAATTTTGCCGTCTCCAGGCTCCCTTTTATCTCATAATTGAGTCTTAAATATCATAGTCAGATTAATCACAGCCGCACTTGTGTTTTGATTGTTTGTTTGTTAGAGGAATATATGTTATTTGAGTTTAAAAAACATTATTCTTAAAGTAGGTATCGGTACTTGTCAATATTGGAATTGGAAGTGTCTACTTTATATACCTTTGTTTTAATTGTTATTCCTTCCTTACCTTTTCAAAACTTTCCCTCACTAATAGTTAATAGGCCTATCCACTTATTTTCTCTGCTATTGGCATGCACCTGCTTATCGGTTCATTGTAATCTAATTCACCGTATGGGTTTCTGGATAGCCCTTACGTAATAACAGCAAAATATAATCGAAGCATAAACCGAACGCATTGAACTATTGAAATCAGGCTCCCTCTGGACATCCCACAAATTCTGTGCATAATTTCTAGGCCCCTTTCTACGATTTAAATGGAAGGTGTTTTTTTTAAGTGAAACTCAGATCCGAAATCCGCGATTACTTCCACGTTATCATTCACTTTAAAAGTTGGTATGTTTTATTTACAGAGGGAAGGAAGAGGTGTGCCCCAGGCCAAATTTCACCAGACGGGTTCGCCCCATGTAGAGGTAAGAGGACGCCCTCAGTAACTCTGCTGAGAAAATGCACTGGAGAATTTCTAGATGGATCTATAACGTGCCTGTTTGTACAAAAAAAGGTTTCTGGTAGAAAGTGATTGTCAAAAAAATGCACGATCTGGACGGATACGATTTCGCGTGAAGTGTATGGTGCTGATACCACACAATACAATTCGTTTAAATGAATGTTTCGAGATTTCTATTATTGTCTCTTTTGATTTTGATGCTTTGTTCGTTTCCAATCATTTGAAGTTACAGGTCAGCTAGTGGATATTACACTTTTCTAGAAAACAGAGAAAAACCATGCACAACCTTTTGATCACAAAACACGATTTCCTCCATAGCACTCTTTATTTCCAAAATCAGTCAATCGATTGATTGGAAATCACCTACATTTCTTGATTTCTTTTAAATGACAGCAAGCCAGACGACATAATTTCACGGGGTGTTAGTACCAATACGATCTTTAATCCACCTTAGGTTTGTGATAATAATTCAGTATGTTTCTTTTGGGGGGGGGGGCCTTTATTTTGTTGGCGATGATAAAAACTGCCATCAAATTGAACGTTACTTTGCACTCGGGATTCGCTGGAAATACAATTTTATTGAAGAGATTATAGACCATGCATGACGGAGCAGTCCTTTCGTAAGCCCAATTATTATTGTTCACTGGTATTGTAATATGAGAACCCAGCAACAGAGATTTTAAGATGATAGGTTTGACAAGTGACATGTCAAAATCATTGGCATTCTGGCGATAGTGGAATAATCCTAACGACCCATGATTAGCCTGACTACATTGCTTGCATCCAAGCTTGAGGACCCTGATGCCACGAACCCGTTTACCCCAAGGAGTCTTATCTTACTAGAGTTATGGAGACATTTCATAAATCATCAGTCTCTTTGCTGGCGATGCGCGGTGTCATATCCTGCCGTGCCATCAGAAAGAGCAACAATTTTCATTGCGGACCTTGTTTAGCACGCCGGCTGGCCATAATTGGTTCAGGGCGAATCACTCGGCGCCGGTGCTCTCAGGGGAAAAGTTCTTAAAACCAGGCCACATTTTCGGGGGCAAACATCATGTGCAAGCTTGGCATAACATCTTACTCGCAATGTGGTTTGTTATACACATGTACTACTGATATAAATGACTGAATTGTTGATGGCTGATCGGGGGGGGGGGGGCATTATGCCTTTTTAATCGGAGAAGTGAAGACACCTTTTTGTCTTAGAAGTTCAGGAAATAATTAAAAACGTGGCGTATCTCCCTCGAAAGCCATCAGCTTCACAGACCTTTTAGTTTTAATATTACAATGTGGAAATATTGCACGATACTATATTCGTATTAATCCCCTACCCCTTTTTGGAAAAAAAGTACTCGAACCCCCCTCCCCCCCCCCAAAAAAAATGTGGTTCTGGATCCGCCCTTTGCTAGTGCTAAGTTAGTGTGAGCGGGGTTGATAATTACTTCATCTTAGGGTAGTGCAGCTGGATAAGTGGTTATAGCACAAGGGGCGGAACCCATTGGCTCCAGAGATGACACTCATCGTCTGTGGCCTTGAACTCAGTCAAACCCTGGAGGACGACAGGCCTTTAGCCCTGCTAGTGCCAAGTTAAAAATAAAGCATGGGGTGAGTCATGCGACGCAAACCTTGAACCTTGGCTTTAGTCATTAACAAAGTGAACATTTATGAGACTTCAATGATAGCTTATGTATTGATATCGAAAGAACATGCGTTTGTATATATAAATGTACATAGAAACTTGCACATTGTCTGGAATACATTTTAATATTTTTATTATACATATTTTTTTAATCGTCAGAAGAATCGCAACTTAATCTGACACGAAAAAAACCTGTCATAAAATGTTATCATGGAATCAACATGGTAGTTCGTTTCTGGCTATCTGGTTTGAAATTTTAGCATTCCGTTCCCCTCCCAATATGTCATGTTCTCTGACATGTTTTTTCTTCTTCAATTTTTCCTTTTTTCCCCATAATTACGAAAGCCCACTAGTGCCATGAAGTGTACAATTTTCAAAAAATGAAGTATATCTTTTTCTACATTTTTGTTTGTACGAGATAATTTTTTTCCAAGTTCCTTTTACGAGATATATTTTTTTCCAAAGTACCTTTTTTTTGAAAAAGAAAAGTTTATATTTCCAAATATATTTTTATGAGTATATTTTCTGATAAAGTGAAGTTTACGAGATGCTTTGGGGAAATTGAGGGCGTTCGCTGTGTCAGGCCGGCAGGTCGTTGAGACCTGCAGCGCAGGTACGACGCAAGGTTGTGCACCGTACCCGAAACTGGTGATAATTTGCCAACAGCCCCCCCCCCCAAAAAAAACCCTCAAAACGAACCCATTTTTTGTTTAAGTGACGTCGCAACTAAGGCAGGTACTGCGTACACCACCATCTTTTCCTCCAAAAGATTTGGTTAAAGTTATCAGAAATTACCTCAGATCGCACCACAGAGCGTCTAGAATCCAGAATTTTTGTCGGGGCCCTTAAGCGGACCCCGAACCCCACGCCGTTATTTTTTGGACCAACTTTTTGGGGGACCAAATTTTTGTGGGGTCCCCCAAAAAACGTATTGTGTTCTGGATCCGCCCTTGATTGCTAAGGCCTAAATCGAAGTGCAAGTTCTTCTTGGACTGTACAAACTTAACAGACGCGACTGTAGGCCTATATCTCGTAAAAACGAACTTCTGAAAAAATGTATCTCGACAAACGGACTTAAAAAATATAGATCTCCTAAAAACGAACTAGAAAAAAAAATCGTTGTTAGAACGAACTTGAAAAATTATACTTTCGTAAAAACGATTCCTCCCCCCCCCCCCTCAGATATATCTTGTAAAAACGAATGTTTCTAAAAATAGATATCGTATAAAACGAACTCGGAAAAATAGATCTCGTGAAAACGAACTTGGAAAAAATGTACTTCACTTTGTGAAAATGTATTCTTCATGACAATAGTGGGCTTTCGTACATAATCAATCTGTTTTTAGCACACACAAAAATAAAACACTGTATGTTTTCTTCATTTGCCTTTGTTCCTAGTCTGAATATGTTAGCACGAAACCTATCGGCATTCACAGTTCATGCAGGATGTGAAAACTCACGTCACTGTCGCAAGGGCGGATCCAGAACACAATTTTTGGGGGGGCCAAAACAATTTTTGGACCCCCCAAAAAGTGGGTCAAAAAAATTACGGCGTGGGGTTCGGGGCCCGCTTAATGGCCCCGAACAAAAAATTGGATTCTAGATGCTCTGTGGTGCGATCTGAGGCAATTTCTGACCACTTTAACCAATGTTTTTTTGAGGAAAAGATGGTGGTGTACTCATTGCCTGCCTTTATTGCGATGTCACATAAAAAAAAAAAATTGGTCTCGTTTTGGGGGGGGGGGCCATGGCCCCCTTTGGCCCCCCCCCCCCCTGGATCCGCCCTTGCACTGTCGGGGGCGGATCCAGAAATTTTTGCGGGGGGGGGGATGTTTCATCAGCAAATCAATGCTGAAATGTAGACAGATTTTTTCCCCGGACACTTGGAATCAGTAAAACAATGGGGGGGGGGGGGGTTTCGTACCATACTTTCAATCGGGGCGCTGTTCGAATCCGACAATCGTTAAAACTACAATAAAAAATCCTCGATTTACACCCTAAACAAACGTGGGTGTGTGTGTTTTGGTGAGGGGGGGGGGGGGGTTGCTGTTGGTTAGTTTTGTTGGCTTTTTTTTCACTCGGATCTTATTTTTCACTCTAATATTCCAGAGAGCTTCCCGGCTATTTTGGGCCTTCCAACCATTACTCCCATAATCCTGGAGGACGTGCTACTCAAATGCACCTACCAGGGGCTGAACTCGGGCCAGACCTCACTCAAAGGCTACACTGTGTCTTGGTATAAGGTAGGCCTATGATTATACTCAGAAGAGGAGTGAAGATGACAGTTTTTAAATTGTCGATTCTCATCAGAAAGCCATCCCCTCTCCCTCTACATATTTGTTAAATGTTAAGAAAAAGAGAGATAAGAAAAAAGTGTAAAAAGAGCGCTCCTAGCATCACATGAGGTCCAGCCCCGCCCCCCCCCCCCCCATATTGTTGTTCATATATGAAGACCACCTCTGTAGAATTCCTATCTTTTTGAGTCTGGAAATATAAGAATGTTTATTGCTTTATCGTGTTTCTGAAATTGAGGATTCATTATCTTTATTTTAGTTCAAAGAAACAAGTTTTCACCTTGTGTGGTCTTTTATAATTATAATGGCCACAGACATTCACAGAAATACTTCACATTTTGAGGGGCATACTTTTTTTTCCAATTGGTTGTGTGTGGTTATAGAGGTAGACTGTCCCTGTGATAATTCTTTTCTCCATATTTTATCAGGCAGACAGCATGGACTCATTCCAGAGAGTTATGTCAGAGGATACATTTGCCAACTTTGCCTTCATTAACCCAAGGAATTATTTCCATATGGGTGATAAGGTATGCCATATATAAATTGCAATGAATCATTTTATTTGGCATCGCTTTTGTACTATTAATTCAGACTAGTCACATTGCAGTGTGAAACAAATTCAGGTTAATTTAATTTTGAGCAAGATTTCACTTTTTCAATACTTGAGAGAAGATTTCACCACTTCCATTCTTGCACTGTGTAGCCAAAAATGTCCTGAGAAAAGAAAAATGAAGAATGTTAGTTGTAAGTTTCAGCAGAAATACGCCTAGCCTTGGCCCAAGACGTCAGTGATCAATAGCGATGGTTGCATTGTTGTAGAGCGCCCTTGCACAAGTGTTTGTTTTTACTTTCTCACTCTAACGCTTGGGAAGTTTGCAGTAAAGGGGGTGCGGCCATTTTATAAAAATTAAAGTAAAATTCATGAGGGTGACATTAAAATTAAGTATTACTTGAATTTCAGTAAGCTGAGTTCAGCTGATGTGTATATTTTGCCATCAACAGATTATTTGTTCTGTACAAGCTTTCTTCAATGAAACAAGAGAACTAAAAAGCCCAGCCGTTGAGAGTGAACCATTTGAAGCTTCAATCAAGGTGATCCAGCTGTGTTTCATTAAAACATATTTCTGCACAGATTTTGAACGATTGAGTATAGAGCTGATAATGATCTAGTTTTAAAGTACCGGTAATCAACCTTTTATCCACTCTATGCTGGGGTGCTACATGAAATGCATATAGCAGGAGAATAGATGGAACTTGGAAGATGGCTCTTACAAATTATTTTTATATTTGTTGACAGTTTGTCATTTAATATATAACATGGTGTGCTGCGTATCCCTTGTTGTGGCATTGAAATAGTTGCCTTAGGGCAAAGCAAGATCTTATTTGGACCCTCTGTTCTTTCAATTCACACTTCCTGTGTCACCTTTGGTGTTTTTCTTGCACCTTGCTTATATGATGTTTTAATCTTGTTCTGTGGCTTTGCTGTGAAGGTTTCTCCAACCAGTTTGGAGATATTGGAAGATGGCCAGCCACACTTCTTAATATTTGAGAGCACCATGCCCATCATGTGCGCAAACAAGGATGCACCCTGCTCCATCAGAGTTGCACTGACAATCATCAACAATGGTGCGTTGCTAATCACACAGGGTCGGATCCAGGAATTTTTGTGGGGGGGGGGGGCATTTCATCAGTAAATCAATGATGAAATGTAGACAGGTATTTTCTCCCATCACTTGGCCTCTGTAAAACAAATGGGGGGGGGGGGTGTACCATACTATCAAAAGGGTTGCTGTTCAAATCCGATAATCATTAACACTATATTACAAAATAGTGTACAAATACCCCTGTAACCCAGCTGGCTCTGTCCGTATTTTGTTCACCTGTGTATATTATTTCCATATCTGCGCCTGTCACAGGACCTTTTTATAGTAGTTAGTAAGGTATATCAAACGAGGAATTTTTTTTTACTGAAGTGTTAATTGCCAAATGGTTTGAGAAAAATCACTTCATTAGAGTTTCATGCAGATCAGTTGTTAAGTATATCTGTATGATCAAATTATTGATGGGTGTATACAATTAATCATTTCCTTCTTGCAAGATTCCTAAACCCCTTTCAGGACTACAACAGATAATCAGTCATACATGGGCTATTTACAGAATAATAAGGCACATTGTCACCAATTTTCCAACTTGCACAAAACCCACCAAGTTTGATTCCGAAATGGTTGGGTGTTAATCGACTTTAAAATTTCACAGCCACCTATTACTGGTAACCAAAATGGAATGAAATAAATCATAGGAATCAAATAGTTGAATTTTTTCAAAGCTGGTAATATTACAAACGAATAATTTGAATTTCACTGTTTTTCCAAAACTGTCTGCACTAGCCATTGGCAGTATTTTAGAGTTTTGTTGTACAGTTGGTCATAGAAACAGAACTGCACTCCTCAAAAAAAGATTTGGCCAAATTTGTCAAAGTAATCAAACATTCATTATATGTAAATAAAGCTATGATGGCACAGTCATGTAAAGGAACGAGTGTTTAGAGTCACAAATTGCGGTCTAAAATTCTGCATTTCGCAACACCGATATCAATTTTGTCAGTGAATTTTAACATTTGATATGACTTAATTAAATTGTAAAACATTATTGAGATTGTAAATCTTATTTTCCCATCTTTATGATTGTTGGAGTTGCCCTTTAACTTCAATTTGATTTGTGGTGTTGAATGTTGTCAGCAATGACCATTTAAATAACTTTTTTAGCCCCTGTTTTATACTAATGCTTTGGCATGAAGTGTCATTACAAAATCCTTTTTAAAATATTCTTTTAACGTTTAATTGATTTGAATATAACTTTTATACTGCTCTTTGAACCCCTCAGAATTTCAGTTTGGGTCGGATGTGGTCCTATCCGAGTGTTTCATTGACTTTCGTTCGCGTGTTTGCCTCGAACCAAGATGCAGAAGAGCTTCAGTGCTTGTGACTGCAGTAACAGATTTCACACATGATGGAACGCGGACAAGTCTCATTGTAACAGGAGCTATCACCAGCACTGACATCTTCTGGGACGGGTTTGACCCAGCAGATGTACAGGTTATTTCAATAACTTATTATTTTGTAACTTTTAAGAATATACCTCTTTTGACATTATTGATAAGTTTTTCCTTTTTAACAACTAATAGCATTCACACAAATTGAATTGGAACTATAGCTAGCAATCAGCATGGCATAGGATATTTATTTTTGTTATTTTTTTACACTTAAAAAAATATGACAAATTATCCTTGCATGTTTGTTTATTGCTGAGATTGGTTTGTCGTGTTATATTTCCCTTTTCCCCTTCTGTTGGTCTGCCAGTTACTACACTGAGCTGCAGCTTTTGTCCTTGCTCTTTTTTTGACAAACACAAATTTAATACTGGTTTTTTTCCCTATAACATCAAAACTTTTCCACAAGGAAGATAAGCCAGAAGCCTTGATGGAATTGGAAAAAAAATTAAACTAGGATTGTTCCTGCTCACATCTCTTCGAAAGTTTTGAGGATCTTCCCAAAGCAACTTAAGGATTTTTGTTTATTACAAAAAAAAAGTTTTTTTTGGTGTAAGTAGTTTATGTGGATTTTATATGTTGTTATCTGTTATTTTTTTTTTTAAATTGTGAGCATTTTCAGCAAGCAGAGACTGTGAACCAATTAAGGAAAGCGTAACAGCTTAACTGTGTTACTTTTGGTGCATGTCCACACCAAAAAGCTGAGAACATTGACACTGAATTTCACTGTTCTTCACATTTGAGAAAACTTCAATTTTGTAAATGATTTCCCAACTGTAGGTTACAGTACAGGATGTTCGCACTGCACAGTGCTATGCTTTCACTGAACCGCATTTCATCACATTCGATAGAAAGTAAGTTATAATGTTGGTTTAAAGAGCATCAGTTCCCATGGCAAGCTTACCTTGGGGTGGTACCGGGTCTGAAACTGTTCAGTGAATTGTTTCACACTTAATTCATGTAATCCATGTTTATTTCACCTTGTTGAAATCTTGAAATAAGTGATGATAATAAAGCAAAATTATTATATGGAAGGTCAGACACATTAACTTCATATTATTAATGGCTCTCTGTCAATTGGCCAAGCCGTCACTAAAAGAATAGAGTGAACAACATTGGAAGTCCAGGTTGACAAATCCCAAAAGCACTTATTTTTTTTGGGAGTGAATTCTATGTTTACATGAAATTTTTAGGAATAATTTTTACCACCTATTCTATAAGTTTTGTTCATTTTTTTAAACAGGAAATATGACTTTTACAAGACAGGGACATATGTTTTGGTCAAAAGTCGCATCAGGGAATTTGAGGTATGCATATTCAATTGATTAAGTTACTCAGTAAAAGTTCAAATAGAAAATATGTTTTTTAGCAAATGTTGGTGATATATTATTACTTTTTTCTTAAAATTTAAACTATTGACAAAAGATGTTGGTCTATAAAGGCCAATTTACTAATACGCGACGCTTTAAGACACATGACTTAGTCGTGTAAATGTAAACTAGCTTATTCATTTATGCATATTTATAAAAACGCACGACAAGTCGCACGACATGTGTAAATAGACCTGAACAGAGTTCTTGACCATCAAAAGTGTGTCATTTATATGTTTATTGTATGTTGAATTTATTCTTACCATTTTTAATTTTTCCAATTTTTTTGGGGGGGGAAATGTGCAGGTTCATAACAGAATCTGGAACTGTGGTGGCTTGATAGACCAGGTGTCATGTAGCTGTGGCTTTGTTGCTAGAGAGGATAATGATGTAATCTCTGTTGACATGTGCAATGGTAATGTGTTTGAGACAACAGCTGAAGTCAAGATTAGAAGCCCCTTACCACTGTCTGATGGGGTCAAGGTCAAGGAGGCAAGGAATGGAACTAAAATAACAGTAAGAATATAACACTTCAAGAATAATTGGTACCAATTCGAAAAGCAAACCTCATATAAATCGTCCAAAGTAAGATTCGGAAAAAGAGATGGGTGAGGGGCAGTCTATCAAAACAACACTTCAAAGCAAAGGGTTTCTGTGCATGCCTGACTGAAACATAGCCTTTGACCTATGGGTTTTATGCCAGACAAAGTTAGCGAGCTGCACTCTGATGCTTGAAAAAGAACAGCATTGTTTTTGTTTTCTAGCACCTATGAACACAAAGCATTGAACTGGTCAATGGAACGATATGTGCCATAAATTACCAGCTCCTAATTTAGTCAATTTCATACAATTATGACAAAAATTATGAAAACGTTAATAAGGGAAATAACCTATTGTTTTCCAAAGCCTAATTTGATGAAGTATAGCCTCTGACAATGTTCATTTATACAATTTGTTTTTAGATTGAGTTTCCATCTGGGGGCTTTGTTCGTGCTGATATTGCAAATTGGGGGATGAGCATTACCGTACAGGCTCCTTCTGTTGACTTCAATCAAACACTTGGCTTGTGTGGAATGTTTGATGGCAACCCTGACAATGACTTCCATGATGCTCAAGGAGAACCTATGAACATTATCATGAAGAACAAACAGGCTAATGAATTTGTTGAACAGTGGAGGTGAGTGCTGTGCTCAGTTTTTGTTCAAATGCAAACTTAATGTAAACCAAGGCCCACTTTAGATCTGTAAAAGCATACATTATCTGAGCAAAAATAAAAAGGCGGCTGTTATAGATAGTATCCGTTGAAACGATTTTTGCCAACAAAAGAGGGTTTATGCACTCATCTCTAGCGGTTACTTTGGATATCGAAATTGGTTTAGTTTGATGGGTAATGAACTCAAAACCGTTTATACCAAATTTGAAGGTATTTGAATGGAAAATATAGAAATTATGCTAAACATACTGTTTTTGACCAAAAATGGGCAAAAATGTTGTAAAGTGCCAAATGATGTCATATTGGAGATTACAAATGATGTCATATTGGAGATTGCCAGCCACCCAACATTCCTGGCACCTTTTAGGAAAATGGGCCTGCGCATATGGACTTAAGACCAGAAAGGCCCCGGTCCTGATAAGGTAAATATGAAGTTATAGTCATTCTCAAGTGGCCACTAAGTAACTGTTTGGTCCTGACTTCTCTCTCTCTCTCTCTTGCTCTCTCTCTCTTATGATGATTATTTGGTGTTCTTTGCCAGGTTGCGTGATGGAGGGATGTTCAATTCAGGTCTTACAACTGTTCCATTCCGTCTTCAATTTCCATCTTGCTCTTGTTCACTCTCGATGCTTGGAGTTCCAAACAGCCTCTTTCCCTCTGAAGACCTGGATTGCATAGATGGCATTAGCTGCATGGCAAGATGCACCGGAAATGAGGGTGTATCACGAATGGAAATTGTCAAGTCTCTAGACATGACCTCCATGTATAACAACGTTGTCACCTTTCCTTGGGAGCAGAGAGTCAAGCGAGCAGACTACGAAGAATTCCCTGAAACCGCCACCACAGATATGCATCAGGATGCTAAAAAGGAGCATAAGATGACAAAGCGGTTTACTGATTTCCTGGACCTTGGCAATGGCCCACAGTTTGGGGACTATGGACCAGAATCCCCTTTCTTCTTTACTGATGATGGTAACTTTGGCTCACCTCTGGTCGATACCTACTTCTTTTACCCAGACCATGCCCCCACTGACCTCCAACCAGTCATGACTGAGTGGCCCACTGCCACTGGTATCACAGAACAACAAGCACTTGATATTTGTGAGAGAACTATACGTAACTCCTCCCTAGGTTTAGCCTGTGGCATGGATGCACTGAAGACAGACATGTTCATCCAAGATGCAATAGAAGTCTGCCTTGGGGATATACAAATGACAGACAATATATTCTGGAGTGACCATGCCATCCCGCTGCTTGAGAACCAGTGTGAAGCAGCTGTGGTTCGAGACAGAACACTATGGAAAGTGAATGTTCTAGAACTACAAATGGATATGGTTCCACCAGAAAATATAGTGAGGGCCCTGAACTGCCCCAAGAATTGTAGCGGAAATGGGGTGTGCTCCAAGCTGGGTTGTGTGTGCACTGCAGGGTATTCCTCGCATGATTGTAGCCAATCTGATGGTGAGTTTATCAGCTGAAGGTTGGATTGAAGACTGTTGGACTGTTGTTTGTTTGTCTGTCTGTCTTTTATACTAGTGTTATTTACTTTAGGGTACCTTTTAAAAGTATTCTGTTTTATTAATCTGTTTAACTTTTTAATAAAATGTTTTAATTAACCTATATCACTTGCCTGGGGGACGCTTAAAACAAAATAACTCTATTTCAAGTATTTGGTCAAATGTGGCAATAAAAAGTTTGAGGTTGGGGATTTGGCTGCAAAACAATCCAGGTACACACAGGTTTTCTCTTCAGCCCAATTAATGATTTAGTAATCCATGGAGCCAAGCATCAGTCACAAATGCAAAAGCACAATGTAAAGATAAACAATAAAAATATCGAAATTAACAAAAAAAATTGATCCAACGATCATCAACACTATATTACAGAATAGTGTAAAAAAAAAATTGTGGAAAAAAAATTCAACAATCAAGCAAAGCATGGTAATAACTCAAACAAAGCATTGGTACACTTTTTTTCTATCTATAATGAGAATTCAAGTTTATCAAATTATTAATTAGTTGTACCAAATTAATTATACTCCACATGTTAAAGGGAATGTACAACATTTGCTTTTGCTGCAATTTTCAGAAATAAATCGATTTGGAAGATAAGTGTGTTATAGCAAATATTGTTAAAATGACCCTTTTTTCACGTTTTGGGCTTGTAGATGCTGGAAAAACCGAGAAAACCAATCATGTTCTTGCAGTCTGGTTCCCTGACCCCACTTAAGATGAAACGGAGCAATTTATAGACTTTGGGGACTTGTAAGGTCAAAGAATCAGTCTAGCAGACTTGTACCCCTTCACAGGTGTGTAATCACTTGCAAAAAAAATGCGAAATAACTGATAATGAAAAAGTCGGAGCAGTTTTTGAAAAATAGTCAGTTTTCTCCAACGCTGGTCGGCCGACCAGCGTTGCAAAAATACAATTTTTCTTGAAAACGTCAGCACACCAGGAGCCACGATTTTACAGGACTGTCATTCCAAACAATCCAGTAAGGTATTTCGTGATAATTTGATCGTTTCGTTTTGTGATGTTTGCAAATGTTGTATCTTCCCTTTAACTATTTGCCCATGGAAGTAGCAGCATTTGTTTTTATATTTGACCTGATATTGATAATGAAGCACTATTCTAAGTCAGTTTATCATTAACTGCTTATGGAAAAATCAGTGATTGAAAATGCATGGAAAAAGCAATTGATTTTTTTGGCATAACACATAACAGCTAACACAAGCTAAAACTTCAAAGGTTTCTCACTTTTATTTCCATTGATTTGAAAACTTCTAATTTATTTTTGGTAAAGCTGATGTCCCAGAGTTACTTCGACTGGAGAACAATGGCGTGTGTGACTGGCGGTCACAAAGCTGTCGCCGTGTTCGAGTAACTGCCAGAGAATTCCAGGAAGGACGAGCAATGGAATGTCACTTAACAAGACTAGAGGTGGGTATACTGTTACAATGAACACTGTGCAGGAACCAGAGTTGTATCTCTCAGGACTTGGACTCATGACTAAGATATCACACTCATGAGGACACATTACTTTATTCAACAGCAATATGCCTTTTTCAAATGGACTGTGTTCTCATATAGAAGAACAGTGGGACTGTCCATAACATGCCTTTCTACTGAGGAACAATGTGACCTTTCCAAGTTTTTGAGATGCTCATTACAAATAGTGGAGTCTCATTTCACGTAGCGCGCCATACGTCCACGAGACTGCATGTGCACAACTGCTGCGTACAATGTGTATGAAGGTCAAACTTTTCACGCTCCGGGCTCGGTGACTAAAGAAAATCAAACAATGCCCACTTCAGATTCTGTTAAAAGAATTATTTCTGATACATTTCATGCCAGTTTAATGGTCATACTCCCACAAAATACACCCAGTGAAATGAAATCTTTAAGTTCATGTCAGTTATGTGACCCGCCTTGTAGACGCATACAAGCGAGCGCGGTGCCAGCATTGCGACCGACGTGCTGTGAAAGAACTTCCCCAACATTTGTCTCGGGAACCTGTTAATTTTGCCACATGAAAACGAAGTAGTTCAGGTCTTAACGAAGATGGTGGCTGTTAGTTTTATTGTTTTCACTGAACTAATGCACCTGCTAAAGACAAATGAAAGTGCGGTTGCGAAGCTGCAATGGCGAACGGCATTTTGCTACTCACCAACCAACCTACTGTGCGGAGAGGGGTGTTATATAATGTAAAGTTTCAGAGGGACGGATACACACTGCAATACGCATTAAAAACGATTCTCTCACAAAACCTTCTGTTGGCCGCCACCACAGAATACTAATCTCTCAAAACTTTTCTTTATAACAATACTGTTAAACTCACAATAGAATCCTGGTTCCTCCGAACATTTCGCAGCATGTACACCGCCATTGAAATGGAAAGGGTTGTGCGGTAGCTAGTACAAATGTAACAACACAGCACGCGCGCCAGCACGATCGTAGACTTGCACTGACACACACGTGGTATCCATGCACACACGCAAAGAATAAAAGCGCATGCTACGAAAAAGTCACATTGCACGCGCACAACACATCATCAAGGAGCGACTTAGTAAAGTTGAGTACTGATGTTCATTTTGAGACTTGCCATGTACAAACTATTTGTAATGTTCCTCAGGGGAATGACTGAAAGGGTTGTCATTTGTTTTCTTGAATAAATAACGGCATTATTTGTATGCACATCTGCAAGGGTACCTCTGAATGGCGTAATATTTTGTCCCACAAGCTCCTTTATTGCCCTAGTCTCTCTGATTGCCTCTTCGTGCTTTGTAACCTACATTAAAACTAGTCATGTCGTGTGCTGCTGCTTTCAGGGGGTTCATATGCCAGTTCCTTTGTGGCTTCAATCTGTTCTCCTTATAGGCAATAGGCTGCATTGGCTGCGGTGTTGGCCATTTCTCATCTGCGTGCCTGATGTGAGACTTGAGTCTGAGGGAACCACTCCACCTAACTTGGGCACCTTAAGGTCCTCCTTGTTCTGGCTCACCAGCTCTCATTCCAGTACAGCCTCCCTCCATGTCCTGGCTGACATGCAATCTCTGACGTAACAGAAACTGTATATTCCACTGTAATGCTTCCTCATACACATTGTTAAGAGAGAAAATGTTCACATTTTCCTTTTTAAAATGATCATGATTGATGTCTTCATTTTGTGTTAATCTAATATAGAGTTCCAGTGCTGAAACAGCCATTTTTCAGAGCCAGGCTAGCTACATCAACAAGCGGTCTGCATTGTGCCATCTACCCTCACTGTCAGAAGGGGCCACTGCAGACAAGTCCTTGACGAGGTGGAAAATAAAGGTAAACGACACAGCTGAATAGACTGTTTCACCTTACGTAGGATCTGTATATTATAGGACCTACATGATCAAGAAATAGCCTTTAAAGATCACAAATGCTGACATTTGCTAGATTTTGACTCTTTGAATTTACTTCAAAGCTCATACACAGTATAAAACACACTGTATAAGTAGATTAAACAAGAGTCTTAAATTTCAGCAACATTATAGTTGAACTGTCTGTGCTCTTCAACAATTTTGATTATTTTGTTCTTACGGATTTTCATCTGTATGTTTTTAATGTCTACGTCACTCAACTTACTGTAGAGCAATCTACTTGTGCATATTTCCCTAGACCGGCAGGTATTTACGCTAAGAGTTTACACAAAAGCACCCTCTGGTGCCCTACCCATAGTGCCCCACGCTTTGCCTCTTTTCTCTTAGCAGCAGGTCGGATAGGACTAGCTTATTAATACGCTTGTATTATTGATCATTCTTCGACTGCCTGTAATCGCTTAAGAGAAGTTTCCGGCTTAGAGTTTGTAGCTATAGTGTATTGTTCTAGTGAGATTATTAGCCGTGCTCCAGTGTCCCCGCCTGCAGTGAGCGCTCAACCGCCGTCAGTCATTGGTCAATGTTGGGTAGCCCAAGGACAAAGGGACATACCGCACATGGTTAGCTTGGGTCTGGTGTCCCTACCGGCACTGAGCTTACGCCCGTCTATGCCATACACAGTTATCCAGCTTAAAGTCCTCTTTTAGCTTTTGACTTGTTTTTCTCAAACCCACTCACAAGTATCAACACTGTACTATAAAGCAGAACAGGTCTATGTCATGTGTTTTTGTGTGTATTCACAAGTTGATCGCCTGCATAGTGGGCAATAGGCAGTACCAGTGAAGCCACTTCTGCCTGCGAAGTGGGCGACAGGCAGCAAAGCCACCTCTTACCAGTGCAGCAGGCGAGGCAAAGCCTTGCATCAAGATTATTTTAATTGTTTAAGGATTCTTTCTGAGCTTGTAATGGACAAGATCAAATCAGAAGACATCAAAAAAACATTTCCCCTAGTAGTTTGATTTTTTTTTGTATTATATTTTATTGAATTTCTAGATGTCCTATGTGGGCTCACAGATGAGTTCTGGATTGGTTTTCACCGTGTATGACTCCCACTGCCAACAGTGCGACTGGACTAGTTCATGTGTATTGAAGGTAGAAAGAATTGATCACTTAATTCATTCCCTCAAGATTGTCAACAATCCACATAGGCCTACTTACTAGATGATAATGTTTATTGGTTGCTGGCCAATAATTTTGTTTTTTAACAAGACATAAAACCAGTTCCCCCCCCCCCAAAAAATCATAATACCGTAATGACGATCTTATCGCCTAGCGATGGCCACACTGGCATCGTCACAGTGTCATCAGGCCAACAGAAATTTTCAGTACGGGATACGTGGTATTGAACTTGCTGTGCTATACTACTATACCCAGGGTTCAAAATTAGCGGTAGCCCGCTAGCCAAATGCTAGTCAAAACAGCGGCAGGCTAGTCAAACTAGTCCTTAGGTAGCCCGGCTGGCGGGTCAAAATATTATTGGGCTACGGCAAAGATGAACAGACAGGAAGAAATAAATCATTAAATTCAGAAAGCGAACCTCTAAGTTGTCACTTTTGTATGTAAAAGATAAACCCTAGCAATATGCTGGCCAAAAAAAATATGTGATGCTTTGACATACATGAAAAGTAAACTTATTTTTGTAGTACGTGAAAGAAGGTGCCTGCTTTTCATGTTTTTCATTCCAACAAAATGTTTTCAAGTCTTCGGGCCTCATAGTTTCAGGAATCTCTCAACCATCTGTTCATCAATTCAGCTTGATCAACTTCCAAACTAAAATGACAGTAGGAGACTTTTGAGATGCCTGGTTGCAGCAAATACACCGGTCCTTTTCAATTGACACAAATATTTTAAAAGGACTGGTGTGTTTGCTGCCAACAAGTGTCTCAAAAGTCTTCCATGGTTCAATAGTCTATGATGGGACTTATGTAATAGTACATATAGAATGTATGAAGTCCTTGTTAATGGAAGATTACATAGAGAAGTAATGTAATTTATCGGTTTGCAGCAACTGTTTGGGAGGGGAACAATGCACCCTCTGACTGTGGATTGCCTCTAGGATTTTCTTACATGTTTTCCTTGCCAACTCTTTGTTATTATAACAGGAAGATGCCTGTCTGATTGATTCCATGTGCTACCAGCAAGGTCAAGTCAACCCAGAGGACCAGTGTCTGCAGTGCATTCCTGAACAAAGTGTGGACAAGTGGTCACCAAATACTGGTAACTGTATTCAACAAGTTCCATTGCAGCAGTGCCAATCACCCTGCAGTTAATCAGTAAAATGTGTGGGTTTTTCTGAAAAGACAGCTTTGGAGTATTGAATTACATGTTTACCTTGTCAACATTGTGAAGCAGTTGTCTGATTGTAGAGCTAGGATAGCCCCTCAACAACATTGTCCTTGGGCCTAAAGTTGCAAATTTAAAACAGCCTTTGCCTGATGAATATATAGATTGCAAAATATAGCAGAAGGAACACTCATTATAACACTATACAATTGGCAGCACTTTCCATAGCTAGATATGTACAGATAAAGTGTATTTTAATACACATATGCATCACTTTCTTGATTATTTAGTCAATTCCTATTATAATTACACAAGAATACCCATTTTCTTTTATTATTTAGAAAATCTACCACCAGTTCCAGAAGACAGTCCCCTCTTGACGTTCTTTGTGGATGATACTGTGAAATATCAAATCCTAGCCACAGACCCTGAAGGATCAGCAATCATGTACACTGTTGCAGCACAGGATAATACCAGTGATGTCATCATATCTCCTGATGGAACCTTGACATGGCCAGCAGCAAGACAAGGGGACCATTCCTTCGCTGTCATTCTTACTGATGAATGTGGTGCCTCAGCATTGTCAATATTACAGGTACATTTTAGTTTTATACCTGGTTCTATGTAAATTGTATGACTGCAAAATATTGTTGAAAGCCAGTTTGAATTGAAATAGACCGGTGCTTCTTGGGGTTTTTTTGGTGAAATGTAGTTTATCAGTAGACAGTGTTACTGACAGTTTACCCTGGTGTAATGTTTGGAACATTTTGCCTGCAGCAATATTTCAGTCATTTTGTTGAAGAGCTTGTGTTTCCCCAGAGGCATGTTGTCATACCAACATCACTGTCAACATTTTGGGGGTGTTAATTGCCTCGCACTTAGGGTTGAGAACAAATGCCTAATTCTCAAATGAAAGTGCTCAGGACATTGTTGTGGATTGTCTGCTGTTTCATACATTCTATCTCCATGGCTACTTGCATTAGTATGATGATTTTTGGTCAGACAATGATCTTGGTTTTCTACAGACATAAAACATATATGGTATTACGGTCAGCCTGCCATGTAAGACGGTTAGTCTGGTACCCACTCGTGATACTCCAACCGTTTTGCGCATGCGGAACTCGGGGTACCAGAGTGTCATGCCTGTCTTAGATTTCTGATCATTTTGAAACATTCGTTGTGACAAAGTTGTGCCGTATTTTACATCAAATTTCTTGGCAATGACAGATCCAACACTCGCGTATATTCACAGGAAGCCCAACAAGTAAGTGATTCACCCATGGGCAAAATTATACATGGTTATATGTAGCGGATCAAAAGATAGAATGCTTTCGCTTGTATTTACCCGAGGGAAGCGCGTGGCGTTGTATACAACGCCACGTTCACGGGTCTAGGCCACTGCAAGCATCCCCTGTAAGCATTCTTCAGTGTTAACCCCAACTCTTGGAGAGTTTTGTTACCAACCTACGTACAGCCTCAGCAGGAGAAGCACTACCACCTTTGAGCAGAGCTTGCAAGATCACCAAGGCCCAGAAGAGAGAGCTTCACAAGTCCAGTATTGCCTTTGCAGAATCTCCAGGCTGACAATTTGTCCACCAATGTACAGCACTAGGCGCAGCATACAACTTCATGCTCACATTGGCCTTACCAGCCATATAAGGACACATTGCCAACTGACCTCAAATTAACATGGTCATCTTCTCCCAAAGTTGACAAATGAGATGAACATTATTCGAGCAGATAGTATATACGTTCCATTATAAAATGACAAATTGTAACAACTTGTTGTTGACTGAGACTTTTATTTCTAGAAGATTGAAATGATATAAAAAAGATAAAATATGATTGATAAAGATTCTAGAAATTGTAAAGAGTTTAGAATCTTTGGTTAAAAAATAATTTTTCTACTTAAAGTACTTTAATATAAAATTGATTAAATTTGTTTATGTTTGCACTAATTGACAAATTTATTAAAATATGAATTACTTGCTTGTCAATAACTAAATGGATCAGTCATTTGTTAAGTGATTGATAGATTGATTGAGTTAATTCCAATCCCTGGCTGGTGGTATTGCCTATTGATATATTGATGCAGCAAATGATTTATAATTGACAGGTGCGAGTGGTACTGTGTGGTTGTCGTAATGGTGGCCAGTGTGTGTTACCAACTGCCAGCAACTCAGATACTGATGCAACCAACCAGGCTGAACTGCCTCGGTATATCTGTAGCTGCCCTCCTGAATACTCTGGCACACTGTGTGAGGTCAGCACACACGGATGCATGTCCAATCCATGTATTCATGGTCACTGTGTGGAGGAAAATGCTGTCTTTTCCTGCCAGTGTGATGAGGGGTATATGGGTAAGTAAGGGATAGTCTCTTGGACATAGTTATGTGTGTGTTTTTTTATTTTTGTTTGTTAGGTTTTTCCTCAACCACTGAAGGGGGTTCATTTTAATAGTGGCAAGTTCAATCTCTGTTTTGATGTCAAAGTCATCCTAGGCGTTTCTCAGAATTTCTCTAAATCCGACATGTTGGTGACGTAAAAGTAACATATTTTCATTAGTGAAACATCAAATGAATTGAAAATAGAAGTCTAATGTGGAATTTGTGAATTTAATTTGATTTTTTTTCCTTTGAACATCTTAGCGATCTCTACATTCTCAAATTTGCCTGCAGATTTGTTATTTTAAGGAAAATCCTGAAAAGTAGATGCAAGAGCCAGAGTTCCAGCCTTTCCAATTTTAAAAGGAAATCATTTTTTCCCCAAATTTTCTCCCGAATTATGATTATTTTCTGATGATTATTTTTCTCCTCAAAATCTGATTTTGTATTAAATTTCAACAAAATTGTTGAAAACTGCATATCTGTATTGTGAGTGCATTTCAATGTCTTATATCAGTCATCAGTAGACAGTTTCTGTGGTAGAAACAATAAGCAAGCTATGATTAGAGTATTGTAGGACTGAAAATAAGTTTAAGCTATTATCTTAGCGTGGGGTGCTTGGTCCAATGGTTACGGTCTTTGACTCATGTGCTGTGGTATGTGGGTTTAAACCCTGACGGGGAACATGGTGTAAGTGTTCTCAGGCAAGGCACTTAACTGTGATTGCCTCTCTTCACTCATGAGTATGAATGGGTACCTGTGAAGGTGGAGACCAAATTTTGCTGATCTCGAGCTGCTGCAGAAAATGGTCTCATTCTGATGAACAGGGAAAATAATTGTGAAGCACTTTGAAACCTTCTAAGCGTGATAAAAGCACCACATTATTTTTACCTTAATTAAAACTACATACGTAAATTGTGCATAGTTTTAACATCGTGACATTTTGTTAGAAACTCCAAAAAGGTGGTGTCTGTAAATAGGGCACCAAGTAAGTATGTTCAAATATACGTAGGAAGGCGTCACAGCTCACATTTTGGACAAGGATTTCGGTTCAGAGAAATAATTCCGGTGATCTTAAAAGTAGATGTGGCTCTTAGATCAAATTGTTATGATGTATGATTTGGCCGGTAGTTTTTGATAAATGATTGGGATATTTGGGCCGTCTACTTTGTGTTTGACACGGGAAGACTAGGCAGTGTATGTGACAAGCTATGTCAACTAATCATGTCTTTTTTGGGGGGGGGGATTTTTTTTAACTTTTACCGTGAGAATGATGAGTTCATCATGGTTGTTTTCATTAATACTGTTCAGAATTCAAAATTAAGATATAAGATTTCCGTCTAATTAATTGCCTTAATTAGACAGAATTAAACAAGTTTGTTATCGCGTTTGAGCTGATATATCAACTTAGAGTCTGATATTGGGCACCATTTCCAGCCAATATTGTATATCTGCAAAATAAGATACATGTATCTGTAACGAATAAACCAAGAATGTTCTTGATTGCTGATAACCACACAGACGTTAACCCTTGACATGATCACTTATGATACTTCATTGTATATTAATGTGAAGGTTCAACCTGCTTGACCCCAATGGATCCCTGTGCTGCTGAGCCCTGTTACCATGGAGTAGTGTGTCTACCAGGCTATAATCAATCCTACACCTGTGGTCAATGTCCAAGTGGGTACACTGGTGATGGTGTTCATTGTGAAGGTAAAAAAAAAAACATTTACAATAATTTCTAACAACTTGTCCAAATGTTGGAAACTGTGGCAGGTTTGGAAGCAGACTCTGTGTTGCAGTTTTTAATACATGTACATGCATTGGTGTCGGAGGTCAAAGTGCAAGTAAATTTTTGTGAAGGTGGCAGGTCGGGTTTGGGGTAAAAGGCTTTGCCTCACTCCATCACTGTATAGATGATACCACACATTCAGAAATTGGTCATTATTTGTTGTTTGGTTTTTATTTTCTTCAGCAATACCTGAAACCCATTGTCAGTGGGGTTGCCCAAGGCGTATGATATGTGACCCATCTAGAGGATGTGTCTGCAAGGAGGGTTATGCCGGATACCGGTGTCATCAGGGTTGGTACCCATTGAAGAGATTCCTTATATCATGCCCAGTTTGGTTGAGATGTGTAATTTTACATGGGAATTTGTTGGTAGGATGAAATCAGACATGGCTGAAAGTTCTAGAAAATTAGACCAATTCTTGAGAAAGGGATTTCTACCTAAAACCTTCCATTGAAATATTAATTATTTACAATTTTGGGGGCAGGGGATAAAACAAATTCTGAAAGACCTTTTCTTGACGGAAGAAGTATTAAATTCACTGAAATTTCGTCATTATTATTCCAGTCTTTCAGTGCTTTGATTTGCTTCAGTTTTTCAGATTTTTTTTAGTGCTCAATTGGCTGGTTTTCAAATCTCAGACTGCTTCCTCAGTGGCTCCAAGAACTGTTTTTCTGTGCAATGAATGTACTTTATAAAGCCCTTCATTTTAAACAAACACCCTTTCATTTATGAAAGTTTATAAACAGTTTTTTTAAATTAAAAGTAAGAACAAACTAAAATCATCACTTTTGTAACAAAAACCATTTCTCTTTCGAGTTATTATTATAAATGTAGAGATTCATATTGGTTGATATATTTTATCATTGTATGACAGCTGTGTGTAATCCCTCGTGTCGCAATAATGGCTACTGTGTCCGTCCCAATGAGTGTGTGTGCTTGATGGGTTACTCAGGACCAACTTGCGAAACAGGTGAGGTAGTTTCCATGTACAAACCTCATGAGACATGTCAAGAAAAAGTTAAAGTACAAGCAATATGAACACTTGAAAATGTTTGAACCGCACAGGCCCTCAGAAGTAAGGTGTAACCAGACTGGGTGTGATGGGGGGGGGGGCACTTTTTTAATTTATTACTGGGATAATGAATATGCCGCAGGAAAAACAATTAATTCTGCAAACATTTAAAAATCACCACCGGAAATTGTAGGTTTTGATGACCAAATAATAATAAGTACCCCCCCCCCCCCAAAAAAGCCAGTAAACATAAGTTTTTGATTCACTATTTGACCATGAATAGAGCAAAGAATGATCATATGTGCATTGTGCAGGGTTCGCCCTGAACTTTTTTCTTCACTAGCCAGCCGGACTATGGAACCAGACTCTTAACTAGCACCCAGGACTTTTCACTTGTCCGCAATGGAATTTTTTGTTTTTCTTTGCAATGTTTGGGTTTTCTTTTCTATATTCATTATACCCTAGCGATTTCGGCACAATATTTGGCAGCACAACGGCATTAAAAAAGCCGAATGGGCGTCAGTATCAGATTATGTTTTTCTCAGACCGGCTTTAAAAAATTGCGGAAAATTTCATACCTTACCTCAAAAGTTTTGACTTGCCAGGCTGGCTACTAGAGAATGTAGATGTATTTTTCTGTTTTTATGTATTTATGGCACAGCAGCATTGTCTATGTGTGCACATGCATGGTGTGGCCAGTCAACATGGCATTCCACGCATGCTGATACCGCATGCAACACAGAGTGTGTTGTCTGTGTTGAATTTTCATATTTCAGAGATAATTTCAGCTTAAATAAAGCAAATTTTGATAATTTTGCGGGATGAGTTTTGAAAATATAAGCAAAATGGAGTGACCGTGACATTCTTTTGGTCAGAGCAATCTGTGAGTTTGTACTGTGTTCCAATACTGGGTGCACTTTAATGGTCCTCTCCCCATGTTGGGATTTTCTTCTGGTTTTTCCTTTGCTACCCACCCAACTCAGATCTTGAGAAATCTGTAATTACAGTTATTAAAAAATTGGCCTTTGAGCTATGTGTATAATTCAAAAGAATAGAAAATGTATTAATAAATGGCATTTCCTGCCTTATTGGAATTGCTTGGTCCTACAGATCAATGGGTATCAGGGCAACGCACGGTAGGGCACACGAACTCCAACTGAAATTACCATGTACCCTCAATTACACAGGAAATGGTGTTCAAAGTCTGCCACCACCTATTGGATCATGACATGTACAGTCAGGTCTCACTTCAGTGTTACTAGCTCTATGAGGTTAAGTTTCTAACAAGTATTAAACTAAAAATAGAATTAGCTGTTGCAAACTGCTTACCAACCAAAATGACCTATGGTATAAATGCAAAAAAATAGTTAGTGGCCTGACGTTTCGACCCTAGCAGAGTCTTTCTCGAAGGCTAAATGACAAGACTGTAAACATAAACAGGTACATGTATACATTACTGATGTAACAAAAGCAGTCAAGTGGAGATGATGCAGATCTAGAGGAAAATACACAGACAAAGCAGGCGGCTGAACATAAAGGAGGGTAACAAAAGGGAGGGGGATTGGGGGAAGGGGATGGTTGACCACAAGAGGTGGGGAACAAAGGACAAAGTCAATGATGGGGAGAGGGAGAGAAAGGTGTTAATTGGTGAATGAGGCAGACTGGAGGGGGGGGGCTTATCTGTGGTATTAAACTACATCAATTGGGACCCAAAATGAATGATAATTCAACTAGGCAAATTATGCACAAACCTATAGGACACTGGTCACTCCTAGTACCCCTTCTAAGTACCATTTCATTTTGTCAGCACAGATATTTGCCCTTGTATTTCTGCAAACTACCCATATTGCATTGAAGTAGTTTTAAGTGAAAAATTTGATGAGTAGGTTAAACCTGAAAAGACATTGCATCACTCACATACCTAACATGGTGTCAGGCCTAATTGGGGCCACACTGAAAATGCTGCGGATCGATGGACTGCAGAGAAGTGACATCGCTACCACTGGATTCAGTGAATGTGATTTTAGAAATGACAACTTAAGAAGTAATACTGTGGGAAGTAACTTGCATACCTTGTAGAAAGGAATTGTCTGATACGAACTGAAATGAGCTGATTATGGCCTGACATCATCATCCTTAAGTTTGCTTCCCTTTGCATGAACAGTGAATCACGTATTGTTGTTGGTAGATATATAGTGCATCCTTTACTGAGACGAATCACATTTCTCTGCTCTGATATTTTCAGAGTGTAATTAAATGCATATCTGTAGTCAGTTGCATGTTAAGTCATCACCACCTCAACACATCACAAAGATTAGAGAAATCTACCCATGTGCCAAGTTTTTCATAAGCCTTTCACACAATCCAAAATATCCGTGTTAGATCAGGGTCCAACGCAGATATTTTGGAACCTGTTTCACACTTGCAAAAATTCGACACACGGGTAAAATCCAACCCTGGTATGGACCAGGGTTGAGAAGTACTACCCAGGTACAGGGTGAGTCAAAAAAAAGCAGAACCCAAACCCCCAAAGATATATTTCATATTTTAAAAATATGTAGCACCAAACATAATTATGACTGGAAAGCCAATTTCATAAGCTACTTTTAGATGAAAAAATTACTGAAATTGCTCAATCCGTTCAAAGAATATCACCATTTAAACACAATGACCCTAAAACCTGTAAAAGTAGTTTAGTGTGTATTCTGACTCTTTGGAACAACAAAGAAAATGACACAGAATACTTGTTTTAACAACTGTCAACAACTGTAGTACACAATAGCTTTATTAACAACCCTGGTTAGGCAAACAATATGATTTATAAAATCCACGGGTTTTTTTAAAGACGGGCCTTCAAAAGGACTTTGTTGAATATTTTTAACTTTTAAACTGAGGTTTCATCGCTGGTGATGTTTGAAGACAATTGTGACGACGATTCTTGAAATCGCATTTTTGGACGAAAGAGGTTTTAGAGTCATTGTGTATTAATGGTGATATTCTGTGAACGGATTGAGCAATTTCAGTAATTTTATCATCTAAAAGTAGGTTATGAAATTGGCTTTCCAGTCATTGTCATCTTTGGTGCTACATATTTTTTTTTAAATGAAATATAATTTTTGAGGTTTGGGTTCCTCTTTTCTGACTCGCCCTGTAGAAATTCCCTCAATCTACAGCCAACCTGTGTACAAATAGGTGTAAGTGTGAAGGTAAGACTTGCCTACCCGTGTACGATGAAACCCGGTTTTGCTTACAGTGGGACCCTGTTGATTTCAACGCAGGTATGGGGGATGATAGTGTGCAAAGACCTATACATAATCTTGGGTCTGTGAGTACGGCAAAAAATGTCAAATCTAGTAACTACATGAATAATGTCAAAACTAGTTACTAGAAAGCTTCTTGTCCCTTAAAGGGAGACTTTATTGAACATGCTAGTTGTTCTATATGATTATGTGTATGTGGTGCGCTTACTTTGTTAAGCTTAGTATCATATGAGCACAGCATTTAATTACTACGAGTTCTTTTAATATTAGTGCCAATTATATACAAAAACAAAACTGCTTATGCTGGGGCTGCGTTGTGGCATAAATATGCCACTGATTATAGTTCCATTTTAACAAGATGCAGTAAGCTACAGCTTCATAACATAACATGTAAACTTTATTTTTAAATGGTGGATGCAAGCATTAACAGGGTTGCCATAGTAATGCTGGCTTGGTATGACTTTTTGCAAAGTTTCTGTAATAATAACAATAACAAGACATTTGATATCTACTGCTTCAACTGAAATACATTTTGAGATAAAAAGGAACCCATAGGGAACGTAGCAATCACCTTTATTATCTCAAGGGGTTATTATTGGTTTTCATTACCCCTCTTTCACCTGGATTTTGAATCTCATCTTTCCCCTGCCCAATATAATCAATGCGTGATCCTGATAACTGCGATCCCCTGTCTTGCAGCACAGTGCGAACCAGAGTGCCAAAATGGAGGCCGTTGTGTCCTGCCCAATGTGTGCACATGCAAGTACGGCTACTTTGGGCCACGCTGTCAGATTTGTAAGTTTGGTCGGAAGGATTTTTGGCAAATAATTATCCAGCACACGAGCCTCCCTGCTGCTTAATCCATTGTAGTTAGTCAGATCCATGCATGCTCAGCTGTAACATGCAATAATTAATAAGCAAATAATCTACTAACTTTACTTTCATGCTTTTTAATTTTTTTTATTATAATCTGCGAACATTTTGCCAGCGTCATCATTAACCTTCTTTTACTAACCTCCTTTTCTTCTTTCAAGGTGCCATAATTTTTAAGGTCCATCACTAATCCGCATGCTAGGTGCTCAATACTAACTTTGAATGCAAACTGCAACTTTAGGGATGTATTTGTACGAAAAACATGTGTCATCCAATTAATAGTACGATCACTGATAAAGTAAAGTACTCAATATGTTTGGTTGTCAATTTGACAGATACAAATTTATCCCTTTCTACTTTAGAAACATTTCTAATCACAAAACTCATATATGTGATGTTGGTGGTGGTTTCTTAACAGAATAATGCCTTAGATTCATGACACCCTATAGTGATGAAAATATCAAACTTGCTGTTAGGCATGGGCTCATTAGTGCCAATTTCCTCTTTGCATCCACACATACTCCTTTCACCAGAACCTCACGACAAAATGTTACCTGCCTGAGGGCTTGACATTGTTGCATGTGAACTAGTTTCAAATGCACCATCAGTCTCAAGGAAGTGCTCAATTGTAGACAATGAATACGAAAAACTCACCAGCCTTTGTAAACCACACAAACAATTTTACTATTTCATAGTATTTAAAGAGACTAAAAATGTATAATTTGCAACACTTCAGTTGTCACTATATGTATGCATTATTACACTTTTTTTCGCACTGCACATTAGGATTGAGAAAGTATCAGTATCATGCTGTCACATGTATGAATTATCCCTAAAACTTGGTAAACATTACCTAATAAAAACCCTACCATTTGCCCCATCATTGCTTACATTAGTAGTTTTTCCTTATGTACAAGTTTTGTTCGTTGTCTTTTTCAGTGACATGCACTGTGAACTGTGCCAATGGAGGATACTGCATCACCCCAAATACCTGCAAATGTCCACAAGGATACACAGGACCCACATGTGAAATTGGTAAGAAGTATCTCAATTATTGGTAGAATTAAATGGGATAAAAAAATTTAAAGGAAATTTTTAATTTCCTGCTTATTGTTGTTTATATTTTGAGAAAATGACGTAAACTTTGCTTTGCAAATACAATTTTAAATAATGAAAGGTTTGCGGAAACACCATGTGCGAATAATTTCCCAACTAAGAGAATGGTTCTGAAAAGAACCAGAGGTATAAACTCGTCGTTCCGGTCAGTATGCTCTGACCGTCTTCAGGAGAATGCCTAAACTCTAAGAAAGTAAACACTTATGTAGCAGAAGCGAAAGCGATGAAGTGTGAAGTTGAGAAATTATTCGCACATGGTGTTTCCACAAACCTTTCATTATTTAGTATCTCCACCATGCAAAGCCTCAAATCTTACTTAAATACAATTTTATTGTGATGTAAGTAAAGCATCCATTTGAGTACATCTCGGAATCGTTAGTCCTATCAGACAAAATGTTGTGTAAAAACTGTTATCAGTCCATGAATGAGCAGTTTGTCCCATGCATATTGATGGAAGAGTAAACACTTTACAGACCCTGCATTGATAATTTGACCCATCAAAACATCAGCCAAAAATGCTGCAATATGTTAATAAGATTTCGCATGTCAAGTAGTCAAGTCAAGTATTTAGCTCGAGTCAATTTGAGTCACAAATATTTGAACACTATACAATAAATAAACGCAAGAGAGAAAGTCATTTTTTGGCTTTTTAAAAATTTTTATCATTCGGGCTACTACATCATCATCAAGTCGACTCTCGTCGGACTGCAACAAAAAAACGCCACACATCACGGTCTCCCATGGCCGTCCTGATCTCAGCTGCAGAGGTTAGCCCAGTATCACGACGCAGCTGGTCTACGTAGGTTAGTGTCTGCCCACCTCGGGAGGCTACTCCATGTATGGGTTCCCAGAGGATGAGTTGGCTTGCAGCTATCTCTGGATGTCGAATGCAGTGACCAGCCAATTGCAGACGCGTAAGTCTGATAGTTGTAGAGATCCTTGGCAGGTTGCCATAGAGCACCTCATTCCTGACTTTGTCTCTCCAACTCACGTCTAGAGCCATCCTCAGCATGCAAGTGTAGCAGCCATCAAGTCGAGCCTCTTGCTTTGTAGTAAGGGTCCTTGCCTCAGAGCCGTAGAGTAGGATGGACTCCACGGATGCACGGAATAGAGCTCGTTTGAGTTTATCCGGCATCATAGACCTCCAGATCTTCTTGAGGTTTTGGCAAGCCTTCCAAGCCTGTGCTTTCCTTACTCGGATGTCCTTGTCTGTTGAGCTGATGTGAGAGCCCAGGTATATGAAGTCTTCTCTCACAGCTAGGGTAGTGCTGTCCTTGGTGTTGATTTTCACATCCCCAGTGTCGATGTTAAAGCACATGACTTCCGTCTTCTTGGCATTGATCTGCAGGCCAATCTTTTTGCACTCTCTTTCCACGCTGAGAAGCAGAGCTTGTGCCTTTTGCACCGAATCCGAGACCAGAGTGATGTCATCCGCAAAGTCAAAGTCAGTCTCTACAACAGCACTCACCCGTCTGCTTTGCCTTGGTGAGAGAGTGAAACCCATCAGCTCCTCCCTCCCCATGATTGCTCACCTCAGAGCATAGTCTAGGACGATGACAAATAAATAGGGCGCAAGAGTATCACCTTGCGCACACCAGCAATGATCTTCTGACTCGCCATCTGGGGTCAGCACCCTGGCAGAAGTGTTAGCATACACATCGTTGATTGCCTGAACTATGCGTGCTGGGATTCCGTAGGCTTGCAGAATTTCCATGAGCTTCCCTCGGTGGATCGAGTCGAACGCCTTCCTGAAGTCGATAAAGGTCATCACAGCTGGGAGATGCTTCCTGTTAACCCCTTCGATGATCCTTCTCAGAGCCAGTATCTGTGAGACTGTGGACCTCTTCTCTCTGAAGCCGTTCTGGTTTTTGCGCAGCATGGGATCGAGAACTGGGTGGATTCTATTCAGAATCATCTGGTTGTAGGCCTTGGCAACCCAGAGCTGAGGCTGATTCCTCTATAATTATCAGCCTTTGTGAGATCGCCTGACTTCGGGATTGGAATTATGCTGAGCATAATGAAGGCCTTGATGGAGATGTTTAGCACCAGGTCGTCTATGGGCACCCATTTCAGCACCTCAGGCACTATCCCATCTTCCCAGCAACTTTTCCCCGGTTTGAGTGAGCTTTTTACAGATTGGTACTCTCTGATGGTGAATGGTCCATCGTTGATCGGCAAGTCCTGGAAGACAGGTTGTATTTCCTCATCCTCTTTCTCCACTACTGGGGGGGCTACCGAGGAGGTTTTTGAAGTGACGGTACCACGAGTTGACTCGATCTTCCACAGTTTCTCCAGCGATCTGGTTTGGTTGAGAAGAGGAACCTTTCCCAGTAACTTCTTTGACAAGGGCCAAGCCTTTGGAACTTTGGTTGTTAGCAAGGCTGTCTCCGATGTTCTTGATTTTCTTGGCTAGATCTTCAGCCATCACCTCATCATAGACCTTGTTGAGCTGCTCTTTCTTGCCAACATATCCGCCTTCTTCTTGTTTTCCCTAAGCAACGAAGTTGACATATGCTGCCTCCATTTCTTGCCTGGCCTGAAGGACTCTAGGGTCATTGGAGTAGTACTTGACCTTCTGTTTGGGTACAGGAGTTAGTACTGCTTGAGCAGCCCCTTCATGAGCCTTGATGAAACGCTCGTACCTATCAGTTGCATCCTCATCCACTTCCAGAGATTCAAATCTGTTTCTCACTTCCACTGCATATTTCTCTTGCAACACTTGGTCGCACTCCAAAGCCTCCCACACGTACTTGACCTTTCTCCTCACCTGCTTCTTGGGTACTTGTGGAGCGCTGTGGTCCAATGGTTACAGTGTTCGGCTCACTTGCCGCGGTACGTGGGTTCGAACCCGGACGGGGAACATGGTGCTTGTGTTGTTGGGCAAGACACTTTACTACAATTGCCTCTCTCCACCCAGGAGTATAAATGGGTACCTGTGAAGGTAGAAACCAGATTGCGCTGATCTTGAGCTGCTGCAGAATATGGTCTCATGGCCTGATGAACAGGGGTAATAATTGTGAAGCGCTTTGAGACCTTTGGTATAAAGCGCTATATACCGTAATTTCCTGCGGATAAGGCGCGCGGCGGATAAGGCGCAGGTCCCTAAAATCACCCCAAAAAAATTCAAACGCCAACAGATAAGGCGCACCGCCGCATAAGACGCATGTTTGACCGCACACAGAAGAACACCAGGCGTCACCCGGTGTCGGTACATCGCCACAAAGGGGCCATTGTGTTGCCTTAGAACGATCACACTATTGGCTGGTCACATGTAGAGCCATGAAGAAAAGACCAATGTAAATTGATACCGACCTTCATCCATTCAGCCAACGCGCGCTGTGCATGCTTGCTTGCGGTTTCCGATCTTGGCCTTCCTTGGCCTTTTGTTAATGCAGTGCGGCCCAATCAGCGGCCAGAAACGATGGTCCACGCGCTGTCTGAAGATATTGCAACACGCACGCTGGATCAGATTCGTAGACTTGCCCAGTCCCTCCGAGCCAGATGTTGCGCCCTCTACCGGTGACTAATACAAAAACGCACGATCACTAAGGGGGATCAACGCATTGCGGCATTGTTGGAATGAAAGCACGATCATGGGGGATCAACACATCGCGGCATTGTTGGAATGAAAATACGGTCACAATGTCTGGAGAGTTGAGCCTTGGTTGACCGCATTATTGATTGCGGCATTGAAAGAATTCTTCACACAAAGACCATCACTTTGAACTCAAGCGACACCAGATAAGGCGCACCTGTAGATAAGGCGCAGCGATGTTTTTGCGGTCTAGAAAGTCAGATAAGACGCGTCTTATCCGCAGGAAATTACGGTAAGCACTATATTATTATTACTCGCAGACTGGGTCTCACCTTGGCTGAGACTACACAGTGATCTGACCCCACGCTAGCGAAGGAGTTAAAAGCCTGGGCATCTCTGATGCTGTTCCGCCACTTCTTCCGTACGAGAATGAAGTCGATCTGCTGCTTGTGTTTCTCCTGGTTGTTGTCCGGTGGTGATAGCCATGTCCAGAGTTTCTTCTCGGGCTTTCGGAAGGTAGTGTTTGCAGCTACCAGTACATGCTCTTCCATTAGGTCGATAAGACGCTCTCCGCTTGCATTGGTTTCCTGGTGGAATGAGTGGGGCACATTGTCTGCTCCCAACCGTCCGTTGAAGTCCCCGAGAACAGCTAAAAACTTGTGTGCAGGAACTGACTGGATCGCATCGCTGAGTGTCTCATAGAAGGTACTCGTCACCTCATCCGTCGCTTTGCTGGTGGGCGAGTAAGCAGATATGATAGTAGTGCCTGGATTGCTCTGGAATGTTGCCATGATAAATCTTTCGGAGAAAGATTTAACTCCAGTGAGCGCCTTCTTTGCTCTTGGACTCATCACTATTCCTACTCCGCCACAAGCTGCTTGCGCCCTATTGCGCCATGCTGATGACGTCACCAGGTACTGGTCGCCGATCTTGTGATGTTCCACTGTCTAGGTTGGGTCTTTGTGTATGATTCGATGCTCCTGAATGCCCATTATCGAAATATTCTGAATTTTCATGTTGTATGCCAATTCTTGTTGATTTTTTACTTCCCTGATTGTAGACAAAATTACATCTTTCTCACATCTCAAAAGGTTCGCTTTGGTACCGCCACACGTGTCAGCCTCTCGTCTCCCAGATGGGTTTGAGGGAACGGCGTCATAATGCCCGTTAGGATGTGTACCGGGTCCCGCAGCTGTAAAGGATTTGTGTTGTTTAGTTGTGCCATCATTTGTGCCATCATTGTCTTTCAACTACTCAGCTACTACATGTGGTGACACCACATTTGACTCTTAATGAAAATAAAAAGGGGTTGCCAGCTGATCGCCATTCAACTAATGGGCACACTGATCAAACCACATATGTGTACATTATTCGCGAACATTTTGACGTGATGTGAACATAAACCGGCACTGGCGTAAAGTCGTTGCAAATATTTTTTGCAAAGTTTTGCATTTATTTTTGGGACTCGAGACTTTATTCTATTTATTTAGCCTACTTTGTTTACACAAAAGTTCCCTGAATACGCATACAGCATCACTCCCAAAGTTTACATTAGAAATGTTTGGGATGAATACAAATGTTGCTTATGCGTAGGCCTTTCGGGAGTGCTTTTGTGTAAACAATTATAAATAGAACCTGCTGGTTAGGTGGAATATGCAATGCAGTGGCTCATATATTAAACCTCGCTTAATACTCGCTCTTCCATCCATGTTATGACCCCCACCATGTTATGACTAGGCACACAAATAAATTGCTCACAAAGTAACACACGAAATCCATTTATAGCAGATTTGAACCTTCAAATTGGAAGTAATACACTTGTCCTCTGCACTGGCCCAACTTGTCAACCTCTTTCCTCAGGAGGCACACATGTATAGAACAAAAAAGCACAACAAAAAATGCAGATTTTGAGGTATTTTGCAATCAAAATGTATTCAATAGCACTGAACAACTGAGGAAAAAAATACAAAAGCTAGAAATGCAACCTTCTAATGTAAGGTTAAGTAATTCTGTATGATGTACAGCACCCCCTGGTGTAATGTGGTTGCCCCCCCCCCCCTTTCTCAAATTTCCGCGGCCAGGCAATTTTTGGGTTTAGGTCATCCCCTCATCTCCCCCACTCGCCGGCACAGATTTACGCCACTGGTTTACGCCACTGGTAGTGTGGGTAGCATAGGTGCTGCTGAGTAAACTCTTAGCAAATGAAACCTACTGATGTTGGGGAATATGCAAATGTATTGGCTCTACTGGTAAATTGAGTGAAGTGAACGTTTGTATTGGGATACTGGACTCTCTACAGCTGTATGCAAGCCTGCCTGTAGGAATGGTGCCACCTGCGTCCGACCTGACAACTGTGTGTGCCTACGAGGCTTCCAAGGTTCACAGTGCCAAACAGGTGAGCAGGAGGCATGAGACAGTTTTTGTGTTTCAGAAAGCTAATTCTTGGACTAGAAATTTGAATTACATTTAAATTTCAAATGTTTCTCAAATTGTTTTTTTCCATATTAGTTAGTTAACTGATCAGTCAAAAGTTTTCTTGTGTTTCTTTCCTTTCTTCAGTTTTTTTTTTAAGCCAGGTTTTTAATTCATTTTACAGATTTTTTTTACAGTAGAACGTAGCTAGAATGAACACAGTTGGTTCAACAAAGTTCAACAAAGTTTGTAATTTGTTGTTTGTTAGAGCTACCATTGTCCTGTGTAGTTGTACATAAATTTGGAAGTAAAAGGGTGGTTTGTTATACCCAAAATGTGTTCTACTTTACATGCACATTTATTTATTCCAGTGTCATGGGTAGAGTTTGGCACTTTTTGAGAAACCTAGTAATCAGTTATGTCCCATTCCATAGATTGGTACATCAGTCAACAAGAGAATGGATTCTGGCACTCACATTTTCCTGTCAGAATGTTCCTTTTGTTTATCAAGTTGTTTTGCCAAATGTTTATAAATGAACGTTTAATACTAGAAAATGTTACCTTGAAACAATTGAGATACCCTCAAAAATATTTGGGTAGTAATATTCAGACCCCACAACAGTATGTTTGTGAGATTTCTTGTAACATAAGAGATTCCAATCTGTATAATCACCAAGGCAAAAGAAAACTTGTAGATTCATGCTATTGATATTAATAGTTTTTAAAGTGAATTTGTTGGTATACAAATAATGAATGTTTGTGAGTGCAATGGTAAGAATAATTTCATGAGGTGACTGATGAAATGTTCCATTCCACGAGGCGAAGCCGAGTGGAACGGAACATTTCATCTGTCATCGAATGAAATTATTCTTTCCATTGCACGAACGTGAAACATTCATTATTTGTTTTATATAACACCTGAATAAATCCTTGTCATCTGATTGGTTGACGTTTAATAGCCAATTTATTCAAGTTAAAAACTGTTTAAAAGTGCGACAAGTTCATCATATCTATATTAATGCAAACTGTTCGACAGGTTAAGAACAATCATATTCAATTTATCTCGATTTAAAACAGTGCCACCACCAGCAGCAGCGACACCGTGCAATGGAAGTTCTATTCACAGTGCAATAGAACTTCCATTGCACTGTGCGCCACGCGCGCGCCGTGCGTTGGTACGAATAATTCAATGACGTGTGATCAACGATCCACCAATCAGATGACTAGGATTTATTCAGGTGTTGTATAATTTTTAATATAGCACTTTATGTTTTCCTTTCCTTCATTTTATATTAATAATTAAATAAAATTTAATTCAAAGGTTTTTGATATAGCAATGGATTTTTGTCTTTTTTAAGCTATTTGTAATCCTTCTTGTCGCAATGGGGGCACATGCGTACGGCCCAACATGTGTGCGTGTCCTACTGGTTACACAGGAGCCAACTGCGCTATTGGTAAGTTCACATAATTTTGGGGTAGGGAGGTTGACTTGGATGGACGGTGCTGGAAATTGGTACCAAATGAGTGCCCCTTGGAAAATGATTAGCTGTTGCCTGGCTGATTTCCTGTGAGCATATGACAGTTTTCAGGCTCAGGACTCTGACAGAAGACAGAACTTTGAAGTAATCAACCTGCATAGAATATGGAGCAAAGCTGCATAGGCCTACCCCCAGGGGCCTGGATCAGATTCAATATGCTAAGCTTTGATAAGGGTATACTACTCAAACACTCAATGCAATGCTGATTCACCCTTTTGTAAGGAGTACCACACCAGTGAGATTTTGAAGGTGGGACATATAAATAAGATGGTTTAATGAAAATCATATAGTGTACACTTTAGAGCTATCAAGTATCATATGCAGGCACAGCTTCCCTTCACAGATGATATTTATAAAGAAATCTGCCATCCATTTGATTGTACTTTTTTTTTTGGGGGGGGGGGGTGTTTGTCCACTCTTTGTTATTAGAGTGGGCAATAACCACATTCACAAACAGTGGGGTTCAGATCTCAGCTTAGTCTACAAATGATGCAAAGCGCACTGACAAGCAGCAAAGGGAAATTCATGGTGGTGGGGTTAATCCCTATGTTGTAAACCTGTATGAAAAGTAGGAATGGGCTGTTTACAGTAATGGAATACTGTTTACAGTCTTCACTGAATGTTCCAGCAATATAATTCAGATGTATTCAACTATTGGTTTGTGATTACAATTAACTGAGATATTGCAAAGTGTCTGGCAAATGTTGGGCAATGGGAGTTTTCTATGAAGTTTTGTATTTGTTTTTCATACTTTTAGCATTGGGGATCGAGGTTTCATTTTTTAATCAAAGAACAGATCATTAAACATACTGTATGCAATACCAGTCTTATGTGACATGTTTGTTCTTGTTCCAGCAAATTGTGAACCACGATGTCTAAATGGTGGCCGGTGCTTCAAACCAAACAAATGTTCTTGTCCATCTGGTTACAGGGGAAGAAAGTGCCATAAAGGTAACAGCACTTATAATTTCACTCACTTTTTGTGTTTGACAAAAAGGTGTCCTGAAAACATGGTTTTGCTCGGACTTTGTTTTCCTATTGAGCATGAAAGAGGTATGCAGCTTTATCACTTGTGTAACAATCTGTTTCCTAACTTCCCTATTTTTTGCATGTGGTATCACACACTCACAAACTGAAAGCCTCACCCATAATGACCGGCCTATTCTTTGGAAAAAAATCAACTGCAATTGGTGATGTGAATTACATATATATAAAATACAGTTAAAAACCACTGATTCCTGTCTGGCAGTGTCTACAAACAGTTGTTGAATGTCTTCCACATCTGTTGCAAAACAGTTTTGTGGAAAGTGTGGTGGTAACTACATGTACACCGAGCAGATCTGTTCAATATTTGGTTGTGTTATGTTTCAGCTATCTGTGTGTCAGGGTGTCGTAATGGTGGTGAATGTATCAAGCCCAATGTGTGCATGTGCAAGACAGGCTACAGAGGGTCCAACTGCCAAACACGTGAGTATGCACAGGTTCATCAGGATCACATTTTGTTTGGGATATCATTCAATTTAAACATGCTTGCAAGTCATTCACTAAAAGTGATAAAAAGGGTGGGATTGGACTCCTTGAACCATGTAGTCAGAGGACTATGAACTCCTTGCACATACCGCAGCTTCAGCAGTTTAAATGCACTGATAGACACTTTGAGTGTCATTACTGCCTGCACCTCATTATTCAGCTTGATATTCTTTGGGTCTGTGCACAGTCAATTTGGGCGTTTCACAATGCAGTGCATCACCAAGAGTTTGCCACGGAGAGTCCATTTTTCAAGTTTACGGTCGACAAAACACAGCCCATTTGAACCAGTATCAGTAGATAACTTGAGCTAATTCGTAAAGGATTGGGGCATAGCGTTCTGCTGCCTTAAAATAACACACCAAAAACACAATTAAAAAGAAAACAGATACTCGAATCATGAAAATAAGTTTCGTAAGAAACTACTGACCAGACAAACTAACAATTTCAAATAACCCGCGCTGCGAATTTGTCGACCATCTCCCACAATGCACTGGGAAAAATTAACTCTCCGTGGCAAACTCTTTGTGGCGCACTGCATTGTGAAACGCCCGAATTGAAAAAAAGTCATGTATTTTCATCATGAAAATAAGTCATGTTTATGCTGCCATTAGCTGCTCTCTTGCCCTGATATTGGATCATTTTGCAAATCTGGACACATTCTAGTCTGGTGCCTTTCAATGCTGTTGGTCAGTGTTTGCTTTTGAATGTGGTTTACAGGGTACAGACTGAAGAAATTTGTCGTCTTGTCAGATAAAAACTCAATTGACTTTTCAAAGTTGCTCAACTAACCTGCCCATCTAACCTGCACTTTTACACACAAAAATGAAAGTTTGCAAATGGAAAAGGGAAAATTGTGTCTGAAGAGGTTCGGACATAATAATACACATTCATAAATACCTAAGACAGTTTACCCATTCCCATTGGTCGAGAGCCCGTCACATGGCCAGTATTAAATTGATGATAAAGACCGGCTGGCTGGTCTTAAACACTTTTCTAGTGTCACATGAAATTTGGACTCCTATGAAATCTAGTGCCTTTTACCGTTTTATTGGTTGAACGTTCACAATCCTCACGTATGCATGCGCAACACTACCAGTGAATCAGTATATCATAGTCCGAAATTCACACTACACTAGCCCAGCTGCATTTTGCAACATCGCGCAGCACACGCGACGCGCGTGGCAATCTCCTTATAAGGTAAGGAGTTGTAGAGGGACATTCCATATTATAATCAGAGGGGTGTTTCATAAAACATGAAGTAAAAGTGGTGAACAAAATGGTTGGCAACATCTAGTTTTTCACTTGTTTTGATTTTTGGACCGAAAAGATTCTTTTTTTTTTACCAAAAAGGTATTGGTCGTTATTAAACACTATATTTAAGACTGGTTGGAGTTTGGAATGCTGATAATTACCCTCGGCGATCAGCATTCCAGACTCCAACCGGTCTTAAACATGGTGTTTAACACCTCCCAAGCACACATTTATTTATAATAGAAACATGTAATATATGTTGAAAATTAAAGACACCAAGTATATGATTCAAATCCACTGTTTGTTATTGCTGGATCAAAAGCATAAGCAAAAAGGAAAAATGTTGATATTTTATTTTTTTTGTGTTCCCTGACTTTTTAGCCATTTGTAGAAGACCATGCATGTATGGTGGTCGGTGTATAGGAGCAGATTTATGCCAGTGTAGGCCAGGCCACACTGGGACTTACTGCCAGGAGACAACATCCCATTCAAGGTAATGTCCAAAACCAAGCCTTTAGGTGGAACCCATATCACTGCTCAGTACACACATTAAAAAGTCACTTGATAGTAATCAAGTGGCTTTTTAATATGTGTACAAAACTTACCCTTTACAACTGCATGTGGACCTGGGTCTAAGTCCTCAGGTGTGCAAACCTTATGGGACATATGTCAAGAAACAATAGTCTGAAACTGAAGTCGAAACAATAGGAACCAAAGAAGGGGACAATAAAGCTCTCTCAAACATAACTCTGCGTGCTTAATTTATGACACAGTGCTATATTATAGGGACAAAGGGAAAGACAATGCCGTGTCCTCAAACATTTAGTAAAATAGCCTGCGTTTCTGTGTATGTTGACCGTTCAAATTACGCTGCTACACGTATGTGGGTACGTGTTCTACATAACCCCTCGAGGACACACAAAGGGAGAACAACAGATCCTTTCAGTCCTCGGGAGTTGGAGTTTTTTTTACTTTTGTTAAAAACGGTCCTCTCATACGGTTATGTGCTCTCCCATGGTCCACCAAGGGAGAGTATTATATTACAGGGACAAAGGGAAACACAAAGTATTGTCCTCAAGAATATAGTAAAACATGACTGTGTGTGGGTGCATGTGTAAACACCGGCAATCGTGGACGTAGGACAAAAGAATGTGGGCGCAAACAATACGTCCACGATTGACCGAACGTCCACGATCTCAAATCGTGTACAAAACCAATGAGAGCTGTCGCTAAAAAGTTACAAACAAAGGAAAGAGGATTAGGGACAATGGGGCATCCACGATTGCCGGCATGTACACACGCGTCTGTGTGTGTGTGTGTCTCACTGTGTCATCCACTGATCAGTTGAGAAAAGCAACTTTCTCTTGCTCAACGGGTGTCTTCAAGAAATCCAAGACATCCTAAAGAATACTGGAATAACATAGGGGAAAAAGGAAGAACTTCCACATTTATTGTATTCACTTGTATTGTCGGATGCAGTTCTGAGTTTCGTGTGTATGTGGTTCAAATATTTTCCAAAGAGATCAAAAGCTCTGGAAAATTTGTTAAAAGCTAAGCTGATTTTAGTGAGAGAAATTCTGAAGTGAAAAGTTTCTTAAATGTATTAATGTAGTTGATCTCTATGTTTAATTTGAGTTAATAACTATATTTGTTTATTGGTTTGTATCCCCACAGATATGGATGAGGGATTGCTATGGTGCCAGCATCTTGAATTGAAATTCTATCTGATCCGAGCAATTTTTTAGCAGCCCGCCAAAGTGTAATAAAACACTTTTGAGTGTTATTATATCATTAAGTATGTAAATATTCCATATCACTGTACAGTTTAGTGTTATGTGTGCTATATGTATATCTGATCAGCAAGGTAAACTTGTAGCTTTAAAAACACATGTAAATGTTACAGTCTACTAATAGTCTTCTTGAACAATATCAGCAAAAAGATCACTTAATAGTCATGCTGAGTAATCTGTATACACTTTTACAGGTTTAAGAAAATTACATGTACATCAAGTGTGTTACATGTTACGGTGAAGTCATTATTAACCAAAGTATGAGCTGAAATTAATGCATGACAATTTCAGTTCCAACTATTATGTAAAAAACAAAACAAACAAAAACATTGCTTCCTATGCCAGACAAGGACTCTATTTCACAATACTGTTTTTGTGTTTGTACAGTGTAGTGATTATAAAATGCTCACTCAAAATCTCTTCTTACCTCAAAGGAAGGTTTTGTCTTGGACATTCAATCTTTAAAATTACTAAATTTCTCTTGTAGGTGATAGTGTATTATCTGGTGTCCATATTCTCTCATAATCTTTGTACATATTGTGTAAACATTGAAATATTTTGGTTGTATTATTCAGCAAATATATTATGTTAACGCTACTTTGTTTAATATTTTACTACTAATATAATTATGGGGAGTATTTGCAAAATGTTAGATATTTCTGTGTTCAAGCTGTAAGGCAATCATGTGCATTTTAAAGTTGTTTGTGTGTGCGTACTGAAACCTGGATGTTAGAAGGGAAGCTGACAAAGAGGATCAAATTTTGCCTGATTTAAATATCCAGAGAACCTTGCTAATTCTGTGAATGCTATGTGGTTAGACATTAAAAGAAAATGACTAAAGACTGATAATTCGGTTTATCGTAATAATTTTGACATCCAAAAAGTAACTCTATTACAAATGTATCTTGTAAAAGCACAAAAGTCAGACATTTCCATAGTAATTCAACTCTCAACTTGAAAGTCTGTTCAAAGTAAGTTTTGAAAAGTTCAGTTTTGTAAACATACATATAAACATGGGACGTTCACAACATTAACAGCAGACACAAAACATCAACAGCGGCTTTTCACATGTACATGTAACATGTACACGTACTTTGAATGACACAAACTGAGCTTTGGTACAACTGAACAAGTACTACAAGGATATACAGTTAACTTGCGAGTATTAGTGTGAATAGCATACTCATAGCATTGTCACTCTATGGCCAATTACACTAAGTTGGTGCATTGAAATTTGAAATGGTATTAAATGTGTAATTAAATTACAATTAGTATACACAACTTTATACTGAAGTAGTCCAATTGGTCAGTATATATATATAGATTATATTTAGTCAATAGATTATGTTAAGATTACTGCTCTTTCTTGAGGTGCTAACACATTAATATATATTTTTTTTATTCTTCTATTTTATCTGTTTGTGTAATGTTATTTTAACAAAAATAAGTGTCTTTCAATATGTGTATTTCACAGTTTTGCTTTTATGAAAATAAAACATCATTGAAATCTGTTTCATAATGTGACAGTTGAATTGGAGTTCGCACATGTGTGTTTGTAGTCATCATATGCATGACAGAGATGTGGTTTGAGTCTTGGGTCTTCCGACATGGGAGACAGGGAAGGATCTAGCCACATAAGGCTACATGCATAACAATTTGGAATTTGGTCTTGATAATTCCAAAACAACAAAGGAATGTTGACTAAAATTAATATCTTTATAGGTCCTTTTAAACTGAAATTGATGATGATGAAATTTAATACTTAACCAAATTTGACAAAGATTGATTTTAAAAAAATCACTCTTTAAAATCACTCTTTGTAAACAATTGTAAACAACTGAAACTGGAATTTCCTGCCTGAAGAAAATTCCAAGAACCATTTACGACCTTTACCAAAAACAAAATGCATCCATTTGCCCTTAAACTTTTGTGCAATGGTAAAACACTTTACAGACTAACTAAGACATTTTGTTGTCGTAAGTTATACCTTAGGGAGACACCAGACATTAAGGAGACATTTCAATGTCTCCCTAATGTCACAACTCCTATGTTTCCAACAGGAGGTGTGTAGATGGATTAACCAAGTGGCCCAAAAACAGAATCCTGTGGTAGTCCCACACAGACGTGAGTAGGAAGCGACTTTTTACCACTAAGTTCTACTCTGTTGACCAGTCTGTAAGATATGACTTAAACCCCTCCAGTGCAACATCACGAACACCAACTCTGGATGAGAGAGGAGATATTTAGATATCTCTATCTATGGTGTCGAATGCTGCTGAAAGGTCTAAAAGCACCAGGAAGGTAACCCGATTTAAATCAAGATCAGTCATACATTGATGAGGGTCCATCAGTTTGTTTGTGGACATGTGAGCTGTCAATCTTGAACAAATCATTTTCTCGATGATCTTTCCAAGAAGTGACAGGTTAGATACTGGCCTGTAGTTACTGAGGATGTTTTTGTCCAAGGTTGGCTTTTTCAAGAGGGGTTTGATTATGGCGTAGCGAGCTCCTGTTGGGAATACGCCATCAGTCAGAGATGCATATACTATTGAGGTCAGAACTGGGAGAATGGGTGCTATGTTTTCCTTCAAGAGCCAGGTTGGAAGTGGATCGAGGCCACATGAGTATTAAAAGAACTACGCATGACGCGTAGAACTTCATCTTCAGTTGCTGGATTGAAGTAAGACAATGGCTCCAAATGGATAAGATGTGGATCAGCAAAACAACCCATTGAATCTAAATTAAGCACAAGGCAAGTTGTTTTAATATCTCAAAGAATTTAGACCTTTGTAAACAAATTCCAAATTTTTTTAAGAAAAAGTAACAGTAAACAAACACAGATACCACTTTTGATGACATGCATGTATATCAGTTTAATTACATTTCATTGTTGCAATCTTGAGCCTGATTTCACATGGTGAGAGCTAAAAATTGAAATTATTCTAAAATTCTGATTGTCATGATAGTAATTACATTACAATTACTATATACAACTTGACAAAATAATTCTTTCATTGTTACATGGGAACATTCAGTCAACATTTTAAAAGAATGGGATAGTGTAAAGTCTTTTAAAAGACTTTAATTGGGAAAGGGATAAACAAAAATGTATAAATTTAAGAACAATGTTGAAAACAGTGTTCCACAGAATAATGCAAATCACCATGATATTCAGACTGTCCACAGCACACATACTCCAACATTTGCACATAAAAACACATATATGCATAGATCAAACAAATCTTGAGAAAACTGTGCTTTTATAAAGTAAGTGCTTATGATGTAAGGTTTAAAAGCCATTGCATAGTTGAGGGTTGACGATTAGCAATGGGTATGTCTAATGCTAAATAATGTTTTGCATGTGTTTATAACACTTGCAATATTATATATAAATGTACAAAAGTCAATTACTGACAGGTAAAACACTTTCAAGAATAAAACATTTCTATAAAGTTCTTTTCAGTCTTACATGAGACTTGGCCTCAACAAGCCAATGTTTGGACCAACTAAAAGTGATGCATTCTTCTAATTTTGAGGTACAAAACAATACATGTAAATGCTTTCTCACTGAAGTACATGTTACTGGACAGGTACCATGATGTACTCCTGTGCATATTACCCCCAACATTTCACTGGACAATGCCCTTACTCGTTTCTTATCTTGACCAAGGCTGGTCAACTAACATTTCCAGCATGTTGGATAGACACAAGTAGCTGATCCAATTTAGCTGAATTCATTGTTAACTGCAAAAGCTTGGTGTGTAATGTAGCTTCTAGGGCCTCCTGAGATGCACATGTTCACTTAACAAGGTGGTTTTCGAACCACGCGTCTCGCCTCCTTTCACAATTATCTTTAAAGAGTGACCTTTGACCTCAGTGTGTGACCGTTAACATCATTATCACGTGAAGGTTTCCATGTTGCATCTATGACCCAAGATTGGTTCCAATTGGACTTCAACTTTTCAAATAAGACCAATTATACATTTTCAGTCTATTTTACAACTTAACCTTAGATGACCTTTGACCTTTGTATGTGACCCTTGACATCATAATCACATGAAGGTTCCCATGTTGCATCTATGATTTAAGTTTAGTTCCAATTGGACTTCAACTTTAGAAATTAGAGTAATACCTTGAAACTTTAACCAAAATACCACATACCAGTACACGCATAAATACAAGATACTACATATACAGTAAACTCTGGCCAAATCGGCACTCTCGGGACCCGGACATTTGTGACGACTTACGCGAATGCTGACATCTGCTGTAAGTCGTCACTTTGCCGACTTACATGAATGGCCTATATGTACATATGGTTCATTGCACTAATTGGCTTCGATTTACGCTGGTTTATCTCCATAAGGTTGAGTTGATTCCAGCAAATTAATCCACAAATTTTATTATCACAGGCTGGGGTATTGATAGTGGAGACCACAGTACATAATAGCAGTGGCGTAGCCACCGGGGGGGCGTGGGGGGGGGCGACAGCCCCCCATGAAACCTTGTCGCCCCCCCAGTCGCCCCCCCCCCCCCCGAGATTTTGAGTTTCTAAAAAAATTATCATTGATCTACATGACGCCCCCCCATGAAATGTTCCAGCCCCCCCAGCGCCCCCCCCCCCCCCCCTGAAAAATTCCTGGCTACGCCACTGCATAATAGTAATACATGTACGTGTACAGTTACGAAATAAATGCGTGCGTGGTATTAACCGCATCATTCAATAAGATGGACAAAATGGACAGAGCACATGCGTACAGGACTAGAGGGGGTACTGGTATTGATATGCTCACGATGTAGTATTGGCGAAACCCCTTGGCTTGGCTGTAACCGACAGACACTGATGCAGCGATCACGGGCTGTGCCAATAAAAACAGACGTCAGTTAAAGCAGTGTGTGACTTTTCACTTGACACTTCTTGCTAACTGCAGTGCAGGAAGTCGATGCCAATGCGTGATTTTTTGAATGCCAACATACACAAAGGAGTTTGTTGTGTTATTTATGGAAAGGGGACCGAGAGTAACACAACAACTTGAGCGAAATGGTGACTTCTAAAATCCGACTTAGAAATAAAAATTTAAATAGAAATGCATTACAGACAATCGGGACTTTAGTCAGACGGCCGACTCGAGCGATTTGGCGAGTTGTACGATGTCGACTTGACCGGAGTTTACTGTACATACATACGTAAGTACGTATAGACATAGTGATTGCATAGTCTTTTCTGAACAAAGTCCAGGCAAGACAAAAATAAGCTACATGTATGGGCAACAGTCGTCTCTCATTGGAGGTGTCGATGAATAGGCTCGATATATTAGTCCATCTGCGGGCTAAACAAGCCCAAGTGAAATGTTATGTCCTGGGCAAGGCACTCAACTGCAGCCATTGTCCCCAATAATGCCAATAAATGATAGCTGCCTGAATATCAGCCGGTGTCCTAGTGTTCGGTGCATCCAGGGGTGTGCTGGCTTTATGAGACTACAGATGAATACTGTCGTGGATTGTGGGAAATGGTACTAGTCTAGTACCTAAACCCCCAAGTGGAAATGCATTATTTTGAGTTATTTCAGACATTCCAGTTAAAGCAAACTATTTGCTAAAGACTCCCTGACTATAGGAACAAACAGCGATCCCTGAGCCCCATTGATGCTTGAGTCTGGTGTCAAGCTGCGTCTCTGGCCACCAACCGTAGTGTGGGGTCGCCTGACAGCAGTCCTATGATTGTCAGTGACGGTCTTCAGGTGGTTTGTCTCGCCAGCCTTCCTAAAGGCCCTAATAGCCTCTCTCTTGGTACTGGGGGCACTGACAGGGCGTAGGATGGGAATACGAGGCTTTCCATCGGTAGCTGGATCAGCACATGCTAGATTGATGTTAGAGCGATTCTTGACATGTACCAGCATCTGGAAATATAAAATGTTCATGTTCACTCTCACAAGTTAGGGGTATGCATTTACAGGTAGTTTTAGAACCACAATTATCACCGCTTTACTATAAAGTGGAAACAGTGTGTGTGGGTGGTTTTTTTTCTCAAGAGGGTACTGACACAAAGAGGAACAATGGTGCCCTACAAGTCAATCTCTGTCTGACCGTGCCCTACAAGGGAAATTCTAAAGAAGAGGGATAACATGAGAATACAAATACCCCACATACCCCATTAAAAAAAAATGGTGCGAGTTGAATCGACCTTGAAGCAGGTGGCCCAGTGGCAAAGTAGGCAACTTAAACGCGAAGCCACCTCCCCTTTAAAGTAGGCAAGGCAAAGCCTCGTTATTACTTTTAAAAGCATAACAAACCCAGAAGTATTAATTTCCACTGCACACGACCTACACAGCTGTGCACACCTAAGACTTGACCTTTTTAAAATTGCTTTAAAAGAGGAATATTTTTCAACAACTTTTATTGTTAAATCCAAAGCTCATGCTTAAAGAGGTTGTGGAATGCTGAAAGTCGCTTTGTTTTTTATATTTTTTTATTGTAGAGTGGACCCATATATATCATAATGACAAACTCCCATTCTTTTGTAATGTGCGTTTATATGTTTATAAAACTGAAATTCATCGAGTAATTTGTTGGTCGGCGAGCACATAATTGAAATCAACAGTCGTCGGGTTCTTCGTAAAATCAGAAAAATCGTGACGTAATAAACAGGACTCGTTTATACAACGGCTCTTTACTGCTGCCCAACCAGCCCTGCCAGCACATGTGACTTGCAGTCAAGCAGTGAAAAATCAACATTTCTCAAAGACTCGCAGAGATTAATATTCCTTTCCATCGCTGATTTTTTTTGGATGAGTATATTGAACAAGGAAATGGTGACCTCTAAGCTGTTCTTCAGTATAAATTTGAGCCCCGACTGCCCGAAAAAGAGACCAGCAAAAACACGGATACTGTAACTGGCCAGCTGAAAACACCAGGCAACGCGGCTCTGATGAGTGGTAGGTCTGCAATGTTTCCGTAAACAATAGCTGTGTTTTATACAAGGACTAAAAGTATTATGTTCATTGTACAATTTTTAGATGAGCATCAAAAGTCCTACCGCAACTTTATTCGTGATTTACAGACAATTCCCAGGTTATTCTGGTGAATATTCAGTCGAAAGAGACGACAGATCGTCAGGTTGTTTTCGAATTATACGCGTACGGCACGCATAATGCGTCACATCAGTGGATGTGGTCGACCGTGTCCAGAACTAACATTGTACGGTTAGCAGCGTCGCGGGCCCCGGTCAAGTCCCTCGTGTTGCCTGGTGCTTTTTATGTATACGTTCGCCACAAAAAAAGTGGTCCTCTTCTCTTTTCTTTCCTTGTGAATTTTAACCGGTTTTTTTTAACATCCTGAATCGATAATTATGAAGTTACTCAAATTTCAAAATTGTTAACTTTATTGTTTACCAAAAAAAGCTGTAAACAAGGCCAGGAGACAACACATTATGGGACTACCGTTTCACCTCGACCCGTAAACGTGGCTACAATTATTCATAGTCACGCTCCGTTCATAAAACAGAAATCTCTGTACTTACGACATGTTCGGGATCCCGGTTGATAACCTTTCACTAGTCCCGAAATTTAACGAGCAGTATCATTATTTTCAAAAAGAGTCTTCCCTATAAATCAATGGAAATCTATTGCAAAAAAATGTGGTGTGATTACAGCCAGCGACTGACACAATTATAGGCATATAGGTTTGCCTTGGCCTAGTGCGTTCGCTACCCGGACACATAACAACGGATTATTTTGAAATTCCAACACCGTTTACCGGTGTCAAAATCTACGGTCCCCGCGGCCGGGCCAGTGGCTCGCGTACACCCGTGAATTAGCCAGCTTTACATAGAGTGTGATGTGAATGATCGAACGATGTTGATGTAACATACGTTTCTTACTATGGTTGGCCATTAGGGCAAACACAAAAGAATGATTCCCGATCTATAAATAAAATGCTGTGTAACTATCATCGCACTGAATAGTCAATAGAAACTACAAAAAAGTCAATGGAGATATCTCCCTATTTGTTTGCTGCCCCCAATGACGACTTTTACACAAATTGCACGTTCGGGTCGAAACAGGACCTGAAAAACAGCTCTCAAAAGTACCTTTTGTATTCATTTCATGACAGAAACAATAGTCGTTTTTATTTCATCACACCTTAGGCTACATATACCCGAAAAATGATGGAAATGTCTTCGAGCATTGCACAACCTCTTTAACTTGCAAATTAATTCAGGAACAGCCACAACAGAAACTTTACAAAGCCATAATGCCCCCCGATAAACTTATCTCGTTTCCCACAAATATAAAGCTGAGAATACACACACAATCTCTGCATAATGTTCCATTCATCTTTTCAGCAATGGCTTATACAACCCTCTTGCTAACACACCTGCATTAGTTCCTTGGAATTCATCGCTTTCTCAACTCTTTTAACTTCAGTTGCAGATTTTTCAGTAAACAGCTCATCACACTTCTGCAAGTAGCGTTTCCTGAAGGAAAAAAACCAGTTTGTTTTCAAATATGTTTCAGTTAAGCACATCAGTGGAAGTGCAAATTAACACGGTTAACGACATCATTACAATGTCTACTTTTACTCACTTTACTTATGACAACATGGCTCTTGCAATAAATTTATGAAAGGCATAGCTGAATCTTTCTTGAATGAAATTGTAACAAAATTTGTCATAGAAAGTATTGAAATGACTTTCAAACATGCCTTGAAATGCCTACTGAGCTGCTGGACTGAATCCATCACATAAAGTGCTAATCTAGTGCTTCTTTTACCAAGACAGGTGTCTTGATGGTATTTTGCTATATTTTCATTAGTTATTGTTTTATGTCAAAGGCTCCATTTAAAATGCCACTGACCCAAAGTCAAATATGGGTCTTTTCCATGACGTTTGGGAACATTTTTTGGACTTTCAGATGTATAAGGGTTGCTCAAAGTAACCAAAATATTAATTTATTTTTTTCTTGACTCCCTTAATTATTTTAGAAAGTCTCCGAGCATTGGGATGCTTTTCAGCATGACATTTTAAAGTAAAACAGGTTAACAATGTTACATGGATGCCACACCATTTTTACCTTATCTGGTTAGTATTTTAATATTTTTTAACAGTTTCCCCAAAGTAATTAAGTCAAAACATTACAGGCCATTCCTAACATGTCTTTTGAAAATTTTAGTCTTAACCCTAACCACCCCAACTCCATCAAAATCCCTCCCCCGATTTGGGGATTTTGGGGGACTTGGTCCAGAAGGCCTAGCTTGACCAAATATTGATGGAGTATGATGGACTTGGGCCTAATGGCCTGAAGCAGAGCTAGGGGTATCCGATTGATTTTGCCTAGCTTCTTGTACTGCTATTGTGATAAAAGCTGTGTAGCAAGTCCATGAATGTCAACCAGTGCGTCAGTGGTGGATTCCATTATGTCATGTACAGTTTTGTATTGGACGCACAGTGATTGATGGATTTTGATGGACTTGGTCCAGTTCCTAGTAAAAGACGCTAGGCAGTTAGGGTTAATGCAATTAGAAAATATATCGGCTAGTGTATGCTAGATGACATGAGTTTGGAAATTTGGTGTAATTGCATATAACAGATTCCTTCTAGGGACAGCCATTATAAACAAAATTGTTTTTAGTCTAGTAGCTAGACAGGCCTCCCATGCACCCCTTGCAAATTTAACGACACCCTTTTGTGACTAATAACCAATTTTGGGTGTTCCCAGGGAAATAAACTGCACTAAGGGGGTCATCTGATGGCCATCTGGGATTTCGGCTTTGCTATAATGGTTAAAACCAAGGTTTACCATATCTTTTCAACTAAAAACCATGTATAGAGCAAAATAAACCTACTTTTCCATAAACATTTTACATGAGGACATGTTTTGAAGCACCAGTTTATAGATTTGAGTATGCCATCTAGGTGACATTATTTAAAACATTGGGAAAATATGCAAAAATAGACCAATTTCCTATATCTCCGGCAGGGAATTTCTACCTTTTGACCCTTGCATAATGAAGCCACTCTCTACATGTAAAAGAGTGAAAACCACTCTTTTAAAGAGCCATGATGAGGACAACTCTTTTTGACTGTTTTTTTCTTCAGTCCATTAGAGTGAGATTTGCACCTTTTTGTGCGTTTTTTCATTCTTATGCGTCTGAGTAAAAAACACTCTAAATGGTATATTAACTTCCACTCTTTTTACGAGTTGAACTTTAAGTGGTTTTTCACTCTTTTACATGAGAGCAGCTTATTCATTTAGTCAAATGCAGGAATTCAATCATTATCACATCTAGTACATTATCATAGCTAGGGTTAGACAGTACCGGCTCATCATTTTTGTCGTATCTTCTTCACACTCTGGAGAATCCAGAAGGTCTATGAGTGAAGGAGAAGTATTGTCTGAGTGACCATAGCAGCTCAAGGGCAACATCAGTCTCCACCCAGCCATGTCCACCCTCTCTGGCTTTGTGAGGCCGTAATTTATCTGGATGTGGTACTACTTCCATTGGCACATCCAGTAATTTACTAGGTTGATGTGAGGGATGAGAGAGTCTTTGCAGGTTAGTAGATGGGAGAGCTCAACTTGGACTTGCTGCCAAGCTGATCTCCTACCCGAACATCTTCTTGAGCAAGGCTCATCAGCTTTCTGCAGACGGGTGAGTTCAACCTTGGACGACTTATGCCTTTGAAGGCACTGATGCAGTCCTCCCGGTGATACATTAGAACTGCCAATTAGTGCAGTACAGTAGTCTTGGCTAAGGGATCAGGCTACACCAGGGAATCGACCATCCTCCTCTGCTTGACTGAGGTCGGCTGTTGTATGGCACGCTTACATAGTACAAGTGGACCAGTTTCTAAGAGCAAACTGGGAATTTTTCTGGATATATTACATGTATGAGTTGATGTGTTGCATACTGAGCTGTAAACAGAATGGTATAAATCCCCAGTGTCAATGTAGATGAATTAGCCTGATAGCGCGAGTATGGTGCAGCAGGAAGATGTCTGTGTCCAATGTACAAACAACATCAGCCTTGCATCTAGCCTTGGACATGAGGTTGTGGATCTCAGACACCTCAACTGCGTAGTTCTGATCACGTCAAGGATGACACTAGTATCCATCTCCTCCTACTTGGATCTCAGACACCTCAACTGCATAGTTCTGCTCAGGTAAAGGATGACACAAGTATCCATCTCCTCCTACTTGGATCTCAGACACCTCAACTGCATAGTTCTGATCAGGTAAAAAGGATGACACTAGTATCCGTCTCCTGCTACCTGGATCTCAGACACCTCAACTGCGTAGTTCTGATCAGGTAAAGGATGACACTAGTATCCGTCTCCTCCTACTTGGATCTCAGACACCTCAACTGCATAGTTCTGATCAGGTAAAAAGGATGACACTAGTATCCGTCTCCTGCTACCTGGATCTCAGACACCTCCACTGCAAAGTTCTGATCAGGTAAAAAGGACGACACTTTTATCCGTCTCCTGCTACTTGGATCTCAGACACCTCAACTGCGTAGTTCTGATCAGGTAAAAAGGACGACACTATTATCCGTCTCCTGCTACTTGGATCTCAGACACCTCAACTGCGTAGTTCTGATCAGGTAAAGGATGACACTAGTATCCGTCTCCTCCTACTTGGATCTCAGACACCTCAACTGCGTAGTTCTGATTAGGTAAAAAGGATGACACTCGTATCCGTCTCCTGCTACCTGGATCTCAGACACCTCCACTGCAAAGTTCTGATCAGGTAAAGGATGACACTAGTATCCGTCTCCTCCTACTTGGATCTCAGACACCTCAACTGCGTAGTTCTGATTAGGTAAAAAGGATGACCCTTGTATCCGTCTCCTGCTACTTGGATCTCAGACACCTCAACTGCGTAGTTCTGATCAGGTAAAAAGGATGACACTAGTATCCGTCTCCTCCTACTTGGATCTCAGACACCTCAACTGCATAGTTCTGATCAGGTAAAAAGGATGACACTAGTATCCGTCTCCTGCTACCTGGATCTCAGACACCTCCACTGCAAAGTTCTGATCAGGTAAAAAGGATGACACTTTTATCCGTCTCCTCCTACTTGGATCTCAGACACCTCAACTGCGTAGTTCTGATCAGGTAAAAAGGACGACACTATTATCCGTCTCCTGCTACTTGGATCTCAGACACCTCAACTGCGTAGTTCTGATCAGGTAAAAAGGATGACACTAGTATCCGTCTCCTGCTACTTGGATCTCAGACACCTCAACTGCGTAGTTCTGATCAGGTAAAAAGGATGACACTAGTATCCTTCTCCTCCTACTTGGATCTCAGACACCTCAACTGCGTAGTTCTGATTAGGTAAAAAGGATGACACTAGTATACATCTCCTGCTACTTGGATCTCAGACACCTCAACTGCGTAGTTCTGATCAGGTAAAGGATGACACTAGTATCCGTCTCCTGCTACTTGGATCTCAGACACCTCAACTGCGTAGTTCTGATCAGGTAAAAAGGATAACACTAGTATCCGTCTCCTGCTACTTGGATCTCAGACACCTCAACTGCATAGTTCTGATCAGGTAAAAAGGACGACACTAGTATCTGTCTCCTCCTCTTTGGACATGAGGCTGTGGATCTTAGACACCTCAACATGATGCAGAAAGCATGAGGCTGTGGATCTTAGACACCTCAACATGATGCAGAAAGCTGATTAGCATTGCTCAAGAAGATGTTCGGGTAGGAGATAAGCTAAGCAGCAAGTCCAACAAGTTCAGCTCTCCCATCTACTAACCTGCAAAGACTCTCTCATCCCTCACATCAACCTAGTAAATTACTGGATGTGCTAATGGAAGTAGTACCACATCCCGATTTACGTCCTCCCAAAGCAAGAGAGGATGGACATGGCTGGATGAAGACCGATGACATCCTCAAGCCGCTATGGTCACTCGGACAAATAGTTCATCATGGACCATCTTGATTCTCCCATGTGTGAAGGAGATAAGACAAAAATGCTGAGCGTCGATATCAATGACTACGATGATCATTAGACAAGGGTCAAAAAGTAGAACTTCCTTGCCAGAGATACAGGAAATTGTCTATTTTTGTGTAGTTTTTTCAATTTTTAAATATTTTCGATCAGATGGCATGCTTAAATCTTAAAACTGGTGCTTCAAATATGTCCTCGTGTCAAAATTATATGGAAAAGTGGGTTATATATCTCATTATGGTTGTTAGTTGAAAGATATGGTAAACATTGGTTTAAACCATTATAGCAAAGCCGGAATTCAAGCTGGCCGCCATACGACCCCCCACGGTGCAGTTTATTTCCATCGGAACATCCAAAACTGGCTATTATTAACATTTTGTTTCCTATTTATGATAATGTTGCTGTGCAATTCTTTTACAAATAAACACCTCGTTTGATTTAAACATCGAAATCTTCTTAGTAGCACACTGTAATGTGAACTGCTCATATTGCAAACCTGTTCAGTTGGTCCCATGCATGGCCCTTGTGATTGGGCCATATAGAACACTCATCTGAACTTGTCATCTGACAACCCATCTGAACTTGTGTAGTGATGACCTACCTCAGTTCTCCATTCTCTGTCATAAGCAGATGTATTCGCTCTTTGTACTTATCATCAACTTCATCCACTTTGTCCTGGAAGGATTCCTTATAGGTAGCGAGGTGTGCTCTCTGTCAAATGCAACATGAAGTGACAATCATGATATTGCAGGCTGGACAAAGTATTCATACAAAATACAATGGAGCTGCAATCTAACAGAGGAAAGTTTGTTCAAATTGCTTTTGTATTCAAGAAAAACTGAAGAACTGAGAGAGATACTCTATTTACGAAAGGTCAGTAAAAATACTTTTTTTCAGAACGATGAAATCCTGCCCTGTTTTGACTCCCTTGCACAGGTGGTTACTTCTTAGGTAAGTTATGTTATTTCAATTCTCTGGCAATGAATTTACAATGTATCTACTCATTCACATCACACAGACTACAACGTGTGTAACATCCTATTTTTTGCATTTAGTTTGTGTCGTGACTGGGTCCATCCACACAAGGGCAATGAAAGGATGTTTTGAAAGAAAAGAAAACATTACAATTTACAACACACTGAAAATACAGTCAACACTCGTTAAGTCAAATCTCAAGGGAATGGATAAAATATTTTAGGTATCCGGAGTTTGAGTTCAGCAAGGTTTCAGAGTTTTCTACAGTCATGTTATCTACATGTACGTACATGAATGGCTTCACAGTAACTCACTTTACCCAGCTATGAAATGGAACGTTACTTGGCACACTTTAATATTTTTCCCATTCTAATGGTGTACTTTTTAAAGTCATAAATCATCATTTTACTCAGATTTTATATCGTTCTTATCTGAACGGTTTTGCTCAATAGACAAACATAACAATAAACCACTCAAATTGTATAATGTCTGTGGCAAATCTTTAATTCACGTCGTTTGTTCAACGACGCACCATGCTAAGGTTTTTTCGATGTGTGCTCACATGACAGGTCCTATTCAATCAACAGAGGGCGCACCAGCTGCAACTGGGCCAGCAGTATTAATCAGGCTATTTAATAAACTCGAAAGCCAGGCACGTTTATCCTCACAGGATAAACGCGCCACCAGTCACATGGCCACCTCAAACAGCCAGCAATTGGACTGCCAGTGTGCGGAGGTCTACAATTGGACCAGCGGTAGCAATCAGGCTATTTAAACTCTAAAGCCAGGATTTGTTGCGGTTATGGGCTGGAGTCCGATCACAAGGCAGCGTGCACGCTGCATCCCCCATGTCCCTACGTGAAAAGACAAAGTGCGTTGGGCAGTAATGACTCATGAAAAACGTTTTACGCTCTGTACACTTCTTTGTGACTGTTTTGGCAGTGGCTCTTATGGTCTGGCCGAAGAAAAGTTTGAGATAAACGGAGGTACCGGTGCGGGCATTTGGAGTTACAGGGTATTCATGTACATACACTATTACTTCGAGATAAATGGAATTTTGAGTAATCCGAATTTGAGTTATCGTGATTTTATGTATTGCGAATAGATGACTGTGTAAAAATTAAAGCTGTTGACCTCAACTTCTGTTCAATCGATCACACGGATAACAATTTGGTAAATTTGAACACGGGAGTCTGTGACTAGACTAGTTAGTGTTTGGTACCAAGACGTTCACATAGCAGTTAACGTGGACTGGCGAGAGTTACACGCTCTAATAGCTAGCACAATGATTGCAAACTGTTTCCACTAAATGTGATTTTACTTTGTTCCACCAAATTAAATACTTATATGATTTTGGATTGTCCAAAATGTTAATGCACACTTTGAATTTAAAGCAGGTCCGAGTCATTACAAACATGAAGTATGTGCACTGAAAAACGTACTTGAGTATGCATATGATTTGATGACACAGTCAGTCATGATTCAAGACCCTTACCAGTTGTTGCACCTCGTGCTTGCTAGATTTCAGGCTATCCTGTGCTACAGCCAACTGATCTGTCTTCTCATCGAGCTGTGTTTGAACTCTCTTCAGTTGTTCAAGAGCACGCTTCAAGTTGGCCACATCCGTTGATGTACTAGAGAAACGGTTCATCATCCCCTAAGCAGATGAAAAAGATATTAAATTAACAACGTTCTCAACAAAAAAAGCAGAACAATACTAATAGAAATGTAAACTTACTTCATACTCTGGACCCTGGCCTGAATCCAGCACTTACAAAAATATTTTGTTATTACCAATGAGTCTGATAATCTGCTTACCTCTATTTCCTTTTTGTGGTCTTTGTTAAGAATCTGGATTTGTCGTTGGAATTCACGATTGATGGCTTTCTTCTCTCTAGTTGCATCTTCTAACAGTTCAGTTCCTGAGAAAGTAAAATTTGGTTATCATTTCTGTCACATTCACAGGATTTTTTTTCTGTAATAAGCTATGACACAGACGAAACATTAAACTCTTGAAGCAGACAACATTTCAGGGCTCAAAATTGTGCTTCATTCCACAAGATTAATTCCTGTTCCCTGCAGTACTTGTATTTTGTCTACAGAGGCAAGTTGTTAGAAATAATTTTGAAGCTCTAAAATAAAACACAATACAGTTGATTCCCATTAGTATGAAATCCAGACCTGAAGCTGGCATGGGGAGAACAAATTGGGAAAAAGGCCCAACAGACTACGTGTCCGAAATCTGGGCCGCGCTGCAATACACATATCTTTCTTCTACTACAGAAAAGGGCCATACGTGTTGTTACCTTTCCATTGATATGATTCAATAATGAGACTGGAAACAAACTGTCATGCTCGAATGTGTATCTACATGTACATGTAGAATGTGTATCTACATGTACATGTAGAATGTGTATCTACATGTACATGTAGAATGTGTATCTACATGTACATGTAGAATGTGTATCCACATGTACATGTAGAATGTGTATCTACATGTACATGTGTGTGGAGCCATGTCTAGCTGTGCATGTGCATTGAGGACACACAGGTGGAGTTTAATTAGGGTAATTGGGGGCTGGCATTGTGACAAAAACCAATGGAAGCAGTTGAAAAAATCTTCAAACAAAAGAAATTGCCAGAAGAACAAAGAATTGTCCTCCATGTACACCACACACAAATGTGTACACACATTGTACGGATGGGGTTTATGGGGTACTTCCACTGTTCACTGTGTGCAAGTACCCCATATAAGGTAGCTCTCTAAAAACACTATAGTTTGCATCAGGTCTGGCACTGTGCCCTGAGGCACAGACCAGACTGTGAAAGGTTCTTATCCTGGCTCCAATTCCATAATCTTTATCTCTGATTTGTTTCTTGCATGGGCCAAGGACTAAATACTGTCTAGACATTCAAACCATAACCAGCTTTTCTCAAATTAACAACCTAGGAGTTCCTGTTGTCATGTGTGTTTTTATCATTTTTATTGGTACACAAATGGAACACGATTTGTTGATTTTTCTGGATTGGTATTAGGAATATTAACAGATTAAGGTCACTTAGTCCTGCTAATTCCTAGCCCTGCATCTCCACTTTGATTTGCAGAGATTGAGATCCCCATAATGGCAACAATTGCAGATGTATCAACGAAGTCTAACAAGTACTCACTTTGCTCATATAAAGCCTTCTCCATATCTTCTTGGAATCGTATCTTCATGTCACTTTCCTTCTTGGCCCATTTCTCCTCCATGTCCTGGACCAATGTGCCTTTGTAAGCCTCAAAGGCACCCTGAAGAAACTCTAGCTCACCTTTCATCCGTGCTAGCAAAATTAGGGCAACAAATGTAATGTTTAGGGTGTGTCTCAACACAATGAACAATGTGGTTCCAGTCTGAAAACTTCATTCAGAGATTCATGTTGGAGCTTCATGTTTTTGTTGTTGTTTTTTGTTAAGTAACAATGAATGCACAAGAGGTCTACTTACCCAGTATGTGCAACTCTATGAAACAATAGCATGCAACTCAAAGATGGCAGCAATAAAGGATCTAAGGACACTCATCGCATAATAGAACACCTCCAATGAGGAGCAGCCAGTCTTTCCTACTAGACCAACTTGTATTTCAAGTTTTGAGGCGTTTTTTTTTTATTGTTCAAAGGCATTTTCTTTTTTGCAAAAAAAAAAAAACTTGCAGCGTGAACACTCTAGTGAATTCCTGAAATAGTCATTTCATTTATAATAACACCTTTTTGTTTGGCTAAACCTGTTTTGAATAAAACTTGTTTTGAAAGAGAGCCTACCTAGTACAGCATTACTGGCTGACTTATGATGTTCCAATTCCTTGCTGTGTAGCTGTTTCATCATGTCTAGCTGCTCATCTTGGTCCTGTTGTAAGACTCTCAATTCTTCCATGTGTTTCCTCTCAATGTCTTGAAGTTTCTCCTTCAATGTCCCTGCCAGCTGAATTGAAATGGACAAAATGACAAGATCTTTATCTAGGGGGCCCCAATCCATTCATGCAATTATGATACACTAGGAACAATGGTGCAAGTTTTCAGTACCTGTAGGTGCGCCTGTTTGAGATTGTACAAATTCCTGCTGTAAACATGGTAAAGAGTACCATACTAATGCTAGCTTAGTGGCACACTAGTTACCTTTGCCATCCTGCTCAAATTATAAATTAATGAACCACGAAAGGACAGATGTTGGTAATGCTGTTACCGAAAACTGTGGATGCAATATTCCATAATGCAATACTCAATACCCACCGCAACATTTCTCAACATGCCTATCCATGTTCATGGATTGAATTTTCCTCTAATTTCAGTCATTTATGAAAATTAATGAAAGCCCATCATGAGCTTTGAGGACTGACAAGCTGGCATTATTTTCTCTCTATTTGAAGGGAAACTATACATACAGATGCCATCTTTGAAACTTAAAGGTCAACCCCGGTGGCCGAAAATTGCTATAACACCTATTCCAAAAAAAAAAATTTTTATGGACACCATCATGTTGTGAGAGTGACACTATATTGTATATGGTACTGAGAAGGCTTGTAAGACAAATATGCTAACCCCTTTACCTTATCTTTAGTTGCCCTGTGGTTGAGTCTCTCTTCCTCCAGAAAAAGTGTTAAGTCTGAAACCTGCTGCTGTAACTGTACTATCAAAGCCTCTCTGTAAACATACAAATCATGCCAAGACAATGATTACTCAGTCTGATAACCCATAATGTGGGTTTCTGTCCAAGGGGATAGAATGGAGTGTCTGAGTGAAGTAAGTTTTAACAAAAGATAGTCAAATCACATCTGAAGCTTTCATGATATAACTACCGGATGACAAGGAACAGAAAGCAACTTCTGAGATCATCATGTCTGGGCTTAAAGATGATCAAGGGGGGGGTTGTTATTGTTGTCTAAGGTCAATATTGTTAAAAATGCCAATCTTCAACATGACTCCGGGTGTACTTTTCAATTTTGTGAATATTTGGGGTTTTTTAAGCATTAAGTCAAAAAAACAAACATAACTGAACATGTTTAATCATTTTTGTGAATATTAAAAAGTCTTCACTGAATTTACTCCAAATATAGCTATAATTTAAAAAAAAAATGCAAAAATAAGTTTAAGCAGGTGGCTATATAATTTGTGCTAAAAGGATATCCTTCCTTCTTGCCCTGAAATAATTATTAGTTCAATACACAATTAGTCTCACACACAAAAAGATAAAATCAGAGAAAATCTGGATAAAGCAGAATATTTGCAGACGAGTTAATGTGACCAACAAACATACAGACTTACTGTAAGCTGACTGCAGCAGACGATGCCCTTGTGTTTGGTCTAGAGGTTCTTGCCCTATAACCTGGGACATTACCCTCATTGCCATCATCAGGGAAAAGATTGAATAGGTCTACACCACCAGACATTAAACTCTGATGGAGAAGCCTTTGAAGTTTTGATTGAGCACCAGGATTTTCTTGATTTTGTTGCCGGAACAAGGAATGGAAATTTGCACTTCAGTACGAAATACAAAATTTGATATGCACAGATTACCCCCCCCCCCCAAACCAAAAATATGATGAACAATAACCAAGGATGGGACATCAACAGCCAATTGAAAGAAATGGGTTTGGGCAAATGTTCCCAAAAAAAGAATGCATCGTTGCCATGTCGATAGTTTGCAGGATTAGTAGAATTGCAGTACAGTAGTCCCAACACCAAGGAGAAACACAGCACAATGCACAAGAGACAAAAAAGAAAAAAATTGTAAGTAACCAACAAATACATCGTGATTAGTAACAAGTAAGTACTGAAAAGTTATGCATAATACCTAAGAAAGTATGTACATGTATGTAATAAGGTATAAAATGTGATGTGCTCTGTCAAAACTGGCTCTCCTGGGCAGCTAGTAAAAATAGCTTTATTTTTAAATATGGTTAAAAAAAAATGGACCTTCCTGTTTACAATGGTGTTTAATTGCTGAGAACAGACTTTCCTTGGCAAATTGATGCTGGTAAATTAAGTCATTAGCAAAATTCTCATCAACATAGCAGAGAGAGTGGTATACATCATAACAAATCGCATTTAGAGGCAGAAATATGGTGTAACAATTTTATGGTATATATATTTTAGAAATAGTAAGCCCCCCCCCCAAAAAAAAAACCAGCAAAAACAAACCAACAATAAACAAAAACCAAACTGAAAATCACCAACATCATTTTTTTGTTGACTCTCTATTTCAAGCTCTACGCAGAAGACTCTGGTTTTGCCAGAACACAGCGAAAGAAAAACAACAGTAAAAATCACCCAAGTGATTCTCATCTAAAAAGTACAAAGGTATAGCAATAATTGTAATTTTATAAACTAACCACCCAGCCCTTGTCATTCATTAGCTGTATTGAAAATAGCTGAGTAGATGTACATGTATGTTAATACCAAGGGAAAATGTGTATAGTATACATACACATGTACATGTATGTCTTGTCCCCAGTATCTAGCCATAACAAATGTTGAATATCACTTTAACTACCCTGAATCCACCAATCAGCACTGGCCAATGATTCCTACTGTTTGCCTTTCAGCATTGTAGATCCCATCCAAAATACTGATACATGACAGTGTTGGATACATGTACATGTTGGATGGCACTGCATTCCAAGGGAATAATGGAAGATATTTGCTGGTAATGCTTTGCAAGCATGAGCAATGACAAAGAAAAAGACTGGATTCATGCTTTATGAAACAAGTGAAACCTAGGGGAAAATCTACTGTGCACAAGCCATGATTCTAGACTGAATATTTTGGGGGTTTGAATTATAAGGAAAAAAATTATTTCCTGACTGCGAAAGAAATTTGGTCTGGTATCATAACATCTATTACAACAAATGAAAAATGGAATCTTGATCAACTGTCTATTAAAAAGGCACACTGTAATGAGGATTAGGGCTGTGCATGAAAACCGGGTACCTGAGTACCCGACAGCTGATGTCATGAACAGAGTCATGTTCATGACGCTTGCGAAAATGCAATTACATGTATACTGTAAAGCTACACGTATTGAAATGCTTAATTCGTATTGGAGAAATGCAGAATAAATGTGAGTTCCAGACTGTACACACTTGCATCGTGCGGACCTTTATGAACAGCTACTTCTGAGATGGAAATTTTGGGGTTGCCTTTCTTTAACAGGTACCCGAGTACCCATTTTTTTTTTCAATCCGGTATCCGATTCCTGTACTACCTGTAAATGCACACCCCTAATTAGGATAAGGAGTGCAGGGTATTCATTAGTTTAAATGTCAGTTAACATGATTTGGCAAGAATTGCCCATTAAAAAGTTAATTAATAGTGAAGAAATGCTCGATTAATAGTGGAGAAATGCAGAATAATGTGAGTTCCAGACACTTCCAGTTATAAAATGGACTCTTAAATCTACCAATTGATTCATGTATTTGAAGTCATACTGACAGTTTGAGATGATGGAATCAAGAGAAATTCAATTGAAGGAACAAATCATTTCTCAAACTGTCACTGATAAAACTTTGGTGCCCTTTAACAGAAGAGTGAATTTTCAAAGATTCATTACCAAACCAATGAAGAAAAAAAAATTATGTGAAAAAAAGTGAAATGACGATACAAGATGATGGTATAATCAATGGTAAGGTTAGATGCTCTTATTTTTGACTGAAGGTAAAACAGCATTCCATTAACCACTTACTGCTCCAAGCCGTACATTTGCATGTAGAGGTTTTTTAGTGACCAGCACAAACTCAAATATTACAATTCAACAAGGGAACTGTCTCCATTTCGTTTTTTGCTACATTGTGGGCCAGAAAGAGAGCTCAACAGGCACAAGATGGACAAATTGAATGACAATTTAATAAATTACCACAGACTTGTGATACGGTATGTTGAAATTGAGAAATGTGCAAACAGATTGAAAGTGAGCAGGAAATGTTCACAAAATTTTTGGTTGGCACTTTTTTAGAGTCCATTTTACTTTGGCAGAATTGCTAGATTAATTCTAGGGAAAAGACCATGCGTGTTAGAACGGACTCTGAATTGCTATTTTACCTTCATGTTCAAAATTTCCCAGGGCTTCCAACTATTTCACCAAAACGCTGTCATGCACCTGCTCATCCTAAATCTTCTTAACACACTCTTTACAAGGATCAACTTCTCTTTAAACCAATTTTGCTTACATTTCTTGAAAAAAACAACAACTTTTTTTCTGGTTTTAAAATTTTAAACACTAAGTGTGAATTGTGTTGAATAAATCCTTCCTTGCAATATAAGAATTCAAGCTACAAAACATATATATTTGTGTTTTTTACAAGCTATTTTACAAATGTATAAATAGTGCGCGATTGTTGTCATGATCTTAGCACAAGAGTGAAAAGAAGAGAAACAGAAAAACATAAACACAATAAGAAAATAGAACAAATAAGCAAAACCATTGTCGCCATTGTGGTGTTCAGTAATAGGACTTCAAAAGATGGCATGCTAATACGATGCGACATACATACATGTAGATGTAATCATGTGTAAAGTGATATACACTGTGGTTTGACACAAAACATAATGATGTGCAATGGCGTGGTGTGGATGTGATGCTGTATAATGTGTAAACACAGATGAAAAAAAATGGCAATTCTTGTAACTGTTTACAAAACATCATCCATCTGTATCGTTTCGGTTTTGCGGTAACACCATGTGGTAATAACTACTGCTTAGAAGATATTAGTTCTGAGAAGAACTTGTCCTGCTTATTATCAACTTGCTAAGTAGTTTTTGTTCTGTTTAGAACAGTCCTGCTGTAAGTTCTAAAAGAACTTGTCTTTGGTCTCAACGTTTCGACTAGCCTGCTCTAGTCATCGTCAGGAGACTGAAGATAGTTGGAGATGCTACTCCTTAAGTAGGGTTTGTTAGGATTAGGAGTGCTTGCTGGGCATGCCCTGCTCGCTCGGGTGTGTCAGTTTGTTGTGAGCCATGGGCATTGTGTTGAGGGATGCCCGCTGAGCGTCCTGCTCGCTCGACTGTGTCAGTTGGCTGTGAGCCTTGGGCATTGTGTTGAGGGATGCCCGCTGAGCGTCCTGCTCGCTCAGGTGTGTCAGTTGGCTGTGAGCCACGGGTGTTGCAACTTGGAATAACTGAATGCCATATGTGGCTTATGAAGTAGCCGATATCTTGTGGGACAGTGTCATGTTTGTGGATCTCAATAGCTTCTCTGATACGACGGGTGTACCAGTGTTTCTCTGGGGCTATGATTTCCGCTTGTTCCCAATCAACAACATGATCCAGATCAGCAGAGTGTTTGACAATTGCCGATTTGTCAAGTTCCCCTCTGCGGCCGTGAGCTATGTGTTCTTTAAGCCTGGTAGTGAGGTCTCTGCCAGTCTCGCCAATGTACACTTTGCCACATGAGCAAGGAATTCGGTAAACTCCTGCTTGACTTCTCGGGTTGTGCTTGTCTTTGTGGGTGTACAATTTCGTTTCGAGTTTATTGCGAGTTCGGTAGTAGACCTTAATATTGGCTTCACGGAGGATTCGCTGGATCTTGTGTGATGCATGGCCAATATACAGAAGGACTGCAACCGGCATATCGGGTGTGTTCAGGGTCTGAGACATGCTCGAATCCGGTGCGAGGCTGTGATTCTTAGGTTTGTACCCATTGTCTCTTAGCACTTTATTGAGGTGCTTCAGTTCAGATTGTAGGTGTTCATCATCACTGATGATATGTGCCCTTCGAAGTAGGGTGCGGTTCACCGAGGTTTTCACTGATGGTGGGTGGAATGAACGAGCATTGAGGTATCGGTCTGTATGTGTAGGTTTCCTGTACACAGAGTGTCCAAGTGAACCATCGGCCCGTTTGGAAATGAGTACATCAAGGAAAGGCAATGAATCGGATGTCTCAGTTTCCATGGTGAATTGTATACTCGGGTGTTGTTGGTTGAGATGGCGGAGGAAACCATCAAGCTTGTCCGGGCCATGTGGCCATATGATGAATGTATCATCTACGTATCGAAGCCATAACTTAGGTTGGAATTGAGCTGTTGCCAAAGTTTTTTGCTCGAAATCTTCCATGAAGATGTTAGCCAGGACTGGGGAAATTGGAGACCCCATAGGAGTGCCTGAAGCCTGTTGATAGTAATTGTCTCTCCATTGGAAGTACGTAGACTTTACGCAAGTCAGGAGAAGATCATAGATTTGATCTGGCGTTAAGCTGGTTCTTTCCGTGAGTGTGCCATCTTGTTCGAGTATCGACTTGGTTACGAGGCATGCTTCTTCAGTCGGAACATTAGTGAATAAAGATTTGACATCAAAACTCACTAGCATGTCTGCGGATTGTAATTTAATTCCCTTTATGGTGTTGATGAACCCTGCTGAATTGGGTACATGGTGAGGCGTTTTTCCCACGAGTGGGTGTAGGAGCTTTGTTAAGTGTTGTGCGAGGCTATTGAGATCCACAAACATGACACTGTCCCACAAGATATCGGCTACTTCATAAGCCACATATGGCATTCAGTTATTCCAAGTTGCAACACCCGTGGCTCACAGCCAACTGACACACCTGAGCGAGCAGGACGCTCAGCGGGCATCCCTCAACTCAATGCCCAAGGCTCACAGCCAACTGACACAGTCGAGCGAGCAGGGCATGCCCAGCAAGCACTCCTAATCCTAACAAACCCTACTTAAGGAGTAGCATCTCCAACTATCTTCAGTCTCCTGACGATGACTAGAGCAGGCTAGTCGAAACGTTGAGACCAAAGACAAGTTCTTTTAGAACTTACAAAAACTACTTAGCAAGTTGATAATAAGCAGGACAAGTTCTTCTCAGAACTAATATCTTCTAAGCAGTAGTTATTACCACATGGTGTTACCGCAAAACCGAAACGATACCGATACCCCACCATGCAAAGCCTCAAATCTTATATCATCCATCTGGTGCCACACTTTGGAGAAACTCCACATATCATGGCACACAGAGCTTCAACAATTGCATTTTGATGCCAATATTCAAATAACGAATGTTAGGCCTATTATTTAAAAGCCTTATGATCATCAGACATTTTCTGCCTACGACCCCTACCATTTGTAAATTAACTTGTCACCACTAAGCTCTAGTCCACTTGACATAATTAGTACTGAAGTGAATACGTCACACGCACAAAATGTGTGTGAAAGACATTAGCGCGTGATTCAGCCGGTGAACCAACACGCACGCTTACTCCATTCGTTTGCACTACACTTTTTCGGTTTTAAATGACGTCCCACTTCGTTACTCTATAGCTACAAACGATTTGGTCTAAATAATAAATGATAAATGGTCTAAAAACAAAAGATTGGACTTCAGATTGTTTCTAAGAAGGATTGAATATATCATCCTACCTTTCTGGATCAACTGTTGGCCTGTTAAAAGAAAAATGAAAACGAACGTTTATATTAAATTGCTTGTTTTTATACAGGATGACGTAATTATGTCTGAAAAAAAAAATGTCATTGTTTTCAACTGTTTTGTGTGTTGATTCTTATTTGACATTTGAATAGGCAAGGATTGACTGCTCACCCTTGGTGTGCCACTCTGGGTATGCTCCTAGGAATCTCCTCGTCTTCACCTGTGTTGATGGTTACTGCCACCTTACTCCTTCCTTTGGTCAGGACCATGCCACGGCCTAACTGGTACTGCCTGGCACTCTGTAACATCACACAAGCCAGCCCAGAAGAAGTGAAATTACAACGAGAGATCTATGTCTGTTTGAAAACAGAACATAGGGCTTTTCCGCTAATTTTATTTTGTATGACATGATGACATAATCATGATGTCACTTGTCAATGCACATTTTTGCATTGTGGTCTTGGTTTGTACTAAGGTTGAAATCAATCCAATGAAAGGAAGTGTTAAATTTTGGAAGCGCAATGAAATTGTAAATATGAAAAAAATTATAAAAAATCAATTGATGACGTCATGGTGACGTCTTTTCGGAATTTGCATACTGGTACCATTATCTAGCTATCCACCAAGTTTCATGACGATCGGACGTTCCCTTATATGTGTTTTCAAAAATCGCATTTTTGATGACGTCATGATGACGTCACACATTTTTCAGAATTTTGTGCATATACCTGTTACCTAACAAACATAATACATAAAAGAATTTTGAATTTTGCATGTTGCGTTCCTGAGATATGGCTTAAAGGTCCAAAAATCCAAAAATTCATATAAACTCACACAATGACGTCATGATGACGTCACCTAAATTTTTGCCTATAACACATCCCGGTCTACTCACATACCAAGTTTCAACCCAATCGGACTTACAGTTCTCTAGATATAGGACTTTACAATATGCACTTTTAGGATAAGGTCACGTGACCCATGATAACGTCATCATGATGTCACCTCAATTTTCATCTATAACACATCCCGGTCTACCTACATACCAAGTTTCAACCCAATCGGACCGACAGTTCTGTAGATATAGGACTTTGCACACGAATGATGACGTCACGTGACCCATGATGACGTCATCATGACGTCAATCTTCGGGACACATCTTTGCTTTAGGGACTATGCCTATGCTGACTTTGAATAATGTATGACAAAGATTAATGCCAAAAGTGGAGGCCAGAAAACACGTGCACAAAGTCACTGGACTTTGAAATGGAACAAATAGAAGAAGAAAGAAAGAAAAAAAAACCAGCACAAAAACAAAGGCTTTTCCGCACTTTGCGGAAAAGCCAATTATTCAATTTCACGCTCACATTACTTAGGAAATTAACTCTAACCGCCCTGAATCCTTCAAAATCCTCAGAGGCCCCAGAGTTCGTCCCTCGGCATCAACCAGACACCACCCTGTCGGTAGATACCTGTTCGGGGGAGGAACCAAACTCAATCGCGGAACAGCCTCCACCTTCTCGTGACGTACATGTACGTGTTGATGCTGAGAAGTTGTCCACAGAACAGCCTCAGTCTCCTTGTGAGACTGATACATGACGGCATTGAAAAGTTGTCCAAAACCCAAACACCATCTTCGCTGCCAGACGCAGATTTGAGTGAACCACCTACAGTGGACAGTCCTCTCATTTCACCAGTATTTGTGACTTCCCCATCAATTCCTCAGGATCAACTCATCATTAGAGATAAGACGCAATGTCCATCCACTGAGGATTCTCCATCAAACGAGCCTGCAAATGACCCAGTGCCAACCCAACCTATTAATGGCCATTGTGACAGAAACTTCTGATTCCGAGTCAAGCTTTGTCAGACGCTCCACTCGAGTGTCAAAACCACCCGTGCGGATGAAGTTTGAGGAGAGAGGAAAACCTGTGTTTAGCCGGCAATTCCAAACGCCTCGGATGTTTGCCGAGTATTAGAAGAAGAGTTTTAACTATTAGATATATTGCCTCATTTTCTTTTCCATTGCTCCCGGAGGAAGCAAGTTAAGAAAGGGGTGGATGTAACCACGACCCAAAAAGAAGTCTTGGGCTATAGTATCATTTTTATTTTATGACTATGTTTTGCATTTGCATTATCTTCCCTTTTTCTAATCTTTTATGATGTTTCATTTGTTCTACTGGTGACTTGTGTTCCAGTAAACCTTTGATCTTTTCCTACTTTTGTTAGAGCCAGTCTTTGATCTTTCCTGCTTCTTGGAAGACTAGAGGATTGTCTTTTGTATCCATACATCTATATATTTATTTCATGATAACCTTGTGGAGACGTATTCACCTATAGAAATTGCTCTGTGGAGACACATACAATCTTTTGTTCCCTATTGTGCACATGTCTCCAGAGGGTACCGTGTAACAGATCACATGTGTATTTGCCTGCAATCAGGGCCCCCTATTGTCCCTCTTTTGTTTGTACTTAAACTTTTTAGGAGGACCTCCCACATGTTTTTGTACACAAATCCAAATTGGGGAACTCTCAGGAATTGGGAACCCTATTGTCCTCTATTGTTCAACGTCCCTATTGAATGCAGAAACAAACTTACACACCATCGTGAATTTCAAAATGCAATTTCGATCCTATTTTCAACCCTCCGGTTAGAGCATGCTACCCAGGTCGGAACCGGGTTGACATTTTAGAAGGATGGGAAAAGGGTTGAACAAATCTCGGTATTGGAACCGATTCCAAACCGGAGATTTTGGACAATGTGAAAAGGCCTTAACTAGCACAAGAGAGAGGATCTCAGAGTAATAGTGCTATTGTCAAATTGCAAATAAAGTACAGTACATGTTACGATAAGCAAATAGTGAAAATTCAAATAAAACATTTTAATTACAAATATTACCTCACATATTAAGCACTTTTCATCATTGTCAAGAGACATTTTGTTATCCACACAAATGCTGCACATTTAAGTTTTTTCTTCCAATGTTTTCAAACCACAAATGCTTTGGCGTGCATGAAACAAGCACGTTTACATTTACCAATTGGTATACATGTACACACTTTAAATCAATTATGTTGTTAAAACCTTTGGCTTGAAATGGCCTCAATAAGTCAATGTTTACCCACCTGTTCATCTCGTGAGACAGCCTTGGTCTTCTTGAGTGGCAGATGGTTCTCCAGCTGTTTCCTGGCTGTAGGCTCTTGCTCAACGTCGTACACCCTATCACATCGGGGCTTTACACCAGGCGGGGCACTGCTAGATGGGGTTTGACTTGTTGGGGAGGAATTCCTTCTTTGCTGGGAGCTTGGCTCTGATCTAATGGATCAAGTTCAGAAACCAGACAAGTTGATGTCATAGACATGTAGTGATTTGTTTTATTACCATGCCTCAAATGACAAGGACAATTTCACACATTATATTCTTTAATAATCTCTACAGTATTAGACATTGCTAACATCCATCTGCTAAATTCTGGCATAGCCATGCAGTAATTCGTTTATGGATATGAAAATACACTGGTAGCCACGGTCAGTAAAAATCACAATTTCTTTTAATATAACACACAAACATCTGCCAATAACAGCTCTCTTCTCGAAGACAAGGTGAACTAACCAAGATGATAGGCCTATAGCATGAGACATTCTCAGCAAGTTCAGAATGGCTTTCCTGTTTCAATGAATCACAGCACAATGCTCCAGCATGTACATACTATGCAGCGAGAGTAACACCATCCACTAGGACAAGGGCGGATCCAGAACACAATTTTTGGGGTGGGGCCAAAAAAATTTGGTTCCCCAAAAAGTGGGCCACAAATATTTATGGCGTGGGGTTCGGGGCCCTTAAGTGGGACCCAAAAAAAAAATTGGGTTCTAGATGCTCTGTGGTGCAATCTGAGGCAATTTCTAACCACTTTAACCATTGTTTTTTGAGGAAAAGATGGTGGTGTACTCATCGCCTGCCTCTATTGCGACGTCACTTAAACAAAACAAAAATTGGGTTTGTTTGGGGGGGGGGGGCCATGGCCCCCTTTGGCCCCCCCCCCCTGGATCCGCCCTTGCACTAGGACAGCATCCACTAGGTCAGCAAGATAAACCTGTCCCCAACCACAGACCTACTCAACCAAAAACTGACTTGGATTTGGCTCAGTTTGGATTTGTCATCATAGTTACGTTGAGTTGGGTCAGGCTGGGTAGTATGTTTTCAATCACTTCGGCTAAAGCCAAAGTGTGAAAAACTTAAATCTGAAAGCAATCATTGGATGATCTCCCAATTAATCTAGCGATCTAATGTATACACCAACACAGCTTTTTGAGCTGATACCTACATGTAGGTACATATGCAGTTAGTCCTTTTAATATATCTATCATATGCCCCACCCTGCTACTACTAATGCAATTCCAATTGATTCCAAAACATCGTCAGAAAGTTTACAGGAAAAGGTTGATTGCCCTTTTACGCCTGAACTATGGCAATGGTGCCATCTATAGTTGGGCCAGTCCCAAACTATAGCATTGTAAACAGTGAGGGAAATTGAGCTCTGAAATATTAAGCAGAAATAATTCATCTCTCAAAACAGCCCATAATCAAATCGGTCAATTCACATATTTGAACATCACACATATAGTTGTAAAACATCACGCACATGCACATTTTGAACATCGCACGCAAATTTGTGAAACATTGAATTTTGAAACGTTGGACACACCATAGTCAATAGCTCTTCAGGCATGCATCAGTAAATTCAACACAAGACCTCCTGCTGGGTTTGTCCCAACTGTAGTTGGGATTTCCCAACTATTCTGTCCCAGTAGGGACCGGCCCAAGTATTGTTGGGACCATTACCATAGTTGGGGTGTAACAGCCCTCAACCTAAACAGTGGCAACTGACTATGATGACAGTCACGAAAGCTGACATGATTCAACAGTTAAGGGCTGAAGAATTGTGTAACAAAAACAGCTTTGGTCCTTACTGAGGTCGTGCTTGGTCTCCCTTTCCACTGCTCTTACTCTTTTGTTTCTTCTTAGACCTGCTAGCCAATCCACTCATTTTATATTTATTGGCCTGTGGAAAAACAAATACAATATATTACACGTCTCAGTTAACCAAAGTTTAAGATGCACTTCATTAACCCCATTACCACAGATCAAATACAAACAGGAGGATTCTACCATTTTCTTCCTCCATGATTCTACATAGTACAACTGGATCTGAAACAATGAGGAATACGTAAGATTGAAGGGTTTCAGTAATTTGTTTAATTACACATACATGTACGTGTAACTAATCAGCCCCCTGCAGACAGAAACACAAGGAGTTGTTTACATCACTTTGGACATCAGGTTGGAAGGTTGTGTGTTTTTTGCAAATAATGTCACAGTCTTGAAAGGGGTGTTTCTTATCGGGGGATACGAGGAAAAATCATCAAAGTCTGGATAAATCACTGAAACACTATAACACAACAAATACTCAAAATTACATTTCCCTGGCGAGTCAGAACATTGATCAATGAAAGAAACAATCATATGATATGAAAGAAGAATGTGTACATGTATGATGAATAATAAGCCAAATGGACATTTCATTCATGAAATGCATTTGCAAACTCTCATGAACAGTGCATTTTGGGGGGATAAATAAACACATCCCACAGTCCTAGTCTGATAGACAGCACGCTTACAGCAGCACATGGGGTTGCTAATCCAAATTCTGTCCCACAATCTGACAATTCATTGCTCACATCAGATGTTGATTCAAGAAATATAACCTCACATGTGCATGATTGATGAGGGTAGACTTGACTACTCTACATCTCTGCAATGTATCTGTACTCAAAAAGGACTTTGATTGACGAAAATAATGATTTTGAACCATGTCTCAAAACCCCAAACCTTCAACTTTTGAAGTGTACATGTATACCCTCCCGTTCCCTTTTCAGTGAAGCATTCTCATTGAAGCATGCAGCATTGACCGCTCTGATGCTCTCAATCCCTTAACACTATGGACACCAATACTTCCATCTCCCCCTGCATCAAGTTTAATTCACACTTTTCACACAAGTATCTAATCACGATACATGTTTCTTTTTATGAGACCTAAAAAGACAATTAAGACCGTTTGTTTGTTTTTGTTTCAACGTGATGAAGAACCATTTACAGTTCAAAACATTGCAACCACCCAGCACTCCAGCAATGTATTGGCTATGTGTTACCCTCTCTACTTATTGTTGTAAACTCAAAAGTAAACTGTGTAAAAATACTGAAAAGATAATACAAATGCATCCCAAAAATGTCTGGACACTAAAAGAACCTACATACATGAACACGTATGTAGAGTGATAAAAGATTTTCATATCAGTCCAAAATATTCTGTAGTACCCAAATCAACTCCTACACGGTTTTCCAATATAAACATCTCGTACTTATTCCATTACTGTTAATTGTGTACAAATCTGTAACTTTTATGTAATGAACAAGTAATTCTGATTAGGACTGTTCGAGTGTGAAAGGTCATCTCAATGTCTTCACAATACAAGCTCAGGAGCAGCTCAGCCAACTTGCACACAATATGCTATTTAATTAAGTCTAAATAGAGTTCCAGCCATAAGCTGTTTATCTACTGTATCTTGACTGACAGCTTCAGTAAGACCTACATGTAGTGTAATTCCTTTTCCACTATAGGGTCATTCATGTTATACCTGAAAGCCTGGCTTAATAGACGCTTTCTATAAAAAAAGAAAAGCTGGAAAGACAGAATGAGGCTTGATGAGGGTAAGCCTCGAGTTAAAGGACCATTAATTACCAGTGTGTTGTGGTTTTGTCAACTCATTGTATTGTAATGTTCTTCATTGATTTTTGAAACATCCATTGTAAGAGTCTGTCCTTTCATCAAACTTCCTTTCACAGGCTCCATGCACACTGTGGCCCTTGACTGGGGAATAAGCACTTGTTCTGTCAAGTCAGGGCACTTGTGCTGTTTTTCCAGGCCAAAAAACTTCCCGTCATTTTTAACTAAATTTTAGAAAAATGCCCTTAACGTGAAACCAAATCACAAGCCAGGTATTCACAACTCCCAATTTTCTGAAGAATGCAGCATAGGAAAGCAACTATGACAATAAACTGATTGATATTCATTATTAACAAAAGATTTGTAAAAAAAAACCTGAATCTACGAGAAGAGGAGGTTTCTAATATATGCGATGATGTCTTGCATTTCTGGCACTGATAACCTCTACGAATCATGAATAAAGTGACCTCTAAAGGCAAATTATGGTGTGGAACTTTAACAGTATTTAGGATCACAAATTTGCCAAAAAACCTCAATTTCAATCTTTGTCCAGAAGCACCTGCTTTTGGAAAGAGCAAGTCCCAATGAAACAAATTCTGATAGGTAACTAGAGCCAATAAGAGGCATTACATTTTGTCATTTGTACCTACCTCCATCCGGTCATGGTTCCTCCATTCTCCACCAAGTGAAATGGCAGAATTGCCGGCATTAGGTGCTGTAATATTGAAGTTACTCATGTTTTACTGCCTGGTAACAAACACAAAATATATAAACCACATGTTTAAAACATTGAAAGATTGGATGAAAGTCACAGAGTCATCATTAAGGCACTAGAAAGAAAATTTACTATAAGACTAATTCACACAAGGACATGTCCAGACCTTTTTATCATGAAAAAAAACCACACACACAAAACACACACACAAAACACTGAAACAAACAAAAAAACTAAAGGTCTATGTCTGTTCGGTGAACAGAACATAAGCCTACAGCTTTTCCGCATGTTACATTTTTAAAAAATGTTTAGCATTCGTTTGTCCATGTACAGTCATGTTAATGAACATTCAATTTATGTACGAACAAAGTTCCATGATTCACTGGCTGTTGGCGTACTCGAGTACGAGTTCTAAATGAGTGATAAGTCCATAATATGACCAAGCCTTGAAATGAGACTAGTCATCTCCACATGTTCTATGCTAATTACTACGATTGACTGAAGTTTCCAAAAACGAGTAATTGCAATATTTCATTTAACACAAATTTCTTGCAAATAGCATCGAATTATTGACGTTGAATTATAGTACTTAGAATGTATACTGAGTGAGACAGCTTAGGATGCCTTGGATGCGGGTGGATGGGCATAAAGTCATCAATAGAGGGCGCTTTATTTACCCCTGGACCCTCTACTTTATTTACCCTAGGCAGGACCCACTACTTTATTTCCCTATCTAAAACCAACCCCAACCTACACACTCATTCCGTCTTGGATGCGTGGATGCGCGGATGCAGAGTGGGCATGAAGTAGGCCTAAATTTTAATCAATAGAGGGCGCTTTCTTGGATGCGTGGATGCGGGGTGGGCATGAAGTAAATTATAATCAATAAAGGGCGCTTTATTGGATGCCTGGATGCGTGGATGCGGAGTGGGCATGAAGTACCGGTAAGTTTTAATCAATAGAGGGCGCTATAGAAAACCGACTGCGCATCCACGCAGCCATGGATGCGCGGATATAGAATGGAGTGGCCCTGTATTCTAGTATAGTTGTACCCCTATCAGTATCACTCAGTACCAGCCATCAGAAAGTGATAATATATCCTCGTGTGACCATTTTTCGCGCACTTAGTACTTTGACAGATTTTTTTCTTGCATAAACTAAACCCTACACAGTTATGGACTTTAATATTGTAAGAATGACTAATAAACTACATGGAAAAATAATTTGAACAATATCGAACGCCAAGGAAGAACCAAGAACGTCGTCGTCTGCAGATGAGTCAAATTGGCAGCCACGAAAGTTTCGTGCCAATAATTTGCGCACGAACGGAAAACGTCATTCTACGGAGTCTCCATTGTGTCCTACTTCTGAAAACAATGTGGATCGATGTTTGTTGAATACAGGATAAGTTTATGTGCACAACTTTGGCCTCTAGTTTGATAAACTAACTTTTTTTTTGCCATCCGACATTGTTACTTAATACACTTTTGTTTAAATATTAAATAAATGAATTTCTTGCGATTTTGGTAAAAACAACTGCGTGCAAAATATTTAAAATCATATCATAATTGAAAATTTGAGGTAAATAAATTAAATCCACAAATCTTATAATATATTTTTGTCGAAAGTCTAAGAAGCTTAGTAAAATCCTATGCATGGAAAAAGAGTTCTGACTTGTTTTGTGTTGCTGAAAATCAACCATGTGCCAACTACATAACATTTTACAAATTTGTACCGATTCTCCAAAAATAGAAATATTTGCAATATAACTTCACTTTGCCATGGCTATATTTTTAAGTACATGGACAAATATATTTGAAATGACCCCTCCATCAAAAACATAACAAAACCACCCTTCTGTTACAATGTTCTCCGGCATTTATTGCTCATTCTAATACACCTGCCATCAATCAATCAATTATATTACAGGCGCGTGCGCCTGCACAAGGCCAACCATACCTAGTCCGTGGGACGAGGCCTTTTTTTCGCTCGCCACGAGGTCTGGTTCGCCGAATTTTATAAAACTTCACAGCCATGTAGATTATAGTGTACCATATCGAAAAAACTTTGTTCCCCGATCCACAGTTTGTTTGGGAATGAGAAAATCTGGGATAAAAACGCCAAAAATTCTACATGGGAAAAAAATTAAGAAATAGCGCCCCCTATTGACACAGTCAAAAACCTTTTCTCACGCAATGGCCATCCGACTCGGAGTTCGGGCGGTTTGACATGAGTAATTATTATTGTTCTCGCACTCGAACGGCGGGAACACGACCCACGAACACTACACTCGGAACAGGATCTCACACCATGCACCTTTCCGACGTTGTTTGCAAGAACGATATCCCCGGTGCCGTGTTCAAGAACAATAAAGACCCACCCAAACTCGGCCAATGAGTTCTTCTTCCTATATATAGTCTAGATGACACTTCGTTCATATTGTATTCTAGATTTTTGTTATTTCTCATCTGAATGCAAAAATATCACCGTTACAATTTTGTCCAACATGAAATGATCACGTTATAAATTTAAGATCGAATGTTAACATTGTTATGTATTTAGCTAAACATCGATTTGATGGTTAAACCACAGATCAGAACTCTTATCTCAGGGTAACATGTTTTCAAAAATAATAATCATAAGTGCGTGGCATCTGGTGGAGCATCTGAACTTCTGAAACATCTTTTAAAAATGTTATGCCTGAAATTAAAAAAAGTAATACAAATTTGATGCAGCCTCAAAAAAGGGTGGGCCGTTGGGTTATTTGTGGTTTCACGGAATGGACGGAGCAACAACAAAATAATGAATCGGTTCTTAACTATATTCAGAATAATCAAAACGGTAAAACGGTTTCGGCTGAAACAGATTGCAGTTGTAATGCTGCCACTCACAGCTTCCAAATAATACAGGAATATAAATTTATTTTCTCTTCTTAAAAAGTTTGCAAACAATTTGATGAGACTTTTGATGTTATACAACAATTATCTAATTGGCCTGTAATGTATACATGTGCTCATTTAGCTCGTTTGGTTAGTTGAAAATAAACGAGTTATGCTCATTCGGTACAGATTGAACAAACTTATGTAATCTAAAAACCATTCTTCTTGTGTGGGTAACAACTGTGCAGGTTTAAACCCCCCCCCCCCCCTCCCCAAAAAAATGAATTAATTTAGATCATATAGGTTTTCCTGGCTATTTTATAACGTTTATCATTCAAATTCACCGTTTCTAATATTCATATTCGTCCATCAGCATCGATTTAGTGCACTTCCAACGTTTAATTTCGTCTTTTGTGTGACAATTCAAAATTCAGTTCAAGCACATTCAAGAAGAAGTATACATTTTCGTACCGGGGTATTGATTTCGTCTAGTCTACGCCAATTATCTAGTCTACGCCAAACCTTGTTAATCAGAAATTAAATTCGTTTAATTGATTTATATACGACGAATTCGATTTCTGAATGCTGCCATTCGGCAACAGCTTAGACGTATTTGATCTGTAATGATCTTATTATGGATCTTATTATTTTGGTGACTCAACTCGACTCGAGTCCCTATGGTTAAGTGACTCGACTCGAGTCACTGCAAGCAAATGACTCGACTCGACTCGAGTCCCTCATCAAAAGACTCGACTCGAGCGAATGCAAATAAGACTCGAGTCCCAAAAATAAAAGCACAATTTTGCGAAAAGTATTTGCAATGACCTACGGTGCGAATTTTATGCTCATTTACAAACATACAACGTGTCACAGACTCCCACCTTATGGTTCTTGAACGCACAAAATACTATTCAGGAACCGGATTTTAAACACATTTTCCAATTCGTTGTTTCATCATTAGCTTTGGGCGATTTCTTATAAAGCCTCTTGGATTCGAACGCCGGCTAAATTTATGCCCTCCTTTCATACATTTTGGTAAATAGTGTTAAAATATTCGTGACTCGAATTGACTCGAGCTAAATATTTGACTCGACTCGACTCGACCTTCTTGACCTAATGACTCGACTCGACTCGAGTCACAAAAATCAGTGACTCGTTACAACTCTGTATATAAAGCGCACATCATTTTTCGTGCTTCTTAATTCTGATTACGCCCTCTGTTGTTTAGTGAAAGTCGACTAAAGTTGTCTTTCACGTTTCGGGGTTGGACGGAGACACTGATTTGAGATTCGTAGCGATGTTTTTGTTAGTTTTCTTGGACATTCAATAATGTTATGTTTTGTATCTAGTCGGTACGGCAATCATTTACACTCTCTTTGATTTCTTTCAAATTACTTCTTGGAAAAGCTTTTGATTTCCGCATAACTGCATTGAGAAGAAAGGCGATAAGAGGATGGATCATCGATGGTGATTTGACGTCGGTCCGTGTTGTGTGAAAAAAAGATACGAGCCGAGAAAGTTGGTTGTGCGAATATTGGGGCACCGGACGATATCCTAAATAATTAGCAAATAGCAGTGACAAATTTTGAATTTTTACTGAGAAAACACTTAAAACATTTCAGACTAGGCCTGTCTGTTTACGGTTTTGACTAGCTTGAGTAACTCCAGCTGACATGCTCCATATTCATTCACATGTAACATGCTCCATATTCATTCACATGTAACATGCTCCATATTCATTCACATGTAACATGAGAATGAATATGGAGCATGTCAGCTGGAGTTACTCAAGCTAGGTTTTGACTGGAACCGGGTACCCTTTACCGGTCAAGGTCGGGTACCCGGGTACCCGTAAAAGCCCCCCCCCCCAAAAAAAAAAAAAACCGGAAGTGTTTTCATTTATTATAACGCCAACCCGGAAGTATTAAAGTGCTTTCGTTTCTAAACACCCCATTGTGTTCTATAATGCTTTCTGTGCAGGTATACCGATTTGCAAATGGTCGATTTGTCAGTAAAAAATAGGAATTGCAAATTCAATGTCTATTATATACAGCACCTGAGTTTATGAAATAAAAGAAACGCAAGGTGATTAATAAAGAGTTTAAAGACACCGATGACAAAGCGACTACAAGAAGCTTTATTACAAACACAAACAATAGGTTGATACTATCGTGTTTCGCCACTTTCGGGCTTCTGGAGACGCATCAAAGTAGCTCTACTGAGTGGAGCGTTGAATTACGGGTACCCCTCCATACCAACGCTCCACCGATTCGCCATACTTTGGTAGCACCATCACAGTAGCATAGTCACAAACCCACGCGAGGACAAAAAGACCCCCAAAAAACGGTAAAGAGATTACAAATGAGAGAGACAGTTATCCTGGATTGATCTATACATTCTTGACATTCCATGAGACCCCTTATATTGTTCCCAAACAGCGAACATTTTGGAAAAAAACAGCAAAATAGTCTGAAAACTTACAGTTCAATGTGTTTGCATGGAGGCTCAGTTCTTGAATTAGCTTGTCAATGAGGGCGTCTGACGTGATGTCACCGTCGTTGCTCGATCGCGAAGAAAAACAAGTCGCGCTTTATCAACGACTGTTTCGTGTAATAATACGTGCTCCGATCCGCGCCGCGCCGTACGACAGTATGGGCTTTGAACACACCCAAGGAGCACGTATTATTACACGAAACAGTCGTTGATAAAGCGCGACTTGTTTTTCTTCGCGATCGAGCAACGACGGTGACGTCACGTCAGACGCCCTCATTGACAAGCTAATTCAAGAACTGAGCTTCCATGCAAACACATTGAACTGTAAGTTTTCAGACTATTTTGCTGTTTTTTTCCAAAATGTTCGCTGTTTGGGAACAATATAAGAGGTCTCATGGAATGTCAAGAATGTATCTTATAGATCAATCCAGGATAACTGTCTCTCTCATTTGTAATCTCTTTACCGGTTTTTGGGGGTCTTTTTGTCCTCGCGTGGGTTTGTGACTATGCATGCTACTGTGATGGTGCTACCAAAGTATGGCGAATCAGTGGAGCGTTGGTATGGAAGGGTACCCGTAATTCAACGCTCCACTCAGTAGAGCTAGCATCAAAGATAGTCTAAATAAAACTGAAAACAAAATATAAACCGCAAAATGGAGTTTTGGAATCGTCGGTAAACTCACTCTGAACTTTGTTAATCTTCTGTTAGTACCATGTACTTGTGTTTTTTTTGTCTCGGACGTTGCGTCGAAATTTATAAATTCGGTTACGGGTACCCGACCCGATAAAATGGAACCGGTTCTTGGCCTCCGCGGGCGGGTACCCGCAACAGGCTTATTTCAGACCAGTCCCACAGGGTTTGTGCACAGGGTGAAAAGTGATGGCCAGATATGGGAATCTTTCCTCAGCATGGAGTACGACTTACTGATTGACCAACCTGCATGAAACTGAAAGGCACCAGCAAAACAGCATGACCGGTATGACCAGAGCAGACCACGACGACGGGCAATCCAATTGATGACGGAGCAATTTGCTACATTTTCTCTGTTAAATCGTACCGGGGAGTTCGTCAAATTAAACTATTTCTACTGCATACACGGAGTTATCAATTCAACTACTTCATTGCCAAAAATGACCTCCTAAATAGTGAATTATGTGTTTATAAAAAGATCAATAACTTTGATAAACATCCGTCAATCAATAATTCTGCATTGTGTCAAAACCTGCGCCACTAGTAGCTGGGTAACGAACAAACATCACGCAGGTACGTTCCTGAATGAATACATTTTTTGGTACATGTAAATAGTCGAGGAGTGCAGGTACCAGTCTCATTTAATTGATTGGTTTGCGTTGTGGTCGGCCAAGAGAGGGCGCGTTCGGATCTTGTTTAGGCATAAACCACACAGACAATAACCCCTGGTGAAGGGCAAAACCTAATATTGATTTACATCACCCCCGGACGCAAATAACCTTGGTTATTTATGTCTGTGGGTATGTAATATGACCTAGATTTATTTTATATGTCGGTGGGTGTGGCCGGATTTTTCGACCCAAGCTAGTGCTACCCAGGGGTACCAGGGGGACACAATATCCGAGGAATGAGCCCGGACCGGAAAATCTGTTTTGTTTGACGACTTAGATGAATGTTTGGTAATGACTGATTTTGTTGGTTGCTGACTGAAGATTCAACAGCTGTCAGAATAGCAGAAAAGCAGATTTAAACGTTTTCGAAGGTTGCAGGTTGTTTTTCTACCTTATTCTGGCTCGGAAAGCAGAATTAGTTTTCTGCTTTTCTGCTTCCTAAGTAGATTTTACTTTTCCTCCATTGCTTGCGGACGAAAAGTGGACAAAAAGTGTTTTTCTCTCGCTCGATGAGCAGAAAAATCGATCCAACGTTTTGGACGTTTGTATATTCTGCTTTTCTGCTAGCTGAAAAGCTGATTTAATAATAATATTAATAATAATAATAATAATTAATTACCGGCAATGGGGTAATAGGGAGACTTTCCCATAGACTTGTGCACACAAATTTTCCGAATTAAATGTGCCCTAACCCAATATTCTCTTGTCCTTTTTCCACGAATTTCGGTAGTTTTACTAATTAGACCACGAGCACCAAATATAACCTAATTTCGACAGCAAAATTTGCCTCTAAAGGGGGGCTGCGCCAATAGGGAGACACCTAGGAATTATGTGGATAGAGACTGGAATAAACCGATGAAGACTTTGCAGGCTTCTGCAGCGATGGAGAAGAATAGCGTACCTGAAAAGGGAAAAGCATTTTCATATATTATTGCAATTATTATTATTTTTTTAATACTGTTTTATTTTCGTTCTGTTTCAGAAACATTGACGCAATCTCTTTTCAGAATATGTGGTGGCTCTGAAAAGAGCCGTTTGGTTTGATGTTGGTGTGGCTCTGAAAAGAGCCGTTTGGTTTGATGTTTTTGATTTTGATCTCCCCAACCTGGTACCGGTCCCACAGCTGGAAGAGGCGCCCCTGGACCGTCCGGACTTGTCGTCGCTGGTTACGCTGGATCTTGGCTTTCTTGACCAGCTTCATTTGGACCTTCACCAGCGATGCTTCTTGATGGAGCAGCTTGATGACACAGTAGAGTTGCACGTTGTGTCGCCCCGCCCTCCCGTTGATTCTGCGATGCCACCCCTCCACATCGTTGTTAGTACGGATGCTCCGCATGAATACGGACCAGTTGTCAGGCCCCCAGAAGTTCCAGCCATGTCGCCCTGATGTAGTTGCAGAGGTTGATGAGAGTAGCGTTGGCTGCTGTCTCCGCCATTCTGTCGAAGGCGGGCTGGATGTGCTCGCTTGGAAGAAATGGTAGTGCCATCAGCCGACGGATGTAGCTGTTGACCGCGATGTCCGTTGTGTAAGGGACCTGAAGGCCCAGTTCCTGGCACTTCCTCCACACGGCTTGGGTCCAATGGTATAGACACCCCTTGATGTCCACATCGAAGACGGCACGGATCGCTGACCAAAGGCCCGACTCGAAGTCAACCACCATCTCACGGACGTTGGTAGCCCGAGACGGCAGTTTCTTCTTCAAAGCCTTCAGTACCTGCAGTTGGAGAAAGAAAAGAAGACAAAAAATTATAATTATTAAATTATGATAATGCAATATCAGATTTACATGCATCATTGCAATAAAGTTTGCTAAACGATAGTGATAATGTTGGGAGATTGGGCGTGGAAATAAAGTTTGATAAATGATAATGCAAGTGAGAGTCGGGAGAGTGGGCGTTGAAATATTAATGTAATGCAGCATCGCAATAAAGTTTTGCTAAATGATAGTGATAATGTTGGGAGATTGGGCGTTGAAATAAAGTTTGATAAATGATAATGCAATTGAGAGTCGGTCCGAGAGTAACAAGAAAGGAAAATGCAATGCCAGGGGAGCCAAGACTCCAATGAAAAACGATAATTCGATGTCAGTAAAATATTAAATTAAATTTGAAAGAAATACATCAAGCTAACCTTCTTGTAGTCTTTCTTGGTGCGCCTGGACATCATGGCGAAAGCTAGGGGGACTTGCTTCAATTCGCCAGCGTTGCCCTTGATGAAAGCGTGGACAGAAAATAGCAGGCAGAACGGCTGCTTGACTAGCTTGAAGGTACCATCCAAGTACCACGTCTTGGCCCTGTCCAGCAGCTCCGGTTGATCGGGGGTGTAGAAGATGAGATGGCGAGCGGATCCCACACGGACGTCCTTCTGAAAGAAGTCGGCGGGCAGGAAATGGGTTGCGACCTCGAAGTCCAGGTCGGCGGGCTCTGGAGGTCGCTGGCTTTGTCGGGTTCTGTTGGCGGTACGCTTTAGGTTGACCGGGTTGGGACAGGTGAAGGTCGGTGCCGTTGGATTCTCACTCATGATGTGCTCCACGATGACACCGGCTGAGCGGACGACATCAGCCTTGGCGGTTTCTCGCACGCTGACGGCGATTTCCACACCAACATCTCCACCTGGACGAGCGGAATGAGAAGTGTGTCATGCAGTCCGTATGAGAATTCCTCGCCGCTCTGGACTACTGAAACAGGGCATCTCTGATGCCTGTCCCGAACACTGCAAAGCCACACAACCCGCGCACTTGTCGGAACTGGCTGGCTTCCACTTTCGGTTGTACGTGTACCCTTTGCTGTCCACAAGAAGTAGCTTCCCTCTCTGCGATGCCCCATCAAGAACCTTGAAATGGACCTCCTCCTCATCTCCAATGCCCTGCAGGTCGTCTGGGATGGTTGGCTCAGGAAGTGGGTCCTCCTCCGGTGGTTTGACTTTTGAATTATTTCACATAATTATGCAAAAGACTGACACGCTACTGGGATTGTTGATGGTTATCAAAATTAATGTCATAAAAAGTGTAGAAGGTGACATATGTAACATTTTTATAATTTTAATGAATCGGTCCACTTATTTTAGAAATAAGTTTTCGCAATAAATGAAGATCAAATAAGTTACGAAGCTCATGATTGCTATAGCTCCTTCCGCGAATTCGGCGGACTCCGCGATCATCGGCCAGCTGCCAGAATCTCTCCAGAACAATCTCTTGCTTGTCACCACTGGCAATTCCCCAAAACTCAACGGCTTTTGGTTTTCCACATCTTCGGATTTGTCAATTACATTTAACTAAAAAGGAACAGAAAAGTAAATGGTAAGAAAAGTACAAGGTACGAGTCGTCCTGGGTACGAGTTGTCCCGGGTCACAAATTTGGGGTACGAGTCGTCCCGGGTACGAGTTGTCCCGGGTACGAGTTGTCCCGATACCGATATTTCTACGCTAACGTGTCTCCCTAATACTAGTACATTTGTAGGAATAAAGGAATTTATTAAGCGCACATTTTATGTAAACATATTTAAATGCGCTGTACAAAAATAAAACTGGGCATATAGGCCTAAACTAGTGTCGATTTAAAAATGCATTAAAATCACCAGATACATTAAAATAACAAATCAGGATCAGGGAATACATCAAAAGACATCATTAAAAATTAGTGTTACATACGAGTTAAATTCATTAAAATACCTACAATAACATCCTCAGTACAAATCAAAAGCATTTTGAAAAGATGAGTTTTCAGCAGCGTCTTAAAACGGTTTAGGCTGGTGGCATTTCTCACATGAACTACAGAGAAGGGGCATCATATTGAAAGGCCTGGTCACCTAATTATAAGGAAGTCTGCTACGAGTGGTTGGATGTTTATGAAGAATGCAGTTGTTCTGATTAAAACTGCGAAGACCATATACAGAGTTCGAACGGTAATAAGCCGAGTCAACTATTCAGGACACTCACCATGTACAATTTTAAAAACGAGCAACAAGTTTTAATAACAATTATAGACTTAACTGGAAGCCAGTAAAGATCACTAAAAATAGCCTGTGACAGTACTTGTACATGTTGCACAGTGCACACAAGCCTGGCACATGCATTTTGAACCCGCTGAAGACTAGTCCGAGTAACTAGGACTCTACCGATCGCTTTTTTAACATTTGGACATGGTCGGCGATAGTAGAGTCCGAGATCGATGGCCCTATTGCGGTTACTAATAAATTTGACCATTTTTCACACGTACCCCCAATCAAAATCGTCAGATTTCACCCCCAAAACGGTCTTTAAACTGCCTTATGCGACCCATGTAGGCTTCAGTGGGAAGTGAATTTACAAATGGTTTAGGTTTAGGTTACATACCTTTGGGAAGAGAAGAGACATTTCATCTTCAATTCGGGAAACATCCTTGTTTGAGGCTGCAATTTTGAATTCAGGAAAAGTAGACTTGTGCATGACTTTGGCTAAACTGTTTCCTGCAAGCATCAGACAGACCAATCACAGGGCACTTTAATTGGTCACCTGACAAATTAAAGTGCCCTGTGATTGGTCAGGTGACCACCGCGTATTGACCTTGACCATTCAGCGGGCACCTTCTATCGGGTCTTCCGTGACCCGTTGTTGTATTACAAAAACTTGGCAGCCAAATTGACCAATCAACAGCTAAGTCCATTATTTCTGATCGAAATGACACCACAGCTTCAAAAGTTTACTCCGATAGGCTGACGCGCGGTGTCGCATGATGCGCATGCTTATTAGTAGAGAGGACTCCGTTGGACAACGGCTGATACTCAGACTAGGCAGGCACGGCTGCCGTATAATAAACAAATTGTACAAATGTCTATTATATGTCGGTAAACAACAAGGTTTTTCAAAGACTTATTAAAGCAAATATAATATCAAACCACTTGACAGCATAATCATACAAAATAAATATCATGAATCCATTCTAATTCTATCCAGTGAAGTATCTTTGGAAGCACGGCTTTTGAAAATACAAGATAACCTTAACCACGCAAATGAGAGCGCGGAGAATACAGAGTATCTTGGAAAGACTTTCTTGGGAGCACACATGTATTGTGTTTCAGTACTAGCACGTGTTAAAAACTTCCTATTAAACGGTCTAATGTTTATGAGATAATAAAATGCTGAACAGCGCGTCCGAAAAGTGCCCATCTGCTGTTTTCTTTTCAGAGAAGCAGAAAAGCTTTGACCGTGCAACTGTTTTCTACTCTTCGGGATTTTAGCCACCAGCAGGGATGTCAGTGATCAGGCTATAGCCTATATTCAGGTTTTTCATGTTTTGGAAAAACATACTCAGGCCTTCCATCGCGGCCTGAAAAATAAATCCTATTCCTTATGTAGCATGCACAGAGCATGGGCGTCGCCAGGATTTGTTTGTAGGGGGGGGGGGCAAAGCCACCCCCCCCCCAATCCTTATCCTTTCTCCAGCATATTCTCTGTCAATTGATCATATTTTTTAGGGTGGGTGGCGGGACATTTGCCCACCCCACCCCCATTGACACCCCTGCAGACGCCCATTTTGTTAAATGTGTACTCAATTAATAGCAAATATGACTTAACACCTCTTTTCCCTTTTTTGGGGGGCAGGGGTGGGGGGAGCGCCCCCCGTGCCCCCCCCCCCCCCCCCCCGACACCCATGGCTCGTAGAAAAAAATGTGCATGCGATGCTCCATGGTAATTGTCATGCTAGCTTGATACGTGAATTTATTAATAATTTGAAAAGTTGAAAAGTAGACATAAACAAAAGTTGAAAGTAGTCATATTGCAATGTGTTTAGAGGTATTGCAATGCGTTTATGCTGTATTGCGATCATTTTGTGCATGCAGGGCCTTCTTCGAAGTCAAATTTTTCAGGCCCTGGAGCAAAAACCCATTAGCATCCCTGCACCAGAATGGCAAACTGGCAGCCGAAAAGTGGTCATTTGAGACCGCCAAACATCATCAGAAGCGGTCAGTTTTTTCTTAGTTGGAACAGTTAATTGATGTTAAAAGAAAGCAAATTCACGTTTGTGGCCTTTTTTTAATGGCTGGAAAGTAGCAAAATAGTGTAATGGATCGATCAGGGCCTCTCTGCTTCTTCGAAAGCATGCTTCGAAATCTGCTTTGCCAGTAGAAACCCATGAAAGCCCCTTCACTTTAAGAGGATTTTCCACGCGCAAAAAAGTTCCATGGTTACAATTAAAGTTACAATTTAAACATTTTTTTAAATGAAAAAAATCCAAATTGTTTTATAGCAGTGTATCTCAAAAGTTTCAGATTATGTTGGAAATAAACTGTTCGTATCGCTCCGCTTAAATATCACGATTTAGGATTTATCACTTATTTTATTATTATAATAGACCCAACGAAAGTCACTGTTTTCAATTGGTGAAGCAGAATTTTCCATGAGTGTGGATTTTGCAGCAACGTAGCGGATACAAAATTTCAAAATATTCAAATTCACTTTAATTCTGTGGGAAATACACAATATACCGACAATCGCTCCAAAAGATAGAACGGGTATATTTAGCACGGGGACTTCCAAAGCCTGTCCACTTTTATAATTTGTTTTTTTTTTTTTAGTTATTATTCAAGCAATAACATCAACTTCTGTGCGTGTATGAAAGATATAAAACCTCTTCTATGTCGTCACTAGCGCAGGCACTATTATCCGCTTGCAGACAAGCGTCTATGATATAGAGCCTGTTCACCCCTGGTGGCGCGCTTCCGGACCCTTGAATAGAAACATTTAACGTGCACAAGTTCTAAAATGTACAATTATTTTTGGCACATTGATTTCTTAAGAAAATCACCTTCGAAAATGGCCTTTGTAAAATTGTTACCAGCATCTCAATTGACAAATCGCCTGACGTGAAAGAGAAATATCGTGCCACAAATTGACCTCTCACTTCCAAAAATGCAAAAATACATGTGGACATTTATGAAATAATTTCGTGGCGGTCATTGGTTGAAAACTTAAAGTTAAATAGGAAACTATAAGTTGGGCCATCACTCAGAGTGTGACTATATACAATTGTTTGAATAAACTTAAAGGACTCATAAATAGCACTTACAAAAACATCTAAAGTGACCGCAGTTAAGGACTGCAAATAAGCCAGCCCGACTAAATCTACAACCCATCGGCTGAAGGTAAGACTATAAATCTTCGCGTCGTTATACATTTTCGTCGCACGCAAGTCCGCGCTGTGAAAACAAACGTGAACGAACAAGGAGACCTAGGAACGAAAATGCCGGATGTAAAAGGTCGCAAGTAAAATTCGTTTTTTGCCCATCTCCAACTGATTTCTCATAATTTATTTGTGTGGAATGCCAAGATAAAATTCCAACATGATGGTTTCTTGGGTGATTACGGTTAAAGAAATCATTGTCAAAACATTATAGCAAGAGAAAGGGCAACCCAGTGTAAAATGCCAATAGAATGGTCACGCGAGGGATCCGGAAGCTCAAGGACAAAATGGCGTACTTTCAGGGTCTGTTCGCGCAGATTCGGTGATTAATATTATGCAAAACAACACCGCGTATTGACCTTGACCATTCAGCGGGCACCTTCTATCGGGTCTTCCGTGACCCGTTGTTGTATTACAAAAACTTGGCAGCCAAATTGACCAATCAACAGCTAAGTCCATTATTTCTGATCGAAATGACACCACAGCTTCAAAAGTTTACTCCGATTGGCTGACGCGCGGTGTCGCATGATGCGCATGCTTATTAGCAGAGAGGACTCCGTTGGACAACGGCTGATACTCAGACTAGGCAGGCACGGCTGCCGTATAATAAACAAATTGTACAAATGTCTATTATATGTCGGTAAACAACAAGGTTTTTCAAAGACTTATTAAAGCAAATATAATATCAAACCACTTGACAGCATAATCATACAAAATAAATATCATGAATCCATTCTAATTCTATCCAGTGAAGTATCTTTGGAAGCACGGCTTTTGAAAATACAAGATAACCTTAACCACGCAAATGAGAGCGCGGAGAATACAGAGTATCTTGGAAAAGACTTTCTTGGGAGCACACATGTACATGTATATCGTTTCGCGTTATGATGACGAAGCCGAATTTTTAAGAATTTTGCTAACTTTGTGGCATTACGGTAAATTGGCATGTAATTTCCTATCGGGAAGTGGCTTAAAAGGGAACCCAGTTTTCTCATTTTAAAATTATTTGGGATTATTTCTGACCCTCGAAACATAGACGTTTCAGAGCAGTGATAGTAGCTCGCGTATTATGTGAATAGAAGTACACGCAAGTAAATGCATGGCATTTTGCCCAAGCTTTTGAAATTGCCGCCAAAAATCCAAAATCCCAACTAAATCGTGGAAAGTGGAAACATAAATATAAGTCCGATAAACGGACCTTCTAAGCACCCAAAACTGTTGTTTAGATTGTTTTTCCCAACACGATATAACTAGTGGGGCAGATAGGTGCAGGGATTGTGCCTTTGATGATACAAGCATTGCATTTGGCACACATAGTATGTCTTCAGAAATATATTTGGCTATATAGGGCCATCGCAGATTTGTCCTTTAAAGAAATATAGGTAGAATAACAAGCGATGGCAGCCGTTTTGAAAAGTTTGAAAATTGCTTGTTATTCTACCCATATTTTTTTCAAAGGACAAATCTGCGATGGCCCTATAGCCATACTCTGACTGTGTGCCAGATGTCATCCTTGTGTCATCAAAGGCACAATTCCCCAAAATATGTCCCCTATCTACCATACTAAATAAGGATCCCTAACATTTGGAAGCGGCTTAATTGACTATACGTGCTTCTGGATGCGATGCAATATATTAATAACAAGTACAATGTACCGTCAACTTTAGGTTGTGCATCAGTTTACATGTAATATGAAACAATTAATTTGGTATCAAAAACATGTCAAAATTTGTTATTTGTTTATTGCATGATAAATCACTGGCAAAACGTCTCATAAAATCGAATATTGAAAAAGTATTTACGCGAAAGTCCAAATAAATATCAAGTGTTGTGTAAATCAAATATGTACATGTATAATTAATAAACGCTTAAAATGCACATGAGGGCCTTGTAAAAAAAAGAGCTGGAACTAGGCGGCGCTTTCAGTTTATTAGAGGGCACCACGGGTTACTTAAGAAAAGTGGTCACAATATTATTATTATGAGACACAATTGTAAACCTCAAAATGGCAACTACAATTAACCATGGGTATTATCACTATAATTAATACAGTAAAATGTATATTCCGAAAACAAAACAAAAGATGAAATACAAGTAAAAGTCGCCTCTGTTACAGTATAGCTTTGTATCTTTACAGAACTGAAATGCTTCACTGGAAGTGATATACGCCTATAGGTTAAGTGCTAGCAAAACCTTTTTTCTGCACACAAAGTTTCAGATGTTCGAATTGATAGTTCTTGAAATGAACCTCCAAGATAAAGTCACATTCCACATGATGCCATCATGACATAAGTCTTCATGAATCAAGATCTTGGAGCTTTATACAGAAATGACTACCATGCCGCCTACGTGTAGAACAAAATTGTACAAAGTCTGTGGGATTTAATAAGATGCAAAAAACCCTGAAGAGTATGGAAAAATCTGGTGTGTACACTAAATCAATCTAAGTAAAATTCAATTGCTAATTTCATATTAAATCTGACTAAACAGGTGTAACTGAAATGTATAAAAACAATTACACTGGTATTCAAGTTTTATTTGGCGATTAAACCGCATTGAATAATTAAGCTCTTCTTTTTTTTAGTTCATACTTAAAAAAAGACAATCTGTTTTATGCCAACAAATTTACTAATCAACATAAAATAATCAGTGCGATCATGGGAAACTTATGAAATCAGTTTATTTTCGGTGCCTTGCAACTCTCGCCAGCTTAATCTGAATATTAAGTGAAATCACATTAATAAGAAAGTCATGAAAGACATAGTTTAATTACTTTAGGTGTCTCCCGCAATAAGTGTAGAGTCTAGAGTCATTCGGATTGACTGCAACCATAGTTGCTCTTAAATGTCTAAATCTGAAAGGAGCGTAAATTTGGATAATGAAGAATTTTTGGAATGATAATTTATTCATGAAAAGCATTATAATGTACCACATTATTGAAAGACATCGCAGAAAATCAGTGGTGGTAAGTCATCACTGCAGGAATGCAAGATAGTTCAAGTTTTTAATTGTAACTTTATCAGGTCAAGGTTATGTTGGGTCCTTAAGGACAAGGGGGAGTGGGCACATTGTGCCCCCATCCTAATTTCCATATGCGAGGGCCAATTTTCCTAAAATTTGTTAGGAATTGTTGGTTCATGTTTGTTTGTTTGTTTGTTTGTTTGTTTTTTGCCTGCTTAGTTCTGCAAATTGCAGAGTACTGTATATGTACAGATGTTGCTCTGTATATCGATGGTACTGCATCCTTTGAAAAAAACCCCAAAGGTCCTCAGACATCTATACTCTGTACTTTTCCTGCTTAGTTGTGTATGCTTTTAAGTAAAAGTTTCCAAAGAGTGCAACCAGAGATATAGAGTACAGGAATACTGCGTAATTAAAACCCTGTGGGAAATCACAGTCTACCCAGATGTTGTATCCAGTATGAATGATGACTGCCAAAAACTGCATCTGCAGAGAATCAAAGACAACAAAATAATGCTTAGGTTTTTCATGAAAAAGAAATGCACTTCAGATATTTATTACTAAATTTCAATGCAAAAAAAGTGTGGCTGTTAGTTGAAAAATGTAGCAAGTTATATATGTATATATATATATTTGTAAAAAAAAATTTGATTGCTTTTAACACAAATCTGAAGGGAAAAATCAAAACTTAATTCCATTGTACTGGATCCTGAAATAATGGAACTACTGTATTACAATTATTGTTCACAAAGGAACTTTGACCCTCTTTATCAATATGACATGATGTGCAAACTAAAACAAACAAATCACCTGTAGCAGGCCTTTTCATCAAACAAGTGCTGACTGTTTACACATCTTTTCTCAACGGACATGATGTAACAGTGGCAAGAGATTTATCAGGATCATGATGTATTAAATCAGATTATTAGGCCTCCAAGAAAAATACTGGTATTTCCGAGGCTAATGAGTCTGAGAGTACAATTTATATTCAATTGATGTAAACTACCAATTCTCATAATTACTTCTAATACATGTAAAGCTATACCCTCTCTGTATCCTTAAGGTACATGAAATAACATTTGGACTTGAACACAACTATTTTCATCAGGTGGGATGCCCTTTTTTCCATACCACATATTAGAGACTATAAAATTATAGTGGAGGTCGCCATACATAATGTTTTTATGAAGTTACGGGATTAGAGAAATTATATAATGTTTAAAACAACACAGCTTTACGTGTCACTGCAGAAGGCTAGTGGATACTGCATTAGACCGCTAATCTATTATATTGACTGGATATTGTACAGAGAACGGCAGAAGGAAGTCATTTGAAGCCATATTGGGAAACCGGTCGGTGTTCTATAAAGGACAATTAATTTGCCGTCTTAGATCTGTTCTCAACATCATGGTTCACCTGATTCACCTTTTGTTTGCCACGTTTTAATGTTTCCAACATCGTGGTTCACTTTTTGAATGTCTCACTTTACTTTTTTGTGATGTTTGGATATACATGTAATCAAGGCGAATATGTGGTATGGAAAAATAATGGCGGGCAGGATGGAATGTACGTTTTTACCCTTTGCAAAAATTGTGTGTGCATTTTCATGACTAGTTTTTGTAATGCATTTTGTTATCACTCTGTAGGGTTCTATTCTTCAAGTTGGGGGAAAGGTAATGATGCAAATTTAGGTTCAATGTTTAGATTCTCTTGTTATTCTCACAACCAAATGCATTTCGAAGAAAACTACTGTTTCTTAGAGTATGAAAATGAACATGACTGCTGCAAAGTGCTTTCTGACTGGATTGAAATCTACAAATCTAAGAACATCAAGGCAGCCTGACGTTCCAATCTTAGCAAGATCTTCAGAGGCAAAATGACAGAGGTACAAGAAACAAACATGTACGGACTCACAAGCATATGCAAGGTTGGGAGGACAAACACAAAATAGATTTAACTAAGGGAATAAATGTGTGCTCGAGAGGTTTTAATCATTCTGTTTAAGACCGCTTAGAGTCTGGGTGCTAATAATTACCCGGAGGCAAGGGTAATTATCAGCACCCAGACTCTAAGCGGTCTTAAACAGAGTGATTAATACCGACCGAGTACATATTTATTCCCATTCATAAAATACCTTTTCAGTCCAAAAAATATAATATTTCCGTCAAAAAATCCCGATTTTGTTCAACAAGTTCACTTCATGCTTTTTGAAACATCCCTCTAGCTAAATAATGGAGTGTTCAGCTGGCGATTAAGATGTAAACAACCCTTTTATGAGAATGACGCGCGCGTGGCACGTTCTGTGCGATGTCGCGCAGAACGCACCTGGAGCTGCGTTTTGAATTTAGAACTATAAAATTCTGACTCACTGGTAGTGTTACTTAAAAGAAAGTACTGTCCGCACAGATTTAGTTGATATTGCGCCTAGAGATATTAAGTTGCTTTTGACTTGCGTATACTGGACTGAATTTGCCAGGTTCTTGAGAGCTAGTTTTGATGGTGCCATTTATAACTTTTATATATTGTCCCACTGTATGGAGAGTGACATTGTGACTAACTTTCACGCTTGAAATAGTTAAGAATAATTAAGAAGAATTCCTTTGCTTACTCCTTTTTACTTTATTTTTTTGAAGACAGAGATTTCCCTATTAAAATGTTTCCCCATTTTTTGGCTTATTCCACACATGTACTTCAGGACATTTTGTACTGCTTGTTGACATGTATGTACCGGTATTGTACATGTGCATGAATTCTTTGATAGTTAGAGCACAGCATGGGTAGTGAGTCATTCTTGGACTAGAGATAAACAGTGAGGTTGAGACATGCTCAGTATCGATTTAGGTGATAGAATCGATTATGTTTATCAGAAGCAGGACAGAATCGATATTATTATCGATACCAGAGTCGATTTTCGAATCATGTATATTGAGTTATTTTGTGCATTTGTTGTTACTATTGTTTTGTGATTCTGATCTAAGACTTCGATGAGTGAGGAACATTGACCACCACATCAAGCTAAACCAGTGTCCATTTGTCTTTATTCTTGCAGTTTTGCAGTCTTTAGTGTTAATGAACACTCTGCAGCGGCTGCTCCCGTGGCCGTTGGGGGTGTAACATATGTATTCATCACACCGAACTTCTGGTTTGATGATGTCACAGTATTTGGAAGCAAAAGGTGAACATTGTAATGGTCTCGTTATTTGGGCTAAGATATACAACATGGATCATATGATAGAATTAAATTTAAAATATGATCGTTGGCAAATTCTCATAAAAGTAATTTCCGGTCTGATGACGTCATCAATTTGAAACCTTGCCAAGTTATCTGTGGTTAATCAAAGAATATCAAGGGGCGATTTGGTAAAATTTGAAACTATGGTTTTAAAATAAAAAAACAAAAACACTATTTTATGTGCCGCTAGGGGGCGCCCTTTCAGATGTCTGTTTTGTGTCTGGCATTCCTCACTTAACACTTTCATAATATATGTCTGTAGTAAATTGCTTCTGTTTTTTGGTTATATTCAGTTTTTATTGCACTTCCGGTAACACCGGAAGTGAAGGTCAAGCGATTTTGTGTTTGGGAACATGAAAATGTTTCTCACGGCATAGTCTACAACCTCACGCAAAACTGGAATAATAGCATAACATTGCATGTGTCACAAATACAGCCATGTCATGTCATGTCAGAGGGTATCCTGGTTACCATCATCTGGGCCCCTTGCTGTTCAAAACAGTGATCAATTCAAGAGTGCTTACAAATCCAATTACAATATTACAATGGATTTTAGTGAGGTACGTACGTTGCATTGAAGTCTTATCATGCAAGTACAGAAAGTCTGCAGATGTACAGTCATAACAGACTTTTTCCATTTATGCACATTACAGATTTTCCCCATTTAACCAATTTTTGAGAGTCATGGTAGTTATTGTTGACCCCGGCTGAACTCCTTGGATTAATAACGTGTGTAGTTTCTCGGGAAGATAACTGGGACGAGTGGCAGATATGTGACTTATTAACAAGGCATGCAAATGTTGCAAAAGGAGCAACATGACCTAGATGTGTTATGTTGTGCCAGGAAATAACAAGGTGTCCCAGTTGACAGACACACATTGCCATGTATAACAAATGAATGTTTGCAGCACTCATGTGGCACAGGCCGCTATGGTAGGGATAAATATGTTGATCTTACCAACTGTATCTGAGTCATGTAACGTTTCCACCAGAGATATTTCTGCATTCCCGGTCCTAAGGCAGCCAACCCATAGTAGGAATACATGATGATATGTACAAAGGAGTTTAACATTGCTAAAAAGAATGCTGGATAAAACAAAAGTAAAATATTACTTTGATTTGAATCATGAAATAGTTTATAAATTAAGAATTTCAGGACTTAACACAATTGGACCAAATTGGCATATTATGGCATTGAGCAATTTACAGTTTAGTATGCATAATCATTTAGAAATTGGAAAAAGCAATGTCATGTAGCCTAAAGAAGCAACTGGCATTACAAAGAGAAATATTTTTTATTGGTCGATTTTTACCACAAAAATATTGAAACGCTATAAATATCAATTTCTTTCCACATTTGCAGATTAGATATATTACCAATATACTAAAGGCTAAGAACATGAACACCAAAAAACACAAGCATGTAAGATATTGAGGTTTACATTGTCCGCCAGCGATGAGTTTGACTCCCAGATACCAGTTGACCATCATGCTGCTGTGATGGTACACATGCAGGAATGTTAGCTGGTTATTCTTCTTGCGCAGGATGAAGAAGATTGTGTCCATGACTTCTATAACCTTGGAGAAGAAATACCACCAACAGACTCGTGCCATCTAGAAAATACAATTTAAAGATGATATAAAATAAAATATAATAAGCATGTGGCAACTTTTTATTTGTTTTTATTTTTTATTTTTTTAAGGGGGGGGTGGTGATAATGTCACCACATTTGGATATTGCTTGCAAGGAAATCTGGTTGATTCCAATACTTATGTAAAGTAAGTTGATGCTGAGTATTGAGTGGCAGACTTATATTCTAATTCTCCCTAAAATAATTTTCGGTCCGATAACATTATGCTCTTTAGTAAATTGCTATGACACAAATGGTATTTGTACCCATATTTACATGTATGAAATACTGAACTGTATTTTTTATTATTATTATTATTCAATTTTTTTGATGAGCTTTTGGAGAGTGCCTTCTCAGGTGATAACATTATCACCTGACCCTTCCATTGTATTTGGCATAGCTTTCTACAAAACAAAAAAATGGTCATATTTGTATGAAAAATGTTTCTACTTTCATGTTGTATCAATGTATCATTGCACTTACATTTATTATCAGTCTGGTAACCCCTGTAAAGGTCAGATCCATATGTACCCCATATAAAAAAAAGTTTCACCTGCAAAGTCTTGAAAAAGTTATTTACATGTACTGGGATTTGACCATGATCTTGACAAGCTGCAGTATAATTGACAACGGATTGAGAGGAGTCATGCATTACTCACCCTCATTCCAAGTACGCTGTTGGAATAATCCACAGGTTGGCACCTGTAGCTATAGTTTGCCTTCCATGATGTCACTCGAAACTACAACAAACCAAGTTGAAAGGATATTGAAAACATGCCATGCAAATACCACAAATTGACAAAAGACTTCTCTAATTGTATACAATTATTGGAGTGGGCTGGATTGGGATCGGTAAATATACATTAAGTTAATAGTAAAATTTTTGACTTTTAAATAGTACATTTTTGTTTGGCGGGGGGAGGTGGGGTGGTTGGGTGAGATGAGGAAGGGAAGTGAAGTGCAGCCTTCCTTGCCTCCTTCTTGGGATGCCCATGGCAGTGGGGATGACAGTCACACTCTGAGTGATGGCCCTTGTATTTAAGGGCTTTTTACATTTATTATAAAAAAAGCACACACCTTTTTGGCATTTGACAAATGTACTCTTATTAACCTAACTGCCAATTTTAGATAGTCCTCAGTTAAGGGACATCTAGGCCTATTAAACCACCATAAATTGTTCAATCTTGATGATATTGGTTTCAGTAAATTGATCCATTTACAAAAAAGGAAGTACAGCTTTACACTTGCCAAGTCAGCTTAGCACTCTATGAATGTTCACAAAAACACTTAACTCTCATTTCTTTCAATTCAGAATAAATTATAAAATAATAAATATAATTGACATACATGTACATTCTCAGAAATGGTCTTTTAATGCATGCTTTGTACAAACCTCATAAAACATGTAAATTGACAGGCCCACCAGGAAAAAGTTATACAACACCAAGATGGGCTTGAGCTGAAGAGCATTTCTGTTAGCCATAAGCTTCGGTCCTAGCCATACAACCAGCAAGTAACCAATGACAATACACGATATAGGGATGGGTGATTTCATCAAAAGCCAGTTCTCAACTCTTGGATCTGGATTAAAAAAAGGAAAGTTACATTACACCAATAATAACAACAGTATTCATTCAAAGGCTGGCTCAGACTTATAATTCTCACTTTTTTAAACTTTTGTCAACGTCTTTAAAATGGGATACTGCAGAAGATGAAAAAGCATGGTTATAAGAGTGCTAAATGAACCAGGTTTTTTTGTTCAATTTTATTTGATGTGACAATTTTACAAGAATTTTTTTTGTCTGCAAGAACTACATGTACTAACCAACTAAAATTAATCACCGAGACACCTTCTTCTACTGATATGCAACTGATGCAAGTATATGAGCTATGATCACTTTTCATTTGAAGGTGCTCTTTATTCACTTCATTGTCAATCATGGTCAAGGTGAAAGGACAAAGTCAAGCTTTAAATACTTAAGTTTATAATATTCCATTATTACAAATCTTTTGAGGATCTGGTTACCTCAAACTTTTGGAATTTACTTGAAATATTCTGGAAACAAACATTTTGAATTCTTTTTTAATATTTAATTTTTGGGAAATCAGAACGTCATAAGATTTCAGACAAACTTTGATTTTTTTTTATGGAATTACAATAAAATCTTGGAGAGATAAAATGGTTGAATTTCAGTATGCTGTGGGGCATTGTACTCTTTGTAAAAAAAGGTTGAAAAGAGAAAACCTAGTTTTACTTTGAATAAAAGAGTCCCACCTCTTGGATCTGCATAAGACAGAAACTTCACAATAACCAAGGATGCATCCTTGATTGTACTCAGGGAAACACGACATTTTTCATGGTCTCCGAAGAAAAAAAAGCACAATTTCATTATGAGAAACCTGACTGACATTCAACTTGCTTTTGCTAAAGTAAACATATTTTGAGCTTACCACCTTGTGCTTCCAGCAGTTCATAAACATACGCCACCTTTGCTCCCAGTCCAGAGATGAAGTCCATAATGTCTCTATAATCAACACTTGGGGTTTCTTGGAATCAATATTTTGTTGATGATTAAAGAGATCTGTAAGAGGCAACATCAGTTTCATTTGATTGTCATTATCAGAATGTTGTTGGACATGAGGTAAATCATCCTCTTTTTGAATAGCAAAAAACTTTTTTGAAAGTTATTAAATGCATAGCTATACACTAGGGTAGATTTTTTCGACTGTCTATGATGAGGACAAAAATAACACAACCCAAATCTAGAGCAAACATTCTTGGGGGGGGGGGGAGTGTTCATCCATATTCAAATGAAATGAATGATACATGTACAATTAAAAAAATAACACAAAATAAATACAATTAAAACCAATATTTGATTTTATAGTTATGCGGGGGGGGGGGGGGGGCTTGTCAACCGCTTCACAGTCGAGCAACTCATGAACAAGTCATCTACATAATTCTGCCGAAAAAAATATTCTGCTGGATTTAGGCTGTACAAGTCATTTTTGTATGCAAATATTCTGTCAAATGTGGCCGAAATGCAGCTAGAACGGTCACTCAATCACAGTAACCGCAGATCACAATAGAGTGTTTTTACTATAGATTGAAGCGTGGCTGTGTATAGCCACGTTCACGGGTCTAGCTAATGCCATGGCGAATCTCCCAATGAGCCTACAATCCCGGCCAAATTGGTTGGGACACTTCCTGAGCCTGCAACGGTCACCCACTCCCCCGCGGATGTCAGACAAGTCAACCGTTGAGACAATTCGACTCGGGACAAGTCGACCGTTGAGACAACTCGACCGTTGAGACAGGTCGACCGTTGAGACAGGTCGACCGTTGAGACAACTGGACTCGGGACAACTCGACCGTTGAGACTGCTCGACTTAATGGAAATGAATACACGTGGATCAGAAAAAGTTGCACAAATCTGTGGCAAGACCGATCACGGGCGCGGCGCGGGCAAACTCGATGTACAGAGGGCGCTCCGATCCGGTGACCGTCGCATCGGGCCGGTGCGCCCCACCCGGCCGCGAGGACCGGGCCGGGCTCGGCACGCGGGCACGTCGACCGGCGCGGCAAGTGGGCACACAGGCCCGGCAAAAACGATGCCACCGTGCACGGTACGGCCACGTTGATCGGGGATGCGCGCACGTGGCCCAGAAAAACGAACAGTGTGCACGGCCAATCACGTACGCTGCGCTATATCGGCTCTTTTATGCAACAAAAAAAACTTCATATGTCATTACTCCCAAACGGCGACCAGCCGCCGACAAATCCCCGGTACTTTCCCCAAAACTAGGCCCAAAACATGCGAGGCGACTTGTCTCAACGGTCGACTTGTCTTTCCATTTATCGCACATACGGTCGAGTTGTCTCAACGGTCGAGTTGTCTCAACGGTCGACTTGTCCCGAGTCGAGTTGTCTCAACGGTCGACTTGTCTGACCCCCTCCCCCGCTCCCCTGGTCAATGTTGTTCTCTCCAGCTGATGGAGGCTTTTGGAGCACACACCGCGCAATGAGAGACAACATTGAACCATAGAGCTCTATGATTGAACGGGGGCCGGGGGGTTGGAGGCCCAGCGAGATTTGGCCAGGATTGTAGGTCCTAGGCAGCTAGGTGCTGGGTATTCCAAGCTAAAACCCAAAGTGATATTATGCTTCTATTCCTACCTCCATGCTTCAACCATGCTTCAACTTTCTCCCCTTTAAATTTTAACTTTGCCGAAACTTGACATAGGCCTACCTGTTCTTTTATTTCCCAGCTGTCCAACAGGCCGCAGGAGAGTGAGGTTGGTACCGGTTCAACTTACAAAGGTTTACAAAACATTCCCAGCGTTAAAGCGTTCCACAAATCCGGATATTTTTATAAAGCAAAGAACGGATAGCTAGCAGTAGCAGCGCACGGCGTCGCCGAGTACAAAAGAGCACGCTTGTATTTCACGCATGACTGCATGCACACATGTACATATATGCACATCCCCGCAGTTAAAGTTATGTAATAACCAGGACAAACACAATGTCAAGGCGATTTTTTTTCAAGAGGGCGCTATTCAACTACCACGTAAAGTTAGTTGGACGGTTCGACTGTACTCAGTGACTGTACCGTATAATTTTACAGGTCCGCTCTGCTCTACTGATCTCTATATAAAGACTGGATTGCGGATATCCATACACCAGTCACACATTAGACTTTGCATATTGACCATTGAACAATTGAACAATTATGCACACAAGAACTCCATCACCCATTCATTTCCACGCATCTGGGGCAACCTTCCATCTCATATTAAAGACTCGGTTATACTTGACTCTTTAAGTTCATTCAAAAGAAGTCTGTCTGATCACTTCCAAGATCTCGGATAACTATTCTATAGTGCTCACTGATATGTATATTTATGTGTAAATCTCTAGTTCCGCTTGTGTGCTTGTTTTTCAGCAGCGTTTCATTTGTATGTTTTTGGGGGAGTTTGTTTGTTGGGTTGTTTAGGTTTGTTATTTGGGGGATTTGTTGGGGTTTTTTTGTATGTTTGTTTTGTTTTGTATTTGTTTGTTTAGTGGGGTGTTGGGGGTGTTTGTTTGTTTGTTTTTTCGCAATGTTTTGTTTTTGGCTTGTTTGTTTGGGTGTTCGTTTGTTGTTGTTGGGTTGTGGGGATGTGTGTTTGTTTATTTTTTGTTTGCTGGTGCGGGCATTTGTGGGGTTATAGGGGTGTCGGTCTGATGGGGTACTTGTTTGCTTGTTGGGATTTTTTGTTTGTCTGGTCCTTTCCTGTTTATTTGTTGGGCAGTTTGTTTTGTTAGTTTTTGTTATTTGTTTTGTTTATTTTGTTTGGTTTGGTTTTTTGTTTCTGTTTTTTGTTCTGTTCTGTTCTGTTCTGTTCTGTTCTGTTCTGTTCTGTTCTGTTCTGTTCTGTTCTGTTCTGTTCTGTTCTGTTCTGTTCTGTTCTGTTCTGTTCTGTTCTGTTCTGTTCTGTTCTGTTCTGTTCAGTTCTGTTCTGTTCTGCTCTGCTCTGCTCTGCTCTGTTCTGTTCTGTTCTGTTCTGTTCTGTTCTGTTCTGTTCTGTTCTGTTCTGTTCTGTTCTGTTCTGTTCTGTTCTGCTTTTTTTTTTTTTTCTTCGTTCATTTTCTTTTCATTTATATATATATATATTTTTGCATTGTATTCTATTTATTTTCTGTGTAGACATTTCGAGCACGGGTAGGCAGGCCTTAGGGCTACAGTGTTTCAGTACACTTTTGTTTACCCTGGCCGGTTTGAAATGTTATATTGTTCTTATTTTCCGTCCCTCTATCTCCTCTCCCCTGTCAAACTGTCCACCCTCCCTTCCCTCCCTCTCCCCCTCCCCCCCCCCCCCTCCAACCCATTCCTACTCGCATCAGTCTTCAGTCTTGTCTGGTCATACTTTTCTATTTCCATTTTTTTTTTTACTTTCTGATATATATTTGCTTTGTCATTGTACTTTTGTTCATTTGTTGGCCGAATAAATAATAATAATAATAATAATAATAACAAAGGGCCAATATATGGTGCTTTTCAGGGCGATACATGTGCGAAATTCTGAAAAAGGCACCCAAAACGGCAGATGCCACAAAAAGGGCATGCGCCACTTCTTTTTTGAAAAGGGCACTTGATCAGACAAAAAGGGCACTTCGTACAAAAAAAGGGCACTCTGTACAAATTATTGGGGGGGGGGGAGCACGTTGAAAAATGGGCATTTGAATGGAAAAAGGCAGTCTTTACAAAATATTGGGGGGGGGGTAAATACTAACGAACAGTATTGCCAATTCGGACTATCGAACCTTATTCTCAATTCGGACTATCGAACCTTATTCTCAATTCGGACTATCGAACCTTATCATCTATTCGGACTATCGAACCTTATCATCTATTCGGACTATCGAACCTTATCATCTATTCGGACTATCGAACATTACTGTCGATTCGGACTATCGAACCCTATTGTCTATTCGGACTATCGAACCTTCGGATTAATTAACCTTATTCTATTTTCGGACTAATGGGCCCTTCGGACTATCGAACCTTCGGACTATCGAACTTTCGGACTATTGAACCTTCGGACTAACGAACCTTCGGACTAATGACCCTTCGGACTAAAGAACCTTCGGACTATTGAACCTTCGGACTACCGGGCTGTAAACCGTATATACAGCGATAGGGTAAATTGTATAAAAGCCGCACGTCCACCTGTGCATTTTGAAGATGGCTTCAATGCACCCTGTGATAAATTATGTCATGATGTCGTCACCCTGCTTCCAGGATGGCGTTATCCCATAACAAACTATCTAAGGATGTTGTCGTCCTACTTTCAGAATGTCGTCATCCCATAATAAATCATCTCACGATGTCGTCATCTTACTTTCAGGATGTCGTCATGCCATAATAGATCATATCAGTACGGAGCTCTGGAAGTGCCATCCGACTTGTTCAGATACTGACTTATTTTATCTCAGGATGACGACATAATACAGGCAAGATGACGACATTCCGAAAGTAGGATGACGACATCTCGAGATAATTTATCATGGGACGACGACATCCTGAAAATAGGATGACGATATCCTGATATAATTTATTATGGCATGACAACATCCTAAAAGTAGGATGACGACATCCTGAGATAAATTATTAGGAGATGACGACATCCTGGAAATAGGATGACGACATCCTCATATAATTTATGTATTATGGTATGATGACATCCTGAAAGTAAGATGACGATATCCTGAGATAATTTATTATGGGATGACGACATTCTGAAAGTAGGATGACAACATCCTTTGATAGTTTGTTATGGGATGGCGCCATCCTGGAAGCAGGGTGACGACATCATGACATAATTTATCACAGGGTGCATTTGAAGCCATCTTCAAAACGCACAGGTGGACGTGCGGCTTGTAAACAATTTACCCTATCGCTGTATATACAAGGTATTTATTTGATGATCAGAGGTCATGATGTCTGTGTGTTTCCAAGATGGATTCAATGCACCCCGTAATATCTCAGGATGTCCTCATCCTACTTTCAGGATGTCAGCGTCATATCCTAATAAATTATCTCGGGATGTCGTCATTCTATTTTTAGGATGTCGTCCTCCCATAATAAATTATCTCAGGATGACGTCATCCTATTTTCAGGATGTCGACATCCCATCATAAGTTATCTCGGGATGTCGGCGTCCTATTTTCAGGATGTCGTCATCCCCTAATAAACTATCTCAGGATGTCATCATGCCAGAAGACATTGTCTTAAGATGTTGTCATCCTATTATCAGGATGTCGTCATGCCATATTAAATTATGAGATATGTCGTCATTCTACTTAGAGGATGTCGTCATCCCCCAACAAATTATCTCAGGATGTCGTCATCTTGCCTGTATTTTGTCGTCATCCTGAGATAAACTTTGTCAGTATCTGAACAAATCGGATGGCACTTCCAGAGCTCCGTAGTCAATGGCTGATTGTTGAAATCACCTATACCTATCTTGATTTCTTCTGATAATGACCGCAAGCCAGACGAAATCATTTCACGGGGTGTTTAGTACCAGTACGATAATAACTCGCTAGGTTCAACTTTTTGGTCAATGCAAATGATCCTATAATAAATATAAATCGTTTGTATTGTTTTAACTCTGGGCGGCGATTTGAAGCAGTAAATATAAATGTCAGATTCCCATTTATTTTGCACTTTGTATCACTGATATAGACTAGCAATTAAAACGTTTGATGACTGTATTGCCCAGCTCTTCACAAATCAACGCATGCATGAATTGCATCACAGTTAACACCATACTGTTGAACCATATACTGTTGATTCGTTGTGTCAGTACATGGCAGTAAGCCAATGAGCAAACTGTTCTCACAAATGTTTTCTTTCAATGAGCAAAATAATGTTTGGGTTCACAATTTCAAAATAAAACCCCAAAATGAAAAGTGTCTTCCTGAGTAATATCACAGCAACAGCACCCTCCGTTGTCAGGAAAAGCATGGACATTTGTAAGTGTTTTATAAAGTGAACTTTTGAATAAAATTAACCAAAAAGGGATGTCAAATATTTTTCATACATTTAAGAGGAGTAGAACGTTGCACACAATATGTTGCTAAGAAATATTCATGTCATTGACCCTTTAAAGCGCAAAAGATGTTGGTGTCACGGTGTGTGTGTCCCCAATTAGTCGATCGCCCGCATAATACGTAGCGGGAGAGGGACTCACCCACGAAGCGTACGACATGCGACGAAGCCACCCCCCCCCCCCCCCCCCCCCCCCCAACGTAGCGGGCGAGGGGAAGCATCGTCATTAATATGAATACCGGTGAAAGCATCTGCAAAAAACTTCTGTGCTTGGAGAATGCGTATGCTAATGGAAAATATGCCTCATAAGTTGACATTAAGTTGGTCGTTGTTGCATTTGTAAAAAATATACCAGTGGCGGATCTAGAGGACCCCCCCCCCCCCCCCCCGTTCAGCCGCTGACTAATGATAATAGTAAAATGGGGCCAAAATAATTCTCGAATTGCCTTAGATTTTTCTAATTGTCTTAGAATATAGGAGAAAGCATCTTAGATTTCAAAATTTTCCGGGGCATGTCTCCGGACCCCCCCCCCCCATCAGGGCTAGACTCAACCCCTCTTATACCACCCCCCCTTTCCTTATAGCTAGATTCGCCCCTGAATACAGTGTTACAAATAACACCTGTGGTGTTGAATTTAACAAAAAAAACACCCATGGTGTTAACGTACACTATTTTTGTTATTACTTTATTTCAACACAGTGCATTGTATTCGTACTTTGGTGATAACAATATTTGATTCCTGCTTGCCAAATCTGGTTTTAGACCACTGTACTCGACAGAGACCACTTGGCATGAATAAATTAATAATTGTCTTTATGCAATAGGTCACGGGAAAGTGACAGGTACCGTTTTTATTAATCTTAGTTAGGCATTCGATTCTGTCAATCATTTTATCCTCTTAGAGAAGCTACCGCAAACAATCTGTGTGCATTGAACAGAACAAATCCAGTCCACTGCCGCTCAATATATACTGGCGTACATTACAAGGGTCAATCCTTGGGTCACTTTTGTTCATTATCTATATAATTGTGGACCTTCCTTCTATAATTCCCGAGGATTGTCAATTGTACGCAGATAACTCTGCTCCTCAACATTAGAAGAAATCGAGAGCAGCCTCAACGAAGCAATGGTTAGATTAAACGGTTGGGCAAAGAGAAATAAGTTAACAATCTATAGTGCTTCTACTAAAACTAAGGCCGTGCTCATTGGATCAACGCACAAGACTGCTTCAAATGACTTGAATATAATTATTGATGACTCACTTTTGCTTGGTCTGCTCATGTTGAACATGTTCATAAGTCCATCTCTTCCAAACTGTAGGCATGTTGTACAGAATTCGTCACTGTCATGTATTCCATTTTGCACTCTTGTTCAGTGCCTAGTCAATAGTCATGCCTACTCTAGATTACTGGTGTACGGTATTGGGAGGCCGATATGGACGACACATTAATACGCTCAATAGATTGCTTAAAAGAGCAGCCAGACTAATTCTGGGTTGTCCATTTACAACTTTGTCCGGTGATATGTTTACTTCGCTAAAATAACTTCCATATTCAAAGAGAGTAATCTATAGGAAAGGAGTCTCCCGAATACATGACTGATTTCTTCTCATGTTTCGCACAATACCAAGTTACTGGACAGAATACAAATGTCACCTTGAAGATTCCCACCTCTAAAACAAAATATTATTCTCAAAGCTTTGCAGTCACTGGAACAATAATTGAAATAGTTCTCCTGCCTAGCTTAGAGTTACACGCTCGCTTCCTGTTTTTAAGACTGAATTATTTAAATACTTATATAAACATTTTTAATACTTCTATTATTTTAGCGTTTTTACATCTACCAGTTTTTGTGTTTGTTTTTAAATATTGTTTAATATTTGTATTTGTTTTAAAATAATGTTTGAGTATTTGATCTTTATGTGTTCTTGTTTTACTTGATTTTTATCAAAATTCTTAATTTTTTTAAGGGATATATGTTTGTTTGTTTATTTTTTTTTCAACATTTTTCCTTACTCATGCCTACTGAAGTCAGCAAATCAATGCTGAAATGTAGACAGGTTTTTTTCTCCGGACACTTGGGGTAGAAAGGGTGGGGCTCGTACCGCACTTTCAATGAGGGCGCTGTTCAAATTACAGCATAGTGCACAAAACCCTCGTAACCCAGCTGGCTCGATCCGAATTTTGTGAACAGGACATTACTGCCAGTGTAATTGTTTGGGTGTCAGAGCAGGGGGGAGGGAGTTCACATTATTTTTAAGTATTTCTATTAAAAAAGAAAAATTAATCAGAGCTGGGGGTGTTACCCCCGTACTTGAATTTCGTCTCAGAATTTCATAAGGATCTATTGTAAATTCCGATCTCGAATTTTCACTAATGTGGGCGCGGCTTATCTAGCTCTCAGATCTACGTTCTTGAAACTCAAGGTTGTTGAGTTTGGAGTGCAGAATGGTATGCAAATATAACATGGTTTGAGGGTAAATAGTAACGCATACAAACGATGAAAACTTGTGTGCAAATGAATAGATGTTGTCATCGAATAACGTCACTCTGCCCCAATCTATATATTTCATATTTTCAGCACTGTAATTATTACTCTAAACGCCGAACATAATAGTGGAACTTTAATGCATATAACGGGCCAGGCCACAGTTCAAGCAGTTCAGGAGTATACCTTCAAGCGCTATCAAAATATTCGCGTCATTAGAGCCTGAAAGTTGACCCCTTGCGGGCGCGCTTCCGGACCCTTCGAATAGGAATATGGCGTGTAAAAGTGGGCTCAAAGTGGGCTCATTGTATTTTTGGTACATTGTTTTCTTAAGAAAATCACCCCCGGAAAAAGGCCTTTGTAAAATTGTTACTAGCATATCAATTTATGATGTGGAAGGGAAATATCGTGCCAGAATTGACCTCTCACGTCCGACAAACCTAAAACACATGTGGAAATATAGCAAGAGAAAGGGCAACCCCGTGTAAAATGCCCATAAACAAAAACATGATAGAATCAGGCAGGGGTCCGGAAGCTCCAAGACAAAATGGCGTACTTTATAAGGCTCTATCACTGATCTCTATATAAAGATAGTGGGCTCTATTTCGAATTTCACTCCCCGCGATATGCGGGCACGCGTGAGCATGCGCAATTGAGTTCGGCACGGCAATGGCACGGCGTTTAGAACAGTGCCTGTCACATGAAAATCCGACTCCTATGAAAATCGGACCCCTTTTCCCTTTTATTGGTTAATCCCTCTCACGTGACTGGTCACTTTCCTAATTATCATACTTACGCATGCGCAATATTACCAATGAGTCCGATTTTCATAGAAACCTAAATTCACGCTACACCGCCTCACTGTATTCGAAACGGCGATAGCGCAGCAGCCCTGTTGCTGTGCCGAACTCTGAACATTGTGCTATCGCCGTACTGACTTCAAAGAAGTCAAATTAATTGAGTTCGGCACGGTAAAACACGGCGTCTAGAATGGGCCTAATTCACGAATGTAGCTATCCTAATCGTTCCAAGTTAGGGGAAATTTGTCTCATGCGGGTGATTGGCGTTGAATTGAACAAGCATTTTGTACACATGGACAAACCTATCATTAATTCAAACAAATACGAAACAATTATATCATAGCGCATGTCCACTTTATGTTGCTTTTTAGCCCCAACACTTTTTACACCGAGTTTTTCCAATTTACACCTATACATTTTAATAAACCGCTGTGATATATTTCAACACTAAAAGAATCACCACAATTTGTACACTGATTCATTTTGTGTTACCAATTTAACAGCTATTAGACAAGCACTTTTAAAAACAGAGAACATCAGTGTACATGTGCGTTTTATAATACATGTACATGTACAGGTTTTCCCCGTCCAATTGCACACCTTGCTCACTCTTTCATGCAAAAGTGTCATGCAAATCTGCATTACAATGGGCAGGCGTTTTCACATCCGGTTCAATTAAAGATGGTTCCCCGTGCTATTTCAAGTTCCGCCTCGAAAAATAGATGTATTTTTTTCCAATTGCTGTTTTCCTAGCAATATGAAAATTATTCACTTTTGAATGAGATATCGAATTAAAAAATCCACCGAAGTTTAGCCTTGGCATTTTCTACATTAACTCCAACTGAGTATTTACTGCCAGACGATTATTGGGCTTTCGCAGGGCGGGTTCACGTGTGCGAAAATGAAAACACTTTTGCAAAGGGCCAGACGCCCAAATCGCTATAACTTAGTTCAAGTTTTTGTTAAAATAAAAAAGGCCCAAAATTCGAACACTGAAAAATGAAAATTGGTAAGAAGAAAAACAAGCTTGATCGGATCTCGGAAGCTGCGGGCCAACGAAATCGTTTAAATGCATGAGTCACGTGATTGTACCATGTAATTTCTGGAAAGAGCAGTGTTTTGAGTTATAAAAAAAAGGGTTTTTTTACCCCAGTTACCCCATGATGACCTTTGACCCCAGTTTGGTCATGTTATATGTTGGGACTTGGCTATTTATAGTTGACAAAGTTTCGTTGAAATCGTTCAAAATATGTATAGGATCTATAGACAGTGGCAACGTTTGTTGCTAACTAACTCGGAGAGACATCAAGAGTTGTTGAGCTGATACCCGCAGTTAAAAATGTTTTTGAGGAGCGCGGGATATACATCTATAAACGAAATCGAATGCTCTACCGCGAATCCAAAACGTATTTGTAAATCTGACTCTCTGAAACCTCTTGAAATGTAAGGAGCAATCTGTCTGATTGAATTAACAAGTTGCAAAATTGGACGGGAAAACCTATACAGTGGAACGCCGCTATACCGAACACCGCTATATCGAACATTCGGCTATACCGAACATCATCCTTGGCTCCCGGTTTTAATGTACAACACGTACCGCGCATTACACACTGTTTGGGCCACTTTTAATGCCCGAACATCAAACCACCTATGGTTACTTCGTGTTTGAATGTTGAAGAGCGATAGATGGCTATTATTTCCCGAAGGAATAAAAGGGAACACCACCAGTTGCTAAAGTTTTGTGACAACTCCTCGTTCGGCCGCGGGATGTGAGAAATGCCATGTCAGTGAATTCACTATTGGTCAAAAGAGGGTACCGGCGGTTCGTTATTACGAACACTTTCTGTGGATCCCACGATGTTCGTTATAGCGGCGTTTTACTGTATATTATTATGCAAAGTGTAATGCATGCAAAAAAGTAAGAGTGATTATCGTAAGACATTATGCTGTATGCCATGTTAAATTAAATGGAAAACAGAGACTTCCCAATTAAAAAGAAATGTAAGGTACATTTTCATGTAGCATTTTATTTTTAATGATTTTTATACAAAAAAAACGTTAATGCTTTATATTCTGAATAATGGGAAATTGTGAATTATAAACAATATATATTTCGATTTTATACAGAAAAAATATTGAAGAAAAGACACCTGTGACTGAAGCCCCAGCAACAATTAATTAATTTGGAAATTTGACAAATTAAGGTTTAGGTTATTTTCGTTGTCGTAACACTAACAATCAGAGAAACAAACAGAGGCAGATTTAAGCCAACACCCCCTGATGAAGTTGCAACACGACATTAGCAGCGCTCCGCTGACCGCTGTCGATCTTGGCCTCATCGTTTGAGTATACCGCCCTCTCGTTGAAATGGGTGAGAAGTTTCGTAACGAAGAGTCTTTCGTGAGTTATGAAGATGCCACTTGAACACAATGTAAGAGGAAAATTGTTCAAGGAAACTTAACTTAATATAAATAGGAGTGTCTTTCATAAATTTGATATGTGACAGATATCGCAGCTAAAACTTCAAAGGACCTCATTGATATGTTACACAAAGAAATGATAACTTAAAAAACAAGCTGGAATTGAATGACTGTCGTCTTATGTTGAAAAAGGGAAGTAAAATACTTACTGATTATTCAATCATATAGAGTTTAATAGTTGTCAAACTCTGCGTCACTGTAAACAAAAGAAAAATGCATATTTTAACCGAAGGGGTAATTTGTCTCATTGATACATACACTCTATACGACCATCTGTTCAACTCAGAGGAGCTTTTTGTTGGAATGCAATGGATCACAAATCGATAGTGTAATTCCTGCTCTTAAGATTTGACACATTCCACAATCAGCATGATTCAATAAGGGAATAAATGTATGTTCGGGAGGTATTAAAGCACTCTGTTTAAAACCGGTGGGAGTCTGGATGGGTGATAATTACCCGAGGCGAAGCCGAGGGTTATTATCACCCATCCAGACTCCCACCGGTCTTAAACAGAGTGTTTAATACCGACGGAACACATATTTACTCCCATTCACAAATACTTTTTCGGTTAAAAAACCCAAATCTTTTCGGTTCAAAAATCAAAACAAGTCAAAAACTAGACGTTGCCAACCATTTTGTTCAACAACTTTACTTCATGTTATACGAAACACCGCTCTGACTATAATATGGAATGCCCCTCCACAACTCGTTACCTTATATTCGCTCGTACCCCCCCCCCCCCCCCCGCAAAGGCGGGGGGGGGGGGTTACGAGCGAATACCTTATAAGGACATTGGCATGCGCGTCGCGCGTACTGCGCGATTTCGCGCAAAACGCAGCTGGGCTGTGTAGCGTGAATTTCGGACCATGAAATACTGATTCAATGGTAGTATTACGCATGCATACGTGAGGAATGTGAACGTTCAACCAATGAAACGTTAATTAAAAGGCACCGGATTTCATGGGAGTCCAAATTTCATGTGACACTGGAAAACTGTTTAAGACCAGCTAGCCATGTCATTATCATCCGTTTAAGAGCGGCCACGTGACGGGCTCTCGACCAATAGGAATGCGTAAACTGTCTTAGGTATTTATGAATATTCATTCAAATGTGGTGAACAAGCTTTGATTTTTGGTTGGTCATAATGTACACGAATATTATGTCACTTGTGTCAATTTAAAGAGCCGCTGTCAGCACCCGCTGAACCAATTTAAATTGAAAAGCAACACTTCGGTTGTACGGAATGTGACATGTATGACCTACGCTAAATATTGTGATTTAAACCCTTTCACACAGTCTGGTCTCTATAGTGGCTCCTCTCTAATGAAGTTATCTGCATGCTTATAAAATTAATATGAGTTATGATGACGTAACGCTTATTCTTTATATAATCTCTGACACGGAAAGCACATTGCACACAAAGTATGACGTCATTTTGTCTCGTCCTTTGCAGATTTGGGGAAACAATATTTAAAATAACCCCCGCTTGAAATCCCCAATTTCGTTTGATAATTCTCAGCTCCACCCCCAGAAACTTGAACACACAGTCCACATTTTTGTCAAACTATGGCATTGCCTCCCTCTTTATTTCTCACCCCGAATGATCATGAATGCGTCTTTAGTGTTTGAAAATAAAAGTCGTCTATCAAACGTGTTGATGTTTTATTTACTATAAGTAGACAAAATGTTGACCCCGAGTCTTTTAGACCAGGAATCTGAAATCACGATACCAAAGCAGCACACAAAGGAGGTTTTACAGTTAACATTTTGGGTGACTGTGCTTACCCGTTATCCCAATCCTCTATTACTTGCTCCAGCATCTCAGGTCGGATCGGAATGAAGGGGTAAATGCGTTTCCTGAAGTTTGTCCGTAGATTGGCCCTGCCTGTACGGCCCCTCATCTGCCAGTAGTTGCCTGCCTCTGACATGGAGCATGCCATACTGAGGACAAGCGCAAAGAGAAGCACGGTCCTCGTGTTCATTGTGGTGCTGTCTGTTTGTGAAAGAAAATGGGGGATGAGCAAGGGCGGATCCAGAACACAATTTTTTGGGGGGGCAAAAAAACCTGGTCTCCCCAAAAAGTGGGTCCAAAAAATTACGGCGTGGGGTTCGGGGCCCGCTTAAGGGCCCCGAAATTTTTTTGGATTCTAGATGCTCTGTGGTGCGATCTGAGGCAATTTCTGACTACTTTAACCAATGTTTTTTTGAGGAAAAGATGGTGGTGTACTCATTGCCTGCCTTTATTGCGATGTCACATAAAAAAAAATTAAAAAATGGTTTCGTTTTTTTTTGGGGGGGGGGCATGGCCCCCTTTGGCCCCCCCCCCCCCCCTGGATCCACCCTTGGGGATGAGAGGATGGAAAAGGGGTTTTCATTTATGAAATTTACTCAATTGTAATTGTATGGGGATAGAAGCCGGAAAGTGGATTTTTAGGAGAAACGAATATTTGATAATTTCTTGGTTTCAAAATCAGAAATACAAATAAAGTTCCTTAAAAATATGGATCCCACCCCGCAGCCGGGAGGTGGCTTTTTAGGAGAAAAGAATGTTTGATACGGTAAAAAAAAAATATGTCTATATTTTCCTCAAAACATTTTCTCAAAATAATAATGCCATCTTATCAAAACCTAAGCCTCGCATCTCATTAGTTACATTTTTTCTCCTTTTTCCCAAAGAACTGGAGATGACAATTGGCAGTACACCAACTAGTGGCTTCACGACACGCCCCCTTTGTGCTTATATGCAGTCTGATTTGTTAGGACAGACGTGAATCGCCATGCTGCGAAAATCGCGCACCCGCATGCTCTTAGGGTAGTTGTGTAGTCATACGGTGTATGGTCATACGGTGTTTGGTCTGGAGGGAGGCAAATCGTTCGGCGGAAGTGATACCTGGAGCGATGAGCTTTTACGAAATGAAGAGGACCCTTCAAATTCGAGTATGTCTGAGTGTTGTTTGGATTGTCGCAAACTCAGAATTAATTATAAGCTGTTCTTAATCTATAGGGCCTGCGGTTTTGAATTATCTAATGAGTTGTCAACAAAGTAAAATCCAAGACGTAACCACAGACCACGGAGAGCTCACTCCCCCCCCCCCACACACACACACCCACCCACACAAGCATATACATTTTTAAACGCTTCACTCGAAATTGTCCCCCGATTCCGGTCATATAATTTCTTGTCGAAAACAGGATGGGATAAGAGAGTGTAAGAAGAAAAGGTGGGAGAAGAAGCTCTTTTTGCAGTTTGAGAGTTAGTTTAAAGGGAATGTACAACATTTGCTTTTGCTGCAATTTTTGGAAATAAATGGATTTGGAGGATTAGTAGGTTATAGGAACTTATAGCAAATATTGTTGAAATGACTTGTTTTACGTTTTGGGCTTGTAGATGCTGGAAAAAAACATGAAAACCAATAGTGTTCTTGTAGTCTGGTTCCCTGACCCCACTTTAGATGAAACGGAGCAATCATGACTTTGGGAAATTGTAAAGTCAGAGAAGCAGTCTAACAGGCTTGTACCCCTTCACAGGTGGGTAAACAATTGCAAAGAAAAAGCAGAAGCGGTATAATTAATTATGAAAAATTAGTAGCAGTTTTGGGAGGAAAAAGACAGTTTTCTCCAACGCTGGTCGGCCGGCCAGCGTTGGATATATTCCATTTTTCTTGAAAATGACAGCACACCAGGAACCACAATTTTACAGGATGCTTTAGACTGTCATTCCCCAACAATCTAGTGAGGTATTTCGTGACTATTTGATCGTTTCGTTTTGTGATGTTTGCAAATGTTGTATCTTCCCTTTAAACATATTGCCCCATATTGGTTAATTGGTTATTTTACTACTGAAAATCAAATATTGTGACTTTGTTACATTTCAGAAAGGACTTTTCAGTTTCTTGAAAGGGTGTGAGGGTCCGTAGACAACGATCGTGAGGTTCACATGGCGTTGGACTTGAATGCGTTGGACTTGAGTGCGTATTGGGAAAACAAGGCAAGCTGACTTCCCACACGCAAGTTAATTGATGGAATTAATATCCGGAGATACATTAACTTTTGGAAGAATGAACGTAGAAACTTTTTTCCCCCTGTTCATTATGTGTTTACGTTAGCGATGTCAAGCCAAAGTAATTTAATATGCTCGACAACGCCAAGGACAAGATGTCAATGTTAGGTCTTTAAAGGTGCACGCCAAGGACAAGATGTCAATGCTAGGTCTTTAAAGGTGTGAATTGGGAAGCTATACGGCGAAGTAAGACGATAATATATTAAAAGAGAATCACAGTCTTTGAATGGAGAACACTGACTTAACACCCCATAATAACATCGCTGTTTTTGCAGTTGATATGAAACCAACAGAGGGTTTATAATTAGACAAAACGAGTATACCGCAATCAAATCTATAATTGCGCTGATGTATTAACGTGCGTTTAATACAACTTCTTTTAAAAGAGCATTTCCACAATAAAATTAGCTCTCCCTCTGTTCCTCCATTTCCAAAACAAAACATTAGAAACTCGCAACACCGAAAAGCGGGAAAATCGCTGACTTGAAACTTTCACGCAACGGTTAGGAAATGCGTTGTTCTAGGTGCTTTTCCCTTTTAAAAACCTGGGCCTTTTCATATCAGGCTTTCGATGTATATCTTTCACTGATGAGTCCAGTGTGACATTATAATCTGGGATTACCCTTAAGGCAATTAGTTACACCACATCACAGGAGACCATTCCAAATGGTACTGTTTACTTCCTGCTGGATATACCTTTTTTAAACCCATACATGATACATGTACAGGCACAGTCCGACAAATTCATGATTTCCGTTGTTTATACATCAATTTCAATGAAAAACAAAACGGTTTCATTACTGGACAAATACGAATATCACGTTGGATATTTAACTCGTGAAAAATCTAGGTGGGTTTAGGGGGGCCACCGAGGATCGATTCAGGCATGCCGGCAAGTCGTTCAATCAAGCGGTACTAATCAGTCCCTGCTGGTGATAGCTAGGCATTCATCAGGTGCTAAAAACTGCATTAAGGAGATAAACTCTGGAGATAAGACAGATCACTAACCCTTGTCAGAAAACCCGAATTAAATGGCCCATTTCGGGTTTTTCTTTTGAAGAGGATTCACGGCAGTGGTAGTTTGTTGACAATCTGGCTGAACTATATATGATTCGATGCTTGAATGTAGACAAGGCCAAAACGCTTGCCGGGTCAGATGTAAACAAACGATGTATTCCAACGTTTCCTCCGTAAATATCAGCCATTATCTTGTGACCCACACCTTTGCAATAATTATTAGGTAAGTAAACGACCTTAAACATTAAAGTTTTGCAGAATCTGGCCAAATGTGCACGTTAAGGGATATTATACGTCCTGGAAATGCGCCCTATTGGGCTACACAACGCGTTTTAAACGAAATGATGTTATAAACTGGAAAGAGCATTTAAAGGTAGCATATAGTCCACACAACCATCCTTAAAAAAGGGTTTTTTTGTGTGTTATTCTTGCAAAAACCCCGCGAGAACGAATTTCAGTGGTCAAAATGTTGACCTAAAAATCGAGCTGAGTCCTGCCGAAAAGAGGTTCGCATTCGGCGGACGTGCGAGAAACAACATTTGTGTATTGGTGCTGTGTGTTTTACGTGACACGCACAACGTGTTTTCTGTACATTGAATGGACACGGCTGGAAATATACGCATATGCCTTAAATATACGGGGAAAACTGGGGGCGAACTGGAGGGGGAAATCCCCCCCCCCCCCCCCCCCCCCCCCCCCCCCCCCCCCCTCGGTAGTGCCGCGCGTCTGATGTAAACAACCGGGGTATTTTTTCGTCTTTTCTCGGGAACGATAAGACATTAGGTTTACTTTCCTTTCAACTTTGAAATAGGACAAGCAAACAATCCAAAACTTTCGGGGATTTCAGGCCGTCATGTCCCTTTAACACAACCGTGTAAAACTCACAAACAACCCGCCCTTGGTTCAGAGTCAGGGTTTATGTGCTACAGTGATCTGTCATTTGAGAATTCTCCATGTAACTTACAATTGAAATAGACTTGATAATATTAGTCACATTCTGACCCTAACAATAATATATGGGTGCCTATTCCATACTGAGGTTTCTTATAGAGTCCGTAAATATTGGAACATTCAAAATCCTTTGATGATTGGCAACCCTATATCATATTATTCATCTAAGGTTTTTAAACACATTATAATCTCTGCTCATAATTGACGTTATTATCAGGTAGAAACTCCCATGACCTTGTCCAAAAGTGTTAGTCACAGTGTAATTTTATGCAAGTTATTATATACATTCCACTTCACCGTTTGCACCCTATTCTGCTGTATTAATATACTACAGGTACTAGCTGATCGCAATATTTGATCAAGAGTATAGAAAAAAGACGTACTAACCATTTTGAAACAACGTGGCATCCGTACAGCACAGCTTCGGTCTTTTTTAATTGGCAAAGTTTTTTCGAGTGCTTTTTTCTAAGGAATTTTAATTCTTTTCTTTTGTAACAATAGAAAAGGTACTCACTTATTCATTAGACATTGTATAAAACTATTATATTTGCAGCTCAACAATAATTTTGCTCTCACAGGGTATAGATTGGACCGCGAACCAGTACTCGCAGGGCGGATCTGTTTGTGCGCAGAAACATAAAATAACAGCATATTTTTATAGGGTTACAGACGCCCAAAGTAGAAAAGGGGGTGGGGATGTTTAACGAAACATTCAATAACAAAATTCGGGGGGATATCAAATTTGTTGAAGATGCATACAGTACATCTTTAATTCTTAATAAAATCTGGGTTCACATTAGTATTATTGTTACGACAACGCATCCATACCTGGCTAACATTTTGTTTGAAAATTACATTGTAATTTCCCCTTCCAGTTCAATTCCCCTGCAGAAATATTTCTCCTCTGAGTTAATAAGTGATTGAATAAGTGATTTATTATCGTAACGATCACCTGTTTTGTACCTTAAAGGGGCACTAGGTCCTGAAATTCCCGAAAATGATATGTTTTGGATTGTTTACTTAGCCTATTTAAAAAAACACACGCTTGTTTACATCGGACATGATGGAGTACGAATACGTTTTTCGTGTCGCTCTCATGTACGCTATACACGTTGTGTGTCTCTGGAACAGCGCGCGGTGACCAATCACCACTGCAAAAAATTGGGGTTTCTTCAACGTCCGCAAAAGGCAAACACTTTACGCGTACGAATGAAATCACAACTAGCATCCAAACAGCTCGAATTTATGGGGTCGCAAAAGTGGACCCCGAAATTTCGTTCTCGCACGCATAATACAGGAATAACACAAAAACGCCCAGTTTTGAAAGGATAGTTGTGTGGATGTTTATATCCTACTTTTAAAAGTTATTTCCGATTATCATCATCTCGTTCAAAGCGCTTTGTAGCCCAATTGTGCTGTTCCAGGACCTAGTGTCCCTTTAACATGAGGTTCGATACATGTATTATTGCTTTCTGGTGTTATTACTAAAATGTGCCGCTGTGTATTTGCCCATTGAAATTTACCCCCAAAGTGGTACAGGATGAACTTGCAAACAAACTCTTAATTCTTGTAGAAAATTAAAAGCTGCAGAGTTAAAGCAAACTAATGATACAAGTTCACGTACCTGCCAAACTTGAGTCGCTCCTGGGAAACTCTTTTCTCAGCAAATACTGGATACCGCAGTAAAGCTTTAATCACGGTACTAAAAAGGCAGTCTTTCACAGGCGTTATCGTTCAAAGTGTTTGTCACGGAACATTTCAGCAAAAGTGCTGTGATGAAGAAAGATCGAAATGTTTTATCAGACTGGATGATTCGATTGATCCAGAAAGGGGTGCTCACAATCAATTAGGATGTGACTTGCATTGCGTAGTCTGTGTACTACTTTTGCGACATGCAGCACCGTATGGTAACCGAAGCAGCGTGCGCATGCGCGACTGGTGATTCCGGGAGAGGTACACCGCGTTGATCGTTAATAATAATTATGTCAACGGTTTCAGGAATCGGAGAAAAATGCCCTGTCTTGAGTACAACTCCCCCTTAAACCCCAGTTGATGTCTCGTGCATCATGCAGAGTTTTGAGCTAAGACAAACACTACAAGAAGGAAATGGCGTGTAGGCCTAAAGTTGGTTACAACCCAAAAGTCGGAAGGTTCGATTGTCCGAGGGTTCTTTAGTCCGAAGGTTTGTTAGTCCGAGGGTTCAATAGTCCGAAGGTTCGATAATCCGAAGGTTCGGTAGTCCGAAGGGCCCATTAGTCCGAAAATAGAATAAGGTTAATTAATCCGAAGGTTCGATAGTCCGACTTGACAATAAGGTTCGATAGTCCGAATTGAGAATACGGTTCGATAGTCCGAATGGGCGATACGGTTCGTCAGTATGACACTTCGGACCATCGGACCTTACTGTTGATTCGGACTATCGGACCTTATTGTCGATTCGGACTATCGGACCTTATTGTCGATTCGGACTATCGGACCTTATTGTCGATTCGGACTATCGGACCTTTTGGTCAATTCGGAATAATGAACCTTTGGACTATTAAACCTCATTTTCGTTTTGGACTATTGAACCTTCGGACTGATTAACCTTATTCTAAATTCGGACTATCGAACCTTCGGATAAATGAACCTTCGGACTAATGAACCTTCGGGTTAATGAACCTTTGGACTATTAGCATCAAATGTTCGGATTATCGAACCTTATTTCATTTTCGGACTAACGAACCCCCTCTCATGGAAATTGTGTGCATTCGGACTATCGAACCTTCGGACTGAAGAACCTTCGGACTATCGGACCTTCGGACTATCGGGCGCCCCCGTAAAGTTAACATTAAATCCCAATACAGCTGATTAGGCCTATGTGCCCGATATACTAACAGCGCCAAATGGTGATTTAGCAGGCAAATTTTTCCCAGCCGCATAAGTATCCCGTACGCGTACCATTTCTAATGGTCCCTAATAGTTCCCGATGCGAAGCCGGGAGATCTAGTTATTTTGTAAGTTTTCCATAGGCCTATGCGGCAGGATTTAACTTGTCATCATCATCTCATCTTGGCCTGTCCCGTCGTAAACGACGATGAGTTCGACGTCTTTCACAATCAACTTGTCTATATAGTGATAGGAAATACACACCTACAGGCCTACCACCGTTGGAACGTTCCGTACAAATCGGGGCGGGATGTTATACCTTGGTATTAAATTGGTGTAATATTTAGGTAAGCTAAATAACAGGTATAGATACAACTCAAAACACACACATACTGACATTAAACCAATGCACATCTTGATACATGACTTTAATGCAAACATAATTTTGTGTTGATATCTCCAACTGACATCCTTCTTAAGCGTCGTTACTTGAACAAGTATTTTCATTCAAGTCTGAAGCAATGAATTCATAGGCGATAAAGTAACTAAAGGGCCTATTTATAATACATACAATTATTTTTTGTAATTGTATTATTTTTAACACTGGGAAAATCTCTAAATTTGCCCACATATCCAAATTTAAAAAGTTTTTGTTCAAAAATGCTTTTAACAAATTAAAAATAACACTTTTGTTGCATTTTAAAAAAATCTCCTTGAAATTCATTCCAGTGTATTACAATGCCCTTTCTAGGTCGAAACTGGAAAGTGTCATTATTTTTGCATCTCGTGAGCTTGTGTTGACTGTAGGCACGTGCTTAGACGCCCACGTGTCACACTCCATGTACTCAAGTGATAATAAAATACGTTCTCCACTAGATGCATACCAGAAGCGTCAATGTATGTACATACGTACTGTAGGCCTAGTACTCCAAAATGATTCTGTGGCGGATAATGTTCATGTTCCAGCTGGCGCAAGATAACTGCAGAACAGCCACACTCAAAATTATGAGCAATCCTGTCGTCATTTTCAATGTGCAATAAAATATGGAAGTCCAGTGGATATGCGAGTGTTTCTTTGGGTGTACTGACAATATGGCGGGGAACTGTTCAGCCTTGGTGGAAGTTTGCGCTCTCTGAGTGTTTTCTAGTTGTCTCTGTGTTGACTTCAAAACCGGCTCCACCATCATCCCTTTGAAAATGAGGGATTCGATGCACTCGGGTATAGGCTTTTGTACACCGCGCCTTAACTTTGTCAATATCATAAAAATCCCTTGAGAATTTGTCCCGCGCAGTAGGCCAATAATGGCTCAGTAATTCGGACACATTGCATTCCTTCATTTATTCGCAAAACCTTTGCGTTTCATTTCGCAAAAAAAACCTCTTGCGTTATTTCGCAATAACTATTGCGTTATTTCGCCAAAGTATAGCTTTATATTGCAAAAATATTGCGTTAATTTGCAATACAAATAGAGAGTTTTTTTGTTTACTTTTAAACCTGGCACGAACGGGCCTCCCTACTGTTTAGAAGATCTTTGCGGGGAAGCAAAGAGTCCGTTCACAGCTGAGCATGCGCATTTTCTGCTGCATACATTCGCTCGTACCCCCGACATGCAAACAGCCCTGCAAACAGGGTGCTGGGATGGGCTGATGAGCTTCACAGAATCTTGTGAAGAAAGTGGGGATGGCATTCTGGGTAACTTATCATGACCTATGTATAAAGACATCTGGCTGCAGCTGTGTAAGATCGCAGGTAGCCAATGCGCACAAATGCTATCCGAAAACTTTCTCATAGAAATGCACACATTCCATACCGGATGTGATTTCTTTTTCATTGCGGACCATGTGGACAAATTTTGAGCGTCGCATAATATGCAATTCACCTTCGTGAATTCGAAACGGAGCCTGAGCAAGTGATGGAAATTGAAAATTTACAAAACAGATAAGTATTAGAGATTTTCCTACATTACGCTTTTCAACGAAATAAAGCATTTATGAATGGGAGTAAAAGAGTGATGACCCAGTCTTAACGGCCGTTTAAAACATTGCAGGGTCGTGGCTGTGATGACTTGCAGGTCACAGGTCACGCACAATCTATCCAATCAGAGCTTAAATTCATCAGCCCATCCCCCAGCGTCCTCTTTGTAGGGCGGGGGGGGGGGGATACGAGCCAGCGGCGTAGCTACGGGGAGGGGGGGGCGTGGGGGGGGGGGGGGGGGGCGTGGGGGGGGGCGTGGGGGGGGGGGGGGCGCACGCCCCCACAAAAAGTTCGCCCCCCCCCTTCACTGTCGCCCGCCCCCACTGAAAATTGGGCATCCGAAATAAGCACAACCATTATGAGTGACCATGATGAGCCGGAAGAACATAAAGTCCGTTTTTTACCGCGATTGTGTGCGTATTTTTCACCAAAACTTTTTTTTTTCGTGAGTGGCTGTTTATTGTAACGTCCCTTGGAAAGCAAAAAACAGTAGTTATTGTCTAACCATGGTCTAATGCAGCCCTGGTGTAATGTAGCCACGTTTTGAACAGCGTCGCAGCGTAACGGTTTCTGACGTGACACACACACGAATCAACAGATACATGTGTTCCATATTTCCTGCTACGGCGTTCCATATTTCTTATGTCGATATAGAAACTAGTTTTAAGAGTCGTTAAGCGGTGCGATACTTCTTAAGAGTCATTTCGTGCACTTTTATACTTAATATAGGTGTCCACTACGGTCAAAAAAGATCTATTTTTTTTAATTTGTAGGATGAAAGGAGTTGGGGAGTCAGTAACCAAAATAGACCTTTTAAATCCATAGCAGGCATGTTGCCATAGTAACGAACCAGTATGTGTTTGGGCCATTTTGCCACTGGGGCCGCACAATTGCATTTTTCGCGTTATTTTCAAAGTTCATCAAGCCGAAATGCGTAATAATATCACGAAAGTAACTATATCACCCCCAAAGCATCATCCTTATCCTTACAAGAAAAGAAATAAAACAGTTTTGAAAAATCATCTGTATATTAGTTTTAGGAGCTACAATGCAGCATTTTTTTGCAGGTAACAAAATTGCATTATGTACCTCATTTGTACCCCTCCTATAAAAGCCGCTTCAGAATAATTTCCCTTTGGCTATGGTTAGGTCTAACATTGGTCATTTCGTATCTAATGAGAAAATCTTGGGCAACTGTATATTCTTTGTATTTTACACACACAACTTAAAGTGTATTTCTGAGGGTTTGTTTTGGTTAGTTTTGTTTTGTTTAAGTTCCTGAATTTAGCATATTTTCCACAAACAAAATTACACTGTGTATCACAGTGTGGTTTTGTATCTGAAAAAAGTATCCGCCGGTGGCTGTAGTTTTGACTCCGAATTCTCTTTCTTTCTATTGTTTTCGAGAGAAAACGTGCGGAGAAAATTTAATGAGCCTAAATGCTGCTGAGATATGTGAAGCCATGTTTTCGCAAAAAAAACTTCAATTAGCAACAACGACATAGGCCTATTTCTTATAGCTTCGAGTGGTGTGTTCATGCTAATTCGTGCCAGGCAAGTTAATAACCCTTACTGTGGGTCTACGCCCGGTTTAGGGTGGATAATACCACAACGAAAGAGCCAATTTCTCATCGAAGGAACTACAGCTAGATCCAATCCACCAGGTGATGACAAGGGGATTTGTACTGGGTTGAACCAGAGCGGGAATAAGAAATGAGCGCGACCACTAACAAGAGGAAAAGTGACGGAAAACCAACTGAATGGCTGCAGCGAGGACGGATTACTTCGTGGGACAAAACAGGCCACGCGACTGGTTCGATCGATTTTCAGTGATCGTTGTCGTCATTTCATGTTTTTCTTATGGTGCTCTTTACCCTCTGACTTAGTGCTACTGCTGCTGCTGCTGCTACT